GCCCAGAGCAAGGCCACTGTCAGCAGTCTGCAGGAGGTAGCCATGTTCCTACAAGCCTCTGTCCTGGAGCGGGACTCAGAACAGCAGAGGCTGCAGGTGAGTCCCTTCATGGGTAGTAAGGGCCAGGGGACTTAGCCCTGTCCAGCTGAGCTCAGGGGCTGCCTGACACCCTGGGCTTGTGGCACCTCATGGGGTGAGAAAGCTGAGATCATGAGCACCTCAACATGAGTGGAATCAGGTCACTGTGCTAGTCTAGGGGGTACGAATAAGACAGCCAGAGTCCCTGCCCTCAGAGAGCTCACAGTCTAGTGGATAAGCAGTTAGAATGAGTAACTAATTATAATTAGTGCCTCACTAATTATAGTGGGGAAGTTGAGTGAGGGACACCCAGCCTTTCCTGGAGGGGAGTCCCAAAAGGCTTCCTGGTAAGAGTGGCATTTAAGGTGAGATCTGAAGGGACCAGTAAGGAATTAGCCAAGGACAGGTGGAGGAGGAGCTTTCTGGGGGAGAGGAAAAAGGAGGAGAGAGACCATGGAGTGTCTGTGTGGGGAGTTCAGGCTGCTTGGGACATAGAGGGGTGGTTGTCAAGAGACGAGAGGACAGCAGAGACCTCATCATTCAGGGCTTGTAAGTCATGTTAAGGACCTGGGTGACTGGTGGGAAGTGGATGAAGGGTTTAGGAGAAGGGAGTGACACGATCAGATATACAGTTCAGAAAGATCACTCGGGCTGCTGTGTAGAACAGCAGCAGGTTTGGGGAGACCAAGTAGGAGGCTGTAATACAACTTCAGGGGAGAGATGGTGACCTAGAGAGTAAGTGTGGGTGGAGACACATGGGCAGACCTAGAGGTTCATAGGACTTCTGGCAGTTGATTGGTTAAGAGATGGGGGGAGTAAAAAAAGGACAGAAAGCAATCAAACCCCCAGGTTTCTGCTCACTGAGAAGGAAGGCAGGTTTGGGGAAGAGGAGTGGAATGCTGAGTTCAACTTGGAAATGGAGTGCAGTACCTGTGGGACATTCAAGGGGAGCTCTCCAGTGGACAGGTCTATAAAGTGATCTGGAATTAAAGGATGAGATTGAGGGTAAAGAGAGAGACTGCGGAATTGTCAGCAGTTAGGATAAGTAGGCTCCTTTAGGTAGAATGTTGAGTGAGAAAGGAAGTAGACCTTAGGGTGTAACGTTTAACCTCAAGGTCAGGGGCCTTATCTTAGTCACCTCTATACACCCAGCACTGAGCACAAGGCTCGCACAGAGTAGGCTGTCAGGAAAGCTAGGTTGACTGTTGGACATAGAGAGACATTGTCTTTTTTGCCAAGAGGAACCCAGCCCATTTTTCTAGGAAATTGACTACATCCTGGTGCCTTGACCTGGGCTGAGTGCCGGAGAACCCCATCGGTTGTCTCAGACATGTAGCCCAGCAGGGACTTGCTTCTGGGAGCTCACAATGCTCTGCTCTCTTTAAAGCGTAATATGCAGAGAACAGTTACATTTGTGAACTTTGGAGTCAAGTTCCCAGGTTTGAAATACAGTTCATTAGCTGTGTGACCCTAGGTAAGTGTCCTCCCTTCCATGACCCTTGGTTTTCTCATCAATCAAATAGGGAATGATAGTACCAGCTCCACAGGGCCATTTTGAATATGAAATGAGATAGTAGGTATGAAGTGAATAGGAAGAAAGCATTCAATAAGTGGAACTCCTTTCCTATTTCCCGACCTGTTCTTACAGGCACAGAAAAAGTAAGGTATGTAGCTGGACAGAAGGACACTCCTTGTCCAAACTTACTGAGTTTTGCTGAGCAGTGTTTACTCAATGAGGTGGCTTGGGTCAGCGTCCCCCAACACTCAAGCACACCTTTCGAGGCAGCCCTTCATCACAGTAGTACCTTTTTTTTTAAAGTGTTTTACATGCCAGGCACTGTTACCCTCACTGTCTTCCACCACAACCCTGAAGAGTAGGAACTCTTATCATCTTCATGTTATATTGAGGAACGGTAATTCAGAGAGGTTAACTTGTCCAGGGTCATACGGCCAATAAATGGCAGAAGTAGATTAGATTTAAGCAGTCTGACTTTGGAGCACAGCGTTTTTACAAATAAGCTCTTCCTCTCGCCCAGACGACCTCCACTCACGTGTGCACTCACTTTATCTGTCTCTCTTCTTGACCGTTGTCATTTATGAAACATGAGGTGCCTGGAAAATCTAGCCTAAAGGGATTTAACTCCAAAGGCTTGATCTCTGCTTCAGGGAGCATGTAGTCATTTTACAAATGAGGAAATTGGGGTTTGGAGAGAGCTCATGTCTTGACCAATATCATATAGCCGGTAAGTGGTGACATATTACTGAGCTCTGTGTGACTCCAGTGTCCATGCTCTTTCCACGACACCTCTGTGCTCCAAGTTATGGCATAGCTCTAGGAGATCTAAAATGAGATAGGTTTTAGTCCTAGCCCACCATGTAACCTTGGATAGATCCCTCTCTGCTCCTTTGTTTTGTCCATCTGTAAAATGAAAGTCCTGCACTAGGATAGCTCAGAGGCGCGAGGAAAAATAAGACTATAACCTGATGAGAAAATGGAACTGGTTTTTATGAGGATGGAGGGTGGAGTGGATCTGGATGTGAGGTTGTCATGGTGTGATTTTTGCTTCATACCTTGACACCCCAGGATGAGTTGGAGCTCACCAGACAGGCTCTGGAGAAGGAGCGGCTCCATAGCCCAGGCCCAACCAGCAGAGCCGAACGGGGTCCTCGAGGAGAGGCAGGTGTACAACTGGGAGAGGTGAGCTGGGGCCTGGTAGAAACAGATGGCCAGGAGGGACCTCCTCTCTGGGGGCTTGTCCTTTTCCCTTGGAAATTTGGTCCCTAAAGCCCAGACATGCCAAACTGGTGCTTTTGCCTTTTATCTGTTCCTCCCCTGTCTAAAGGGCTGCCCAGGTGAGCTTGACAGGTCTCCCCCACAGGTCTCAGGAGTGGAGGCTGAGCCTAGTCCTGGGCTGGAGGAGAAGCAGCTATGGGAACAAAGGCTTGAATACCTACAGCAAGCAGTGGCACGGCTGGAGATTGACCGGAGCAGGCTGCAGCGCCACAATGTCCAGCTGCGGACCACCTTGGAACAGGTAAGTAGCTTCTGCTGTCCTTGGCTCCCTCCTCTGGGGTCTGATGGACATGCAACTCCACTTCCCATGCAGCCCCCAGAGCAGGGTTGGTAAACTGCAGCCCAAGGGCCAAATTTGGCCTGCTGCCTCTTTCTGAAAACGGGATTTTATGGGAACACAGACATGCGCATTCATTTATGTATTGTCTGCAGCTGCTTTCATGCCACATTAGTGGAGTTGAATAGTTATGACTGAGATCGAATGGCCCACAAAGCCCAAATACTACAGAAAATGTTTGCTGACCCTTGCTGCAAAGGCCTGCGAGGCTGGCCCTACCTCTCCTGCCCCAGGAGCACTTCTCTGCACTCAGGGCTGCCCTAGCATGTGCTCTCCTCAGCCCAGGAGCTTAGCTTCTCACAGCTGCCATCCCTTACACTCACACCCACACACGCACTGGCCCCCTCTCGAGAAAGGCGGCTCTGCTCCCGGCCCAGGGCCAAGCCAAGCCCTGATTTCTCATTTCCATCTTGGCAGGTGGAGCGAGAGCGGAGGAAGCTGAAGAGGGATTCCATGCGTGCATCTCGGACAGGGGTCCTAGAGATCAGTGAAGCCACAGCATCATCGCCCACACAGCAGGTTTACCTCTCTTCATTGACTGCAGCCTCTGGAGAGCCCAACCCCAGCCCTCTGTGGTGCATATCCCAGGCTACCCTTGCAGGGGGAGATGGCCACTACAGCCAATCCAGAGAGCCCCTCCTGACTGGGTTCTGCCCCACCCAGCACAGCTCTATCTGTCCCTGACCCCGGGAAGGAGACCCAGCATCAGTGGGTAGCGGTGGAGTCAAGGCTAGCAGCCCTGCGTTTTGAGGAACTCATTTGCTCCGTCTCTGCATCCTTAGCTCACAGCCAGGGCTAGCACAAAGCAGAAGTGTGGCGTACTTCTGTCAATGAAAAGGCGCCTCAAAGAAGCCAGTGCGGTCCAAGCCCTGTGGACGTTTGGCGTCAGGTCTCTGTGGGCTTCACTCATCAGGCTGGTTTGGGCCCTCCCGGGCCTCTCCCTGCCCCAGGGCTGTGGTGCCCTATAGAGTTCAGGCACTTCTGGCCCATAGCCCTGACCCTGGCCCCCAGGACTGTGATGAGCTGGCTGAGAATGCCTTCGGAACCCCTAGGGTGGGAAGGTCTGTTCCAAGAGGAATGGCATTTGTCTCCCACAGGATGGAAGAGGAGGACAGATGCGCTCCTCAGACGCCAAGCACATGGTTGAACTGCAGAAAGAGGTATGTTCTGGAAAGATCCATTTTCTAAACCGCTTTTCCCTCCCTTGTACTCAGGCAACAAGGCTTTAGTGTCTGCTGTGTGCTTGGCCTTTGTGCACCTCCAGCAGAGGGAGGGAAAATAGTTCCTGCCTCAGAGAACTTTCATCCACGTGGGAGGGAAGAAGAGCCCAGTTCCAGCTCAGCCTCCCATATGCTTACAGTGGGAGTGGGGAAGAAACCACGCCCCAGCCCCAGCTCTCCAGGTTCCTACTTAGCAAGGGACAGGAAAAGGAAGAGGGCTGAGGAGCAGACAGAAGATTCTAGGACGACAGACTAAAGCAAGCAGAAGCATCCTGGCCTCCTCCACCCTCAAATGCACCCTTGCAGGCAGGACTGTTGCCAGCCCACCAGGCGGAGTAGCCTGGCACCAGGATGAGGATCCAGAGCTCAGGTCAAGCTGCCACGCTCAGGCCTTCTTGCCTCTTAGGCCTCACCTGAAGGTTCACCCTGTCTTCTAAGGCCCAGGAGTAATAAGAACTGTGGAATTTTTATTTCTGAGCCTGTTTCAGAAATCAGTAGTCACTACTGGCAGGGCCTGACTGAACAGCTAGACCTAAGCTAATACTTGGAATTCATACAAGGCAATCCCTGAGACAGGACCCAGACTAGGGCGAGACAGGAGAGGCACCTGGAGTGTAGAATTTAAGGAGATGCGCACTATCAACCTGAAACGCCTCCTTAAATTCTGCACCCTGGGAGCCTCTCTTGCTTTATCCTAGTCCCAGACGTGCCCTCAGCTCCCAGTAACGTCACCTCTTAGTAGTCTCAGTATATCCTTCTGAGAAGTGGGAGGACTAATCCGTGAGTCTCTACCCTGCTGCACATTAGAACCACCTGGGGACCTTTGAAAAAATGCTGATGCCCAGGCCTCACTCCACTCTAATTAAGTCAGAATATTTCTTAAAAGCTTCCAAAAGGGGCCCCATAGAATTTTCTGCAGTGATTAGAATATTCTGTGTCTTGATTGGGATAGTGGTTATACATGGGTATGTACATTATCAAACTCATCAAAATGTATACTTAAAATCTGGACATGTTATTACATGTAAATTATCCCTCAATAAAGTTGATAAATAGCTTTGTTGGTGTTGTTTTTAAGCTCCCTATTTGAGTCTCCTGTGCAGCCAGGGTTGAGAATCACTGGATTCTTTATGATTCCCAAGGCTCCTTCCCCCAAACCCTACAAAGCCTGATCCTGAGATTCGTGGATATAGTAGTTGATTCAAATGCTGGTCTCACAAGAGCCGTGGGAGCAGAGCAGGAAGAGTAGGGGCACCTTCAAGGCCCTCAATTACTCGTCCCTCTTGGTTTTCCCGCCCACCAGGTGGCCCTGCTGCGAGCCCAGCTGGCCTTGGAGAGGAAGCAGAAGCAAGACTACATCGCTCGCTCGGTCCAGACCAGCCGTGAGCTAGCAGGCCTGCACCACAGCCTCTCCCACTCCCTTCTTGCCGTGGCCCAGGCCCCTGAGGCCACTGTCCTGGAGGCCGAGACCCGCAAGCTGGACGAGTCCCTGACTCAAAGTCTGACATCCCCAGGACCAGTCCTGCTATGCCCCAGCCCTGGCCCCAGTGCTACCCAAGCCACCTCCAGGTAGCAGCCTCAAACAGGGCAGGATACAGCCCAGCCTGGGAGCACACAGGCAGACAGCTGGCTTTGGAGTGAGTCGTGGCTCCTCCACACAGCTACAGGTTTGCCAAAAGAAAGGTCTGGCTCTCTTACCCAACCTGGGAGCCCCAGGTCAACCGGCATACCTAGGAAGAGGCAAGGAAACCTACAAGGCTGGAGGAAGGCCCCAACTGACAAGGGAATGAGGCAAATTACACTTGCCTGCTAGCCTACCGAGTCACCCTGCTGAATACCTTGCCCTGGCCAAGGGGCGTCTGCTGCCTCTAGTCTCGAATTTGTTATCCCAGCACTATGCCCTCTCTTTCACCCTCCCCTTCAACAATAAATTCTGGGTCTTTGCATTTGTTCTCTGCTCCTGTCTCCACTTGTGTAGCTGGGCATCTATTAAGGAAGAATTTGCTGAAGATTCCCATCAGGTGGCATGAATTTGTCATCTGCCTGTATTCTGACAGAGAAGAGTTATAGCTGATACAGAAGGCAAAGCCACTGTCCACAGGGAGCTTGAGTCCAATTGACAAGAATAGATGGACACCCATCAGCAAGTCAGAGACAGTTCTGTGTGCTGACTAGAAGTGTTGTAGAAATTCCAGGGACTGAGGAAGAAAGGCATGAACTGGCCCTTGAAGGATGGAGAGGAGTTGGGAGTGGTCACTAAGCATTCTGGTGAGGAGACTGGTCTGCCTGTGGCTGAGTGTGTTGGGGCTGAGGTTGAATGGGTAGGGAGGGAGATTATGGAGGGCCTTGGGATCTAGATTTGAACTCATGCGTAATGAGGAACCATCAAATGTTCTTGACTTAAAACAAGTTCTGGGGCTTCAAAAATGCTGAGTTGACCTTTTGCTAAAATCAGTCTCTAGAGTTTAGAAGCTCCATCTGACCTCATTCCCCTTCTGTTCTGGGTGAATGTCCTTGCGGTGCCCTTTCCTGGGCATATCAGCTGGCACTGACTCTGGTCCCCTGTAGTCCACCCATGTGTAAGGCCAGTAAGGAGGATGGACTATGGCAGAACTTGTCACTTAAGGACTGGCCATGGTGGAGGCAGTCTGGACAAACCCAGTTCACAGACTTGAGACCTATTGTTGGCAACTTCCTCAAAGCCTAAGAGAGAACAGCTTTCTTTCTTTCTTTCTTTTTTAAGATTTTATCTTTCCGGGGCTGGCCTGCGGTTAAGTGCTCACATTCTGCTTCGGCAGCCCGGGGTTCACCAGTTCAGATCCCGGCTGTGGACATGGCACCACTTGGCATGATATGCTGTGGTAGGCATCCCACATACAAAGTAGAGGAAGATGGGCATGGATGTGAGCTCAGGGCCAGCCTTCCTCAGCAAAAAGAGGAGGATTGGCAGCAGATGTTAGCTCAGGGCTAATCGTCCTCAAAAAAAAAAAAAGATTTTATTTTTCCTTTTTCTCCCCAAAGCCCCCCGGTACATAGTTGTATATTTTTAGTTGTGGGTCCTTGCAGTTGTGGCATGTGGAATGTCGCCTCAGCATGGCCTGATGAGCAGTACCATGTCCTCACCCAAGGTCCAAACCGGCGAAACCCTGGGCCCCTGAAGCAGAACACGCGAACTTAACCACTTGGCCACGGGGCCGGCTCCAGAACAGTTTTCTTTAAAGAAGCTGAGCATGACCTTCCTCTAGCCCTCCAACCATAATCTAGAATTCCTCCTCCCTAAACCTGGAGATGGAGCTAAGGCCCAGCTAAGAATGTGGAGGTTTGAGAGCAGCACGCCACTCACCCAGACCTACTTACTAGGCCCCATTATATCCCATCACACCACACAGCGTAGAACTGGGGCTCTTCACAACTTCTGGAGCTTTTTTCCAAAAATCCATGCATGGGACTCAGCAACAGAGGCTTAGTAAAAAGTTACAGTTCAGAACCGCACAGAACTAGACTAGGCCCAGATAGCTATAGTTCATGAACCAAGGCCTCAAGCCCCACATACCTTCTGGGAGTGAGAGAGAAAGCTTCCAGTAGATTCCAGAAAGGCATTTTAGATTTGCCAAGTAAGGTCTTCTTTCAGCAATAAACCGGTCTCTATTTGCTCTTCCCTCCCATCCAAACCTCAAGAGCCCCCCAACCCCAACTCTAGACCTCAGGGTAAGATCTCCCCTCCCCACCAGATATTCAGATCAGGGTTAGCCTTCAGTTCAAGTGTAGATTGTGATCTTACTCTCACACTCTAGCTTGTGGATGATTTTCTGCTCCAACTTTCTAAAGTACACTTTCCTTGACCAATAGTAGGATTGTCTCTATGGAGGGTCCCACCAGAAATTGTGTCAATTGCTCTTCTCATCAGCTCCAAACTCAGAGATACTTGAAGTAGAAAAGGATGAAGGAAAGAGTGTGGGTCTTCCAGTCAGGATCCAATTTTTCCTAAGGGCATCAGGCCCGGGCTTCCTTTCCTTCTTGTCACATGCCACAGGGCATAACTAGAGCAGTGAACCCAGTGGTTGGGAAGTGTCCCTGACCACCTAGTTCTCATGATATACTTGAGGATGGTGTGATTGATTACCAGAACCTGGGGGAAAAGAAGATCAGAGCCGAGCACAGAGGTCTTCTGTCAGGAAACTTTCCCCTCTCTCCAACCTTCTCCTTGTCTGCTTTGATAGAGGCTCGTATAGGCCAAAAAGTCCTGAGAGCAGAATGGGACAAGAGTTGAGTCAGAGTCTGGGCAATGTTCTTGTTCCCAGGGAGTGTGGGGCTGGTGGGTGTGGCACCCAGTTCTCTCAATGAGCCTCCATGCTTTGATGTTGGAGCAACGATCACCACATCGCAACCTCAATACACTTGCCCATTGCTTCCCTACATGGGACCAGCAGCAGCTGGAAGGCGGAAGAGCTGCTTGGCATGAAGTAGAGAAGGAAAAGCCGGTGGTATATGTTGGGGTGAGGGCAACGGGGAGCGTACAATCACAGACTGCAGAGTGAGGGCAAGGTCAACATTTACACCAAAAAGCTGAGGGCTATCTGCTCCAGGCCCAGGGCCTCCACCAGTCATATCATCTGATGAAAGGGCCATTGCAGCCTACACTACATCTGGAGGCTTCGACGACACCAGCAGCATGTGGGTGTTCTTGCCAGGTTGTGGGCATTCTCAGGTGCATTATGTGCATGGAGGTTCCACGGCTCATGTTGTTCTCAGAGCCTGGCAGTGGGGCCTAGTTCATTCTGCAGAGATAGGAAAGGAAATCAGGAAGACATTGGGGCTCACAGCCTGGCACTGCTTTCCATCTTCACCTCCTGCCCCCACCACAGCATAGTGTAGTGCTCATCAATGATTATCCTGTACTCCGAAGACTTCACATTCTCCGAGTTCTCCACTGTATAGCACAGGACTGGCATGTGTGGGTCTCAGAGTCTGGCTGTGGCCTGGGATCAGCTGGAATAGTTCCTCCTTGGCCAGCTGGAATTGAGTTAGATTTTCTAGCATCCGTGCCTATAGAAAAGATCACGGGCCACTTATCACTTCACCGCCAAGTTCTAGCACAGAGAGGAGGTTGGGCCTCCTTGGAGTAGATAAAGAGATCAGGGAGGGGCTGCAGCCTAGGTTCAGGACCTCTGGAGACAGAGTGGTCTCCAACTCCATCAGGAGCTTCAGGGCCCATCTGAAGCGCTGATCAAACCAGGTAGCCACTCTGCTGGTGGAGGCGGGCTATGCAGATGTGGCACGGTAGTGAGCAGCCACAGAGCCTCTGCAGCTCTGGAGTCAGCAGCAGAACTTCCAGAAGTACCCGTGAAGGTGGGGATACCTCACCCAAAGCAACCTCCAGCCTAAGACTTTGCATGCAGGCCTCATCTCAGCCTGTGGGACAGGCCCCTTGTCAAGCAGCTGGTTGGTTTAGTTGTTTGGTCTTAGGACAGATGACACCTTCAGCTGTTCCCTCCCTGCAATACCTCACCTCCTACCTCCTGACCCACTAGCCGCCTACTTGCTCGCAGGGCTGAGGGAGGGAGTAGCTGAGCTCTATGCACACGCTAGGTCCTGAAGAGCAAGGGAATGGTGAGCAGGGGCTGTCAGCCAAGCAATGAGGTTCCTCTACGTGATTCTGGGGCACAGCAGGGAGGGGGTTGCAGGCCCCTGCTCACCACATTTAGATAGTAGGCACTGGCTTAAGAGGAAGGACAAGAATGTGGGCTCTCAAGGCCCTGGGACCCTGGCATTTACTCCCTCTACCCTGCTGAGACGAGGGTTTGCTTAGATCCTGATGGAGGTGAAGATGAGATGTGAGGCTTCAGCTTGTCTGCCCAATCCCAAATAGAGAAACCTTGAGGATGAGATCAGATAGTCTGGTTGCTGCCCCCTGTCCCTAATCCAGCTTTTCATTCATTTGGCACATACTCATTAAACCTGTGTGTCACAAAGCTCCACAATGAGCACCGAAAGGAAGAGCTCATCTTCTCCAGAGGAGACAGAGCCTGGACACAGACAAACACTTGCAGAATGACCCGGATGCCCAGAAGGACTGGCCACTCATGATGAGGCCAGGGAAGGTGTCACAGAACACCTTGGAGGAAGATAGAGCTTGAGAGCCCTTTAAAAGTGTTTGCCAAGCCAATTGGCTACACTGGGTGTGTGGAGTCGAGGGGTGCACCTGCGGGTCCTGGGAGCAATGGCAGGCTCTTGGAGTTGTACCAGCTAGCCCATTCAGGTTAGATCTTCCTGATCAAAGAGCCGAAACATGAGCAACAGGTGATCATCAAGGCAGCCACCAAAACTAAAGCCCACCATTAAGGCTTCATTCCTGTCCCATGGGACAATGCACAAGCCAAGTGGCAGGCTGACTCAGACACCAAGCACCGGGAAAAGTAGGGAGCTATGATCACAGACTCCCCTCGCATCCCACTGCCCTGGGATACTCCATCACTTCTTCAACCCTTCTCACCACACCTCCTTCCAGCACTTCACCTCTCACTTCCACAGACACCTGCTAAGCTCTATAGGTAGCTCTGCTGGAGGCTGAGAGGAGGGATGGGCAACACTTGGTGTACCCTGTGGCCTCTGTGAAGGAGAAGGGGTTGATGCCCAAGGGGGCCCTTCATGGCAGCCCAGTTATATCAGGGACCCCACTAGACAAGTCACATGGTGAGTTCCTGCATATAGGTTTTGTGGACAAGACCACCTTCACCTTGGCATTCGACCCAGGGTCCAGCTGGTGAGGGACGTCTTGGAAATCAAGTGTGATGGGGACAGGAATGAAAAGGGCAAGGGCGCCCCTCTCTGAGAGGAGTGCCATCTATTCCCAGTGCAGGATTGTTAAGCATGAGTCAGAGAGACGCAAGGAAGAGACTTTTGGCCCCTCTCAAGGAAAGAATCTCAGGAAAAGCTTTGTAATGTGGTTAAAAGTAAATTTATATCCAACCCAACTCTTTTTTGGTAGATTTTCTTTTCATTTATTTAAAATGAAACAATTGCAGGCACATGGTCAAAAAATTAAATAGAAAAGAAGGCAGCAGCTCCCCACCCCATTCTTTTCCAACCTCTCTCCAGGGGCAACCAATTTTTAAACTCTATTTTTGTAGAGGGTAACTTTGTTCTTCTAGATAATAATATGTTTAAATGATGCTGTAAGGGGTCCAGTGTCTGGAACAAGATGGCAATGGGTAGCTGCACTGCCCATACCTTTGGGATTCTTGGACTCTGGCTCCAAGCCAGACACCTAGTACATGTCAGTGCCCTTGGGGTGGCAGGTAAATCTGCTCTTGGTTGTAATGAGGGATATTTGCATTTTGTTAGGTCATGTGTGGTTGTGGGCAGCCAAAGGGTAGAATGTAGTAGATACGGGTTTTGGATATCCAGCAACTGAAAACCCCATTGATTGAGGCTATTTGGTTACCTTGAACTACTGTTTCTACCCAAAAAGGTTGGATGAATGCTCCCCCCATTGATGTAATAATCTCCTTCAATGAATTGTTTTTATTTCTTTTTGAGTATCATTATCTACTCAAAGATTTTTATATATTCACTGTGAGTCAACCACGACAATTGCTATTTTTGATGCTCAAATTGTTCCAAATCTGATGTCCAGGTTTTACTTTTACTTTTCTTGTCTGGAACTGGAATCTTTTAGTGAGAAAAAGTATTTAGAAAATGAAATCTGCGTTCCAAGGTTGATTATTGCTACTAGGATGTTACGGCTTTTAAACTGTTCAGATGACAGAGCAGAAAATGTATTTTGAAAATAGTGAATTCAAGGTGGTGATGGTTACACAACAATGTGGATGTTTAATGCCGCTGAACATACACTTTAAAATGGTTAAAATGGTAAATTTTATGTATATTTTACCACAATAAAAAATAACTTAAAAAATGAGTTCATGGGGCTGGCCTGGTGGCACAGTGGTTGAGTTCATGCACTCCACCTCGGCAGCCTGGGGTTCACAGGTTCAATCCCAGGTGTGGACCTACACATCTCTCATCAAGCCATGCTGTGGCAGCATCCCACATACAAAAAATAGAAGAAGATTGGCGCAGATGTTAGCTCAGGGACAATCTTCCTCACCAAAAAAGAACAAAAGATTTCATAATGATATTTCCAGTTTGAATTTAATGCCACAGGGTTTTTACTATACCTGCCTGATTTTGTATTTGGTTCTTAATAATACTAATATAATTAGTTATTTACTTTATTTAGGACATTTATTTTATAGTTTTAAGAAATAATACCAATATTATAAACTTCTGAGTGAAGTTTAAAATTTCTTTGTAGTTCTTTCTGTCTACGGAATATATCCTACAAAGGATATGCAGTGTATTGAGTTCTAAAGGAACTTGAAATAATTCTTTCTCTGGTGGTTACGCTATCAGTTTGATATGCAGGTAGGTCCATTTGATTTGTTTTCATTTGATTTCAACTTTAGAGTTTGCTTCTTTCCCTCTTTCATTTAATTTTATTTTTTGGTAAGGTAAGTATATGTAGGAATCACATGGTGATATGTTTGCTGTTGAGACTAGAATAGAATGTAACCCTCTAATGCCACCAAGAATCCAATGAGAGAAATAAGCTAGGGTTTTATTCAGTAGCAGAGGGATCTCCATCCAAAGTCCACTTGAAGCCCCAGCGCCTCTTTGACACTCCAACGTCCCCTTGACTACCTGTCAGCCTCCTGGGGCCTCCAGTAGTCTGGACAGGCCGAGGACTATCTCAGCTGTAGATAACAACCTTCCCCTCACATTGCAGCTTAAGGATGATCTGTTGCTCATCTTCAAAACTGTGCGTTTTGCTCTTGAACCGATATTTATCATCCCAGTAATGGGACCACCTCATGAGCTGGTCTGTCCCAAAACCAAACAAGGATACCTAAGAGATGGGGTAAGACAGGAGAGGGCCATGGGGTAGGAGAGGTTGGATCCTGGCCTGCCTCCATGCCCACCTACCATTCCTTCAACACTCACTTAACATCTAGTGTGACAGGCTTCCTCTTGGAGCTCAGAGGAGAATGCAGCTCACCTTCTCTAGGGAAGAAAGACTCTGAACACACAGAGTAACCCCAGGGCCCAGAAAAAAAAAAGCATCAACTAGCTTCCCCTCATCATATTGGAGGGAGAGAGAGGATTCCACAGGGAGACAAGAAAAGGGCATTCCAGGCAGAGGGAACAGTGTGTGAGAATGTATGAGGCATGAGGTGATTGTGGTATGCCAAAAAGCCCAATGTGTGAGTCTTGGAGAGAGGAGGGGTGGGGAAGGGTCAGATCATGCAAGGTCTTGAAAGCCAGGCAGAAAACTGAAGCCTTAACCTGAAATCCCTGGGAAAACAGACATTTTTAGTGGCAGAGGAATGAAGGTCTATGAGTTGCAGAAAACGTCTTACCTGATCACAGGTGTGCAAGGCATACAACAGAGCCACGAACCCCAAGGATGGAAACTGATCCTGTTTTCTCAGCCAGTGATCCTGGACGTACTGGAGGAAGGTGAGGCTGATCACGAAGACCTAGGAAAAATGGAGGAGGGTGCTGACCTGAGGTCTGTCCCTCATCCTACTTCTTCCCCTTTTCCTTCCTGGGTCCCTCACCTCGTCTTTGCTCTCTGTACTTCCACCAGGGAACTGCACCATCCGATATCTAAATAGGGATTAGGAGTAGAGGAGTTTGAGAGTCATTTGACATGGCAGCCCCCAAACTTAGTTAGCCCTCGGGGTACCCCAATATCCAGCAAGTGTCTCTCTGAGTCCCCACTGTCATCCCCTACACTGGCCCCCCTCACCACCATACCCAGGGTTTTTTGGCTTCCAGATGACATTCTGTTCCTGCAGTACTTTCATGAACCACTTCAGACCAGATGAATTCAAAGGAAGAAGGAGCAGTTGGGTGCCAGGATCCTGCGTGCTGGCTATCTCGGGGTACATAATGCGTATGGTGGTCGTGTTCCCCACGTCCTTCTCAAAGCCTTGGACAGGGGCCTGGTTCATCCTGGAAAGGAGGGCAGAGTAAACATTTGGGGGAGGAGAAGGATTTGGCTTGACCTTCCTGGTCTCCACCTCCTACCCTGCACCTACCTGAGGACGATGTCATGTTGGTTAATTCTGAAGCCAAGGCCAGAGCCCCTCAGGAACCTTGAGTTTCCAACCACTGCACAGGTCCGGCACCTGGGCCCCACACGGCCCACTGGGTGTTTGGGAGACGTTTTAATTGGCTGCTGCTTCTGATTCTCAAACTCCTCTGACTGGATGCCCTGAAGTTCATAGGAGCATATGAGGGAGGAATTTAGGGGCTTATCCCAGACTCCCACTACCTGTGGAAGAAGATTAGAGCCTGGGGCTGTGAAGGAAGAGATGGCTAGGGCCTGGGGTTGGGAGCAGGGAATAAACAGAGACAAAGATTCTGCACTGACCAACCACAGTATCAGAGCATCAGATGACATGGACTCTTCTGACCTCTGCAGAGGCTCCATGGCCTTTTCAAAGCGTTCATCAAACCAGTCAGACTCTCCAGGTGTGTGGAGGCAAGGGACGCATTCATAGATCTCAGATGAACAGGCACACTTTCTAGAAGATTTTCTGCGGCAGTGGCAAGTACTTGAGAGTGTGCTGGCCTTCTTGCGGAGGTCATCCTGGCTGGACTCCTGGCCCAGGAAGGAGGCCACCAGCCACAGTGTAAGCATAAAGGTAGCTACCAGACCCAACTTCAAGCGTCGAACCCTCATCTCTGGCCCCAACGATGGTGCCCCCGCAAACAGTAGATTGTCTCTGACACCTGGTACTGAGAAGGAGGAGGGGCTGGGGCCAACAGACACTCCCAGCATCCCCGTTCTGGTGGCTTCCATTCCTCCCCCAACCCTTCACACAACATCTCCTCCCAACACCTCACCTCTTGCCTCCCCAGCCACCTGATAACCACTGAAAGGAACTCTGCCAAATCCTGGGCTGGAGGCTGAAAGGACAGGAGAGGTGACACTTATTGTGTTCTGAGGTCCCCCAGAGGAGAGTGACGCCCAGTGAGGTCTTTCAGGCCAGCCCAGTGATATCAGGTACCTCATCACAGAGACCATATTGTGACCTCCTCTACGTAGGCTTGTCCGCAAGGCCCTTCTTTCACTTAGGCATTTAGCCTGGAGCCCAGCTGACAGGGGACGCTTGGAAGTCAAGCATCAAGAGGACAGGAGGGCGAGGAGGGAGCAGCTATGTTCTGGGAGTCTGATGTGGATGAGCAGGAGACAGTGAGGGGAAGGGCCACTTGGCACCTACTGGGTCAGAGAGAATTTATCATATTGATGAAAGTGAATATTTGGTATATTCAAACCTTAAAACTTTTCAAGGGTTGAATTTCTTTTCTTTTTGAGAATTGTTACCAAGGTAAATACATGCAAATTGTTTTTTCAAAAAAACCGCATAGTTCAGAAAGGTTTTTAACAGGGAGCAGCAGTCTCCTGCTCTCCCCCACTCCTCCTTACCCTGAGGCCTCTCCTTCTAACTGTTCTTCTGGCATTTGCTTCCGTATCTCTAAATATTATGCTTATACCACTATATCATGATGTTATATGTAGACTACCTGCTATATATGATCATATCATCATGTTCAGTAACAACCACTTGGTCGCTTTGTAACTTTACATAATGTACCCTAACCTCTATTTCTCATTCTGTCACTTCAAGACAAGGTTTCTCGAAACCCTGTTCTCTAAGATGAGAATATTGTGCCTGTACACTTCTGTTTGTCGAGTATTTTCCCCTTATACTTCCCAACATTGGAATTTTGAACTTTTACATAATCAAGGGTAACATTTACATTCTGTTGTGCCATTAGGTTTCACACGCTTCATTTATAGCAGCACTATCCAAAAGAAATACGTGAGTCCCATACCTAATTTTTAGTAGCCAAAGTTAAAAAAAAGTAAAAGGAAACAGAGGAAATTAATTTTAATAATATAGTTAACCCAGGATATCTAAATATTATCATTTCAACATGTATTCAATATAAAAACATTATTGAGATATTTTGCATTCTTCTTTTTTTGAAACTAAGTCTTCTGAATCCAAATTGTATTTTATCCTTACAGTATATATAAATTTGGACACACAGTTTTCATCAGAAATACATGATCTATAGGTTTTATAAAATTTAACACCTAAAAAGTAGATTTACATATCTAAGTTATAACAAGCATACTTAAAAGATTTCCAATAACTGAATTGTGTTCATCTTAAAATTTAGATGAACTAAAATAAATTAAAATTTCAGTCCCTCACTTACACTAGCTACATTTCACATGCTCATCCACCATGTTGGACGGCAGAGGACTGTAGGCTGATTCTGAAAGTCAAAAGTCTATTATCAGCATTTACATTACTGTGAGTAAATAAACATTGTTTCCTGTAGAGTCTGTTAGTGAACTAGGAGTATTTTGCTTTTATCGTTCACTATAATTTCCTAAGAAAGGGTATATAGGAGATTAACTTTCTGAATCCTTGCATATCTGGAAAAGTCATTACTCTGCCAATACTGGGTATAATTGTGTCCCCCCAAAAATATGTTCAAGCCCTGACCCCTGGTACCTGTGAATGTGACCTCGTTTGGAAATAGGGCCTTTGCAGATATAATCAAGTTAAAATGAAGTCATACTGGATTAGGATGGGCCCTAATCCAATGACTAGTGTTCTTATAAGATGAGGAAAATTTGGGAACAGAAGACACAAGGGATAGTGCCGCGTGGAGATGGAGGCAGCGATTGGAACGATGTGTCTACAAGCAAAAAAATGGCAAGACTTGCTATCAACCACCAGAAGCTAAGAGAAAGGCACGGAACAGATTCTCCTTCAGAACTTCCCGAAGAAACCAACCTGAAGTTTGGACTTCTTGCTTCCAGAACTGTGAGAAAGTAAATTTCTGTTGTTTTAAGCTACCTGGTTAGCGGTCATTTGTTATGGCAGTCCTAGGAAGTTAATACACTGCCCTTTGGCTTGATAGTATGGCTGGATATAAAAGATTCTAAGTTGAAAAAGTAGCTCTAGAGCTTGAAGACGTGTTCCATCACCTTCTAGTCTTCATGCTGTTGACAAGAGTATGATTTTTTTTTTAAAGCTTAGTCTCACTGAGATCTGAGCTTTTTTTTTTTAATAGATTTTATTTTTTTTCTTTTTCTCCCCAAAGCCCCCTGGTACATAGTTGTATATTTTTGGTTGTGGGTCCTTCTGGTTGTGGCATGTGGGATGCCGCCTCAGCATGGCCTGATGAGTGGTACCATGTCCGCACCCAGGATCCAAACCGGAGAAACCCTGGGCCGCTGCTGAGCACGAGAACTTAACCACTCAGCCACGGGGCCAGCCCAAGAGTATGATTTCTGATCCTTTTTAACCATAGTAATTGAAATTCTTCATCTCAGAAACAGGAACAGACTCTGGCAAACTTAAGCAGAAAAACAACTCATTGGTTAAATATCTAGCAATTTACAGAATAGATGTGAAAGCTAGAGAACCAGGCTGAGGCTATAACCAAAGGAGGCAAGACGTAGCCAAAGACCACCCCAGGAACGGCCAGCCTGGAATGTCACCACTATTGCCACCACAACTGGACCCGTGACACTGCGGGACACTATGATTGTTTAAACAGGGTCACAAATTTTTTTCAGCTCCTTCCATTTGGAAGAAGAGTCTATTTCCCCACTTCTTTTTTTTCTAAAGATTGGCACCTGAGCTAACATCTGTTGCTAATCTTTTTTTCACCATCTTCTTCTCCAAAAAGCCCCCCAGTACATAGTTGTATATTCCAGTTGTGAGTGCCTCTGGTTGTGCCATTTGGGACGCTGCCTCAGCACGGCCTGACGAGTGGTGCCATGTCCGTGCCCAGGATCCAAACCGGCAAAACCCCGGGCCACAGAAGCAGGGCGTGCGAACTTAATCACTCGGCCACGGGGCCTGCCCCTCCCCACTTCTTGAATCTGCGGTCATTTTATGACTTGATCTGAGCAATAGAATGCTGCACAGGTGACACTATGTGACTTCATAGCCTTGACCTTAAGAGGCCTTGCAGCTTCCACTCTCATTCTCTCGTAATGCTTCCACCATCACATGAAGAAGTCTGGATAAAAGATTAGATGGAGAGAGAGGCTTAGCTGCCCAGCAATTCCAGCCATCCCAGCTGAGGACCAGACATGTAAGTGAGGCAGTCTTAAATCAGTCAGCCTCAACTAAGCCACCAGTTACCAGCAGTGGCAGCATAAGTGAATTTGAGTAAGACCAATAGGAAAACTGCCCTGTCAATCCATAGAATTGCAATAAATAATAATTGTTGTTTGAAGTCACTCCATTTTAAGAGAGATCTGTTATGAAGGTAATAATGGATACAGACATCCTGCTCAGTTCAGACTAGCCATAGAGAATAGTCTCTAACTGACTCTGCACCTTTGCATCAGGACATCAAGTTCTAGAGTTCATGAAAGAACCATTGATTGAACTCACATAGGTCACATGTCCATGTTCTAGCTTCCATGGGGTAGGAAGCTGAACTATTGAACCCATTTTGGGGTCCTGTAGGAGGAGGCAGGACCCTGACTCTACCTATCTTGGGTTTGTCCCCAGTGGAAAGAAGCATTTTTCTCTCTCTCATCACAATGTGTACTGGCCTGGCTATCTCTGTCTCTAATTATTTTTTCTCTCATCTTTTTATTGATTGTGAGTATTATGACAACAAGAATCTTTTTCTGCCATATATAGCTAGTTACAAATTGCTAGTACTTTTTCTCGACTAGGAAATTTGTTTCTTGTTCCTGTAAATTCAAAATGGATAGGAACGGGGTAGTGCCTCTATTCTATGAAGTATTCAGGCACATAATAAAATAATGATTGAGTCTCTGTCATCTTCAACACAAGGACCCCAAGATTTTCATGGGTGTCAACAGACAGCAGGTAATTGGGGGAAGAGAAAGAGAATTGCATGTGGGGGTCTATTTAGACTAGGCATGGAAATAGTACACAAAGATCTGTGCACATACACTGAACAGAAGTAAATTACCTCGGATACCTAAGTACTCGACAACCTGGAACGTGTGGTCTCGTTGTGTTTTCTCAGGAATAGCATCCTTAACGTGATAACAGTGCTTCACATCCAGCCTGTCTTGGCTGTATTTACTATCTCTGCTTCCACACTCACCGTACCCTAAATCTATTCGCAACGTCAGTTCTTGTTCAAAACACAAGATCAAACTTACCAGCTGATTCCTGAGTGTTTCTCCAAGATACGTTTGTTTTTAATGTCCAATTGAGTTAGTGTCATCAAATAATAAAGCTTGTTTTTTTTTAAAGATTGGCACCTGAGCTAACAACTGTTGCCAATCTTTTTTTCTTTTCTGCTTTTTCTTCCCAAATCCTCCCAGCATATAGTTGTATATTTCAGTTGTGGGTCCTTCTAGTTGTGGCATGTGGGATGCCGCCCCAGCATGGCCTGATGAGCAGTGCCATGTCCGCGCCCAGGATCTGAACCAGTGAAACCCTGCGCTGCCGAAGCGGAGCGCGTGAACGTAACCACTCGGCCACGGGGCTGACCCCAAATAATAAAGCTTTTAACAGATGAGGATATTGTTACATTTTTCTAAACTAGTAAGCATTCTAATGGGTTGTTTTTTCAGTCTCTTAATATAATTAGTTTCCTACTTTTCCCTCAAAAACATTAGGCTACTTTAAAAAATCTTAACACTTGTCTATAAGATTAAAACCACTTTGTATATGAATATATTCTGCTTTTCTTTTTCTCAGTGACTTTTTTTTCAGTTTTATTGAGATATAATTGTCATACAACATTGTATTGGTTTAATCATTATGTAGAACATAATGATTTGTCTATATTGTGAAATGATTACCACAGTAAGTTTAGTTAACATCCCTCACCTCACATAGCTGTAAATTTCTTTTCTTGTGCTGAGAACTTTTAAGATCTACTCTCTTAGCAACTTTCAAATATATAATACAGTATTGTTAACTAGAATCACCATACTGCCCATTACCTCCCCAGGACATATTTATCTTATAACTGGAAGTTTGACCATCTTCACCCATTTCCCCTACCCTCTACATGCCACCTCTGGCAACCACCAACCTGTTCTCTGTTTCTATGAATTTGGTTTTCTTAGATTCCACCAATAAACGAGATCATGGAGTATTTGTCTTTCTCTGTCTGACTTATTTCACTTAGCATAATGCCCTCAAGTTCCATCCATGTTGTTACAAATGGCATGGCTTCTTTTTTATGGCTGAATAATAATATATGTCACATTTTTTTATACATTCATCCATTATGGACGCTTAGGCTGTTTCCATGTCTTGGCTATTGTAAATAATGCTGCAATGAATGTGGAAGTGCAGATATCTCTTCAAGATAGTGATTTCATTTCCTCAAGATATATCGAGAGAGATATATACCCAGAAGTGGAATTGCTGGATCATATGGCGGATAATATGGTGGTTCTATTTTTAATTCTTTGAGGAACCTCCATACTGTTTTCCATAATGATTGCACATTCCCGCCAACAGTGCACAGGGCTCCCTTCTCTCCACTTCCTTGCCGACAACATCTCATCTCATCTTCTTGATCATAGCCATTCTAACAGGTGTGAGGTGATATCTCAATGTAGTTTAGATTTGCATTATCCTGATGATTAATGATGTTGAGTACCTTTGCATGTACCTGTTGGTCATTTGTGTGTCTTCTTTGGAAAAATGTCTGTTCAGCTCCTCTGCCCACTTCTCAATCAGATTGTTCCTTTCTTATGCTATTGAGTCACATGAGTTCTTTACATATTTGAGATATTAACCCCTTATCAGATATATGATTTGCAAATATATTCTCCCATAGGTTGCCTTTTCATTTTGTTGATTGTTTCCTTTGCTGTGCAGAAGCTTTTTAGTTTGATGTAGTCCCACTTGTTTATATTTGTTTTTGCTGCCTTTGACCAACGGCTAGTATGGCTAGAGAACTATTTAGCATGAAACTTTTTTGGTGAGTTCATGCATATCTTAACTCAGCAGCAGATCTTCCACATGTGTGAAATTAAATTCTGATTACTATAATTGTTTTATTGTGGTAAAAAATCACATAACATAAAATTTACCATCTTAACCATTTTTAAATGTGCAGTTCATTAGTGTTAAGTATATTCACATTGTTGTGAAACACATCTCCAGAACTTTTTCATCCAGCAAAACAAACTCTGTACCCATTACACAATAAGTCTCCATATTCCTCCCTCCCTCAGCCCCTGGAAACCACCATTGATTCCCTGTTCCTATGAATTTGCCTACTCTAAAGAGGAAGCATACAGTATTTGTCTTTTCGTGTCTGGTTTGTTTTACTTAGTGTAATATCCTCAAGGTTAATATATGTTAAGCATGTGACAAGATTTCCTTTCTTATTATTTGTCTTTAAATTTTTATTAAATATTAAATACATATGAAAGATTATAACAAGAAAACAAACACCCATGTACCCACATTAATGAATAGAACATCATTAATACCATTGAAGACCCTGGGTGCTCCTTCCCTGCCAGATGCTAACACTATTGGGAATTTTGTGTTTAGCATTCCCTCAGCTTTTTCTTTTTACCACATCTATGTATATCTAAATAATATACATTTATTTGTATGCTTATTTTTGTATGTTTTTGAACATAATAGATGTAATCATACCATATGCATTTTTGTGCAACTGCTTTTTTTATTGAGATGAAATTCACATAATATAGAATGAATCATTTCTTTTCTTTGTTTTTTTTTTCCTCCCCAAAGCCCCAGTACATAGTTGTATATTCTAATTGTTCATCCTTCTAGTTCTTCTATGTGAACCACCACAGCATGGCTACTGACAGATGGGTGGTGTCGTTCCGTGCCCGGGAATCAAACCCAGGCCACCAAAGTGGAGCTTGCTCAACTTTAACTGCTAGGCCATAAAGCCTGGCTCACAATGAACCATTTAATTGTACAATTCAGTGGCATTTAGTGTACTCACAATGTTGTGCAGCCACCAGCTCTCTCTACTTTCAAGACTTTTTCAATACTCCAAAAAATACTCTCTACGCATCAAATAATTATTCACCATTCTCTCCTGTCCCCAGCCCCTAGTAACCACTAATCTGCTTCCTGTTTCTATGGATTTACCTATTCTGGATATATCATGTAAAAAGAATCATACATGTGATGTTTTGCATCCAGTTTCCTTCACTTAGCATAATGTTTTTGAGGTTTTTTCAAGTTGTAACATGTATTAATACTTTGCTGCTTTTAATGGCTGAATAATATTCCATTTTGTGGACATACCACAATTTGTTTATCCATTCGCCCATTGATAGATATTTGGGTTGTTTCCACCTTTTTGCTATGGTGAATAATGCTGCTATAAACATCTGTGTACAAGTTTCTATGTGGATATATGTTTTCATTTCTCTTGGGTATCTAAGAGTGGAATTGCTGGTTCATATCGTAATTCTATGTTTAACTTTCCGAGGAACTGACAAACTGTTTTCCACAGCAAGAAGGCAAAGAGCTGCTGCCCATGGAACTCGCTGGCCCCATCACATGTTCACCCAGCTCACGGAGCTACAGGAAAGCTACAAAGACTTAGTTCTCACTACAATTCTAGCAAAATGATGAATTAAAAGATAACCTGGGTGCCGGCCTGGTGGCATAGTGGTTAAGTTCACATGCTCCTCTTCAGTGGCCTGGGGTTTGACAGTTAGGTTCCCAGGCACAGACCTATGCACCACTTATCAAGCCATGCTGTGGCAGCATCCCACATAAAGTAGAGGAAGATGGGCACAGATGTTAGCTCAAGGCCAATTTTCCTCAACAAAAAGAGGAGGATTGGTGGTGGTTGTTAGCTTAGGGTTAATCTTCCTCAAAAAAACACAACCAGATAACCTTAACACTCTCCTACTACAAAAATCCAGAACTGCTGATCAAAACACAGTATTAAATTTTTTAAATTGTATTTATTTTTGAGTGTATAATGTAGTATTGGACTGTCCCTGTGGGACATAGTCCAAAAGGTACTAAAAGTAAAAGAAAAGAAAGAATCCATCCCTCACTTGTTCCCCACCTACCCAGTCTCCTCCCCAGAGGCAACTACCTTTCCTAACGTCTTGTTAATGGGAAAATTTCCAAACATATACATATATATTGTTTTAATAAAAATTATTTTAGGGGCCTGCCCCGTGGCAGAGTGGTTAAGTTCTTGCGCTCTACTTCGGCGGTCCAGGGTTTCGCCAGTTCGGATCCTGGGCGCGGACATGGCACTGCTCATCAGGCCATGCTGAGGCAGCATCCCACATGCCACATCTAGAAGGACCCACAAGTAAAATATACAACTATGTACTGGGGGGCTTTGGGGAGAAAAGGGAAAAAATAAAATCTTCAAAAAAAATTATTTTAAGTGCAGAACAGAGGTCAAAAGAAAAACAGGAAGACCCTAGATGCCAGAAATGAAAACTGAAAAACAGCATCGGGAGAGCTTGAGCTGCCTGAGTGGCTGCCCAGGAATTTAGAAATTTAATGCCCGTGTGGGCAGAGGACCTTGAGCCCAGGAGAGACAGAGAACTAAAACAGACGGCCCTACAAACACTGAGAACCTCAACGAGCTGAACCTTCAGTGAAAAAGCTGAGCTAGAAAAAAATCCACCCTCCCGCATAGGGTGAAACAAGGAGGCTTATCTCTTATCTGATGGGGAAAGAGCCCCGCCTTGAGAACTCAGCCTGGGCTTGCACTTTGCAGGGGTTAGGTCTAAATTTACACCTCCTGCATGATCCAGGGGATCAGGAGAGACATTAACATAAATACTGCCCCTGAGATCTGGAAATCAAAAGTGGCCCTTCCTCTCCTGACACTATCCTCGCAGGTAAGGGAATCAGGCCAGGATTTTATTCAGTACCAGACTGATCTCCACACAATTTCCTCTTGCCCTTTACCCCTGAAAGTCCTCATAGTCCTGCTGCAGCTGCCACCATCCCAAGACTCCCCTGCATTCAGGCCCAAAGGACTAGGACTTGTGTGGACCCTACAGGGTGTCACATGTGGATGGTGAGCTTGCCCACACGCTCTAGCTGACTTCCATTTCTGCTTGTGTGCTATGCATGGACAGAATCTCCTTGCAGTCGTTGGTCTGATTAACATCCTCCCAGTAATGGGACCACTTTCCTTGCTTTTCTGATCAAAATCCAAAGCGGGCATCCTGGTGAATGAGAGAAGGATGTATGTGTCAGCAGGCTGAATCCTGTCCTTATTCCACCTGCCCTCACTCAACATCAATGGTAATAGGCTGCCTCTTGGAGCTGGGAGGAGAACGGAGCTCACCTTCTTGAGGAAAAACAGACTCTGAACACACAGAGTGACCTCAGAGCCCAGAAAAGAGAGCATCAACTAGTTGCTCCTCATGATATTGGAGGAAGAGAGAGGGTTCCCCAGGGAGACAAGAGAAGGGCATTCCATGCAGAGGGAGCAGTGTGTGAGACGGCACGAGGCAGCTGGTGTGTTTGGGGTATGCCGAGAAGCCCAGTGTGTGAGCCTGGGAGAGAGGAGGGGAGGGGAGGGGTCAGATCTTGCAGGGTCTTGAAAGCCAGACAGAAAATTTTGAACTCTATGTTGAAGGCATACAGGAGAGAAGTTTTAAGTGAGGAAGGGACAAGAATCTCTCTTAACTGGGTCACAGGTGTGCAATGCACAGAACAGAGCCACAAGCCCCAGGGATAGATGCTGACCCTGGTTATTCAGCCTGTTACCCTGGTTGTACCTGTGGAAGGTGGGGCTGATCACCAGGACCTGGGGAAGAAGGAAGAGGGGGCCGACCTGGGGCCCTTCTCACGGCAGCCCACAGCCACATCCTACTCTCTCTTGTCTCCCTACCTGGTCTTTGTTATCTTCCATTCCACTAGGGAATTAGACCATCTTCTGAAATCTAAGAAAGAATTAGGAGGTGGGGAAGTTTCAGTAGCCCCTGAGACTTGGGAAGGTCCTGTAAGTCCCCCCAGTAAGCCAGCAGCGGGTCTCCCTGGACCCCCCCTGTCTTCCCTTGCAGTGACCTCCCCTCACTCCCATATTAAGAATGTCTGTGTTCCCAGACCATCACCTCCTCACTCAGAGCATCTGAAGTCCATGCCAAATCAAAAAGCTTCAGGACCAGCAGCACCAGCTGTCTCCAGGAACCCTGGCCTCCAACATTCCTGCGGTAGATGAAGCGCCCCGTGGTTTGGTTCCCCACTGTCTTGAAGCCCTGAACTGGAGCCTGGTACATCCTGGGAAGGAGAGCAGAAACTGATAGAACTCTGGGGACAGGCCTGACCTTCCTGCTCCCTGCCCTCCCCTCAGCACCCACCTGCAGACTGCGGTGTGTTGGTTGACGTTGTTGTGGAGGCTGGAGGCCTGCAGGATCTTCAAGTTCCCCAACACACAAGTCCCACAGTAGAGATCAAAATGACTCGCTGAAGGTCTGGGAATCACCTTGAACAGCTTCTTCCACACTTTGTCCAGCTCACTTGCTGAGTTCGTGCCCTGGAAATAGCAAGAGAGAAGAGACTGGGGGCTGGGAGCCAGGTATCAGCTCCCAGTGGAAGGAAAGCAGACCTAGGTGGGTGAAACCTCCATCTGGAGGTCAGGGATTGAGGCTGTGAAGATGAGAGGTGCATTAAGCCAGGACTGAGGGAAGGGGTTTGGGCAGGAGATAGGCTAGGCCTGGGAAGGACAGGGGATAGGACTGGGCCCCCTGTTGACAACTGACCAACCACTGGAGCACAGCATCAGAAGTCATGGACTCTGTTGCCCCCTTCAGGTACCCCATCATCTTCTCATAGCATGTGTCAAACCAGTTCCATTCTCTGACTGTGGGGTGGTAAAGAGACGAGTTGAGAGTCCCAGATGGGCAGCCACATTTCCTGAATTTGAACCAAGAGCAGTTGCAAGGCCGTGGTACCAAGTACATCAGTTTTTCCCGGGGTGCTGATTCAGGTTTCTGATCCAGGCAGGAGGCCATCAGCCACAAGATGAACACCCAGAAGACCCATAGGACAAAAATCTGCCATAAGTGTTTCATATCCAGGTGATGGCTCTTGTGGCAGATAGCAGACTGGCTTCTCTACCGGGACTGAGAAGAAAGAAGAATGAGGCCACAGACAGTCCCACAACTCTGTCTTGTTGGCCTCCCTGGCTCCCCAACCGTCTACACCAAACCTCCTCCCAGCTCCTCATCTCCTGCCTCCCTATCCATTTGCTCACCTCCAAAGAAGACTCTGGCTGGGCCTGGGATGGAAGGTGCAAGAGCAGAAAGATAGCATACGGTGTGTCCCATCTCCTCCTTGAAGGAGGAAAGCTTAGCTCTCAGTGGGGTCCTCTGTGCTACCCAGTTATATCATAGATCTCCTCACAAAGTACACATTGTGACCTCCCTCCTTTAGCTTGCCTGGACAAAGCCAGCACCCTATCCTGTCTGTAATACACATGCTGCCTCCGCTGAATGTAAGATCCACGAGCACAGAGACCAACCTGTCTTCTTTTTTTTTTCTTTTTTTTTTTTTTTAAAGATTTTATTTTCTCCTTTTTCTCCCCAAAGCCCCCGGTACATAGTTGTATATTCTTCGTTGTGGGTTCTTCTAGTTGTGGTATGTGGGACGCTGCCTCAGCGTGGTTTGATGAGCAGTGTCATGTCCGCGCCCAGGATTCGAACCAACAAAACACTGGGCCGCCTGCAGCGGAGCGCGCGAACTTAACCACTCGGCCACGGGGCCAGCCCCCCAACCTGTCTTCTTTACCTCTGCATCCCTAATGATACCGAGCAATGGGCTCACTCTGCTCGCCACGATCTGAGCCAATTAATCACAAGTTAGGGATCAAGAAAGGAAGTTTTAATTCAATTACCTGGCATAATTGGGAAGACAGCAGACTAAGATCTCAAAAAACCTTTCCAAAATTACAGAACTTTGAGGTAGTTATATAGGGAAAATGGGCAGTAAGGAGGAGGTTTCCTTCAGGCATGACGGACTCCAGGGTCTTTTATTGTTCCGCTCTTCTGTTAGCTGTGATGGATACCTTGTAGGTGTGTTTCCTGCCTGTGGTCAGCCTGTTCATGGAAAGAAACTCATAAAACAAAATTTTAATTTATCAGGTTATCGGGGAGTACACATGTAAGCAGAGGCCATAAATCAAGAGAGCATGTGAATTTTTTCGAGTATGTGCAGAGCAGCGAGTAGTCACACAGAGGAGGGATGGGGCCATTTAGCAGAACAAGATGGCCTCACTTTTTGCTCACTTATGCTAAGTCTTAGAATCTTTTAATAAATACTCATGGGATATATGAAAAGAGACGAAAGGGAACTTTACTATTTATATGTGAGGCTCCTTCTCCAATTGTGTAACTTCGGCTCAGACATCCCTTCTATTTTCTAAGACCCCGTATCCAACAGCCTATCAGACTTCGACTTAGATGTCTCAGAGACCTATCACACCGAACAAGCCTGAGACTGACCTCATGATTTTCCCTTTAAACAAATCCCTTCCCAAGACGTCTCTATCTCAATAAATAGTCCCAGTTGCTGAAGCCAGAAACCCATGTGCCATCCTCGATTTCTCCGCCTTCTATGATCTAACTCCATTTTCAAATCCATTTGCTTCTACTCCAAACCACCTTCTTCTCTTCATCTCCACTGCCACCTTCTTAATTCAGTCCTAGCCTGAAAGATACTAAGAAACAAAAACGAAAAGCTTTGAATTATTTTTAAGATTTTAGAAAAAAAGGGTCAGAAACCATTTTGTTCTTTTAAAAAACCAGAACATTTATTTTGATGGGATGAGAATGGTAAAATGGTTCATCTTAACTAGTGGAAATCTGCACTGGGTATTTTACAGCTTTTAAAACAATTCACCAAAAAAAATTGAGTAAGGTCTGTAATCCAGTTAATTGTATTGTACCAATGTCAATTTCCTGGATTTGAAGAGCATCTTATTGTGGTTTTAATTTGCATTTCCCTAATAAATAATGACGCTGAGCATCTTTTCATACACTTATTAGCTAGCCATTCATATATCTTCTTTAGTGAAATATCTATTCAAATATTTTTCCCATTTTTAAATTGGGTTGTTCATCTTATTAGCGAGTTTTAAGAATTCCTTATATATTCTAGATATAAGTCCTTAATCATATATGATTTGCAAATCTTTTCTCCTAGTATGTGGCTTGTATTAATGGTGCCTTTTGAAGCACAAAAACTTTAATCTTAATGAAGTCCAATTTATTTTATGGATTATGCTTTCGTATCATATCTAAGAATGATTTACTTAACCCACGATCACAAAAGGTTAGGGGTTCAACGTAGTTTAGTGGTCAGCCAAAGACTGGTCATAGGTTACACTTAATTAAACATCTTGAGTCTATAAGACTTCTCCCCTTTGCCATGGATCTCTGTGTGGTTTGGGGACACATTGAAAATTCAAGCAGTTTGCCACAAGTTCGCTCAGCTTTTACTTTCTGCATGCTTGGGGCCTCGCATTCGGCCAGAGATAACTCCATGTCTAAGACCCTCTCAGATCTCTCCTGAGCTTGCGTACAGGCTTGTGCAAGTGGGCAGCCTTCCAGACCACCAGGGACGTGTGAAAACTTATCAAGGCCCACTATAGCTATCTTGTTGCCAGATCTCTCTGTTAAACTTCTGGCTGGTTTGCCAGCCTTTTGCTTGTCCCAACCAGTATCATGACCTCAGGCTAGCCACAATTTTGATTTTCCTTGATTATTTGCCCCTAGATTGCTATTGTTTTCAGCAATGTCCATGGGTGAGAGTTTTACAATCTCTGCTCCAAATTAAAACAAGCCCGTCCAAGGGCACAGCTCCTAATCCTCACAAACTTCCTCCCGCTAGTAGGACTAAAGCACAGACTTGGGGTGGGGAAGATGGGAGCAGCCACTGGCTAAAATGCCATGAAATGTCATTGTCTTGACGGAGGTTTGGTAGTTTTTCTTAAATAAATGCTTCTCAATTTGATGTATGCCTTTGATTAATTTCTAGAGCCCTGAAGTGATTATGACAATTCTGTACAGTTTTATCATTGCTTTTTAAGGAGAGGATTTGCTGAGCTCATTGAGTCATTCTGGAAGCCCCATCCCTTAACCAATATACTCTTGAATGGTGGTTAATTTTTTTCTCTTATTATCATAAAATATTTGAAGGACACTATAGTGAATACTACAATTAACACTGGAGTGAATAATATAATGACATTCACGTAGCTACTTTCCTTTTTTTTTTTTCCGGTCTTAACATTTTCTTTGTTTTTGGTGTTCTGATGTCTAGGTGTGGATGTATGTTTATTTATTCTGTTTGAATAGATTCAGGCTTGCTGAATATGAGAACTCATGACTTTCATCAATTTTGGCTCATTCGCAGCCTTATCTTTCAAATGTTGCCTCTCCCTCATTTTCACTAACGCTCCTACTAGAACTCCTATTAGTCCTATGTTAGATTTCTTCATTCTGAACCTCTCTTTTATATCTATGATCTTATTCTTCTATACCTCATCCTGGGTAATTTTTTCACCTCTTTCTGTTCAGTATTTCTCTCCTTAACTGTGTCTAATGGGCTGTTTAACCCTTCCACTGATTTTTGAACTTAAATTACCATATTTTTCATTTCTAGAAATTCTTTTAAATTTATTTTCAAGTCTTCCTGGTTTGCTATCATCTTTATACTTTTATTGTTTCCTAAATGTCTTTAATCATTCTGAACATATAGTTTTTATCTGAAAATTCCGTTCTCTCAAGGCCATGAGAGTCTAATTATGTTGATGATGGTGTCTTTTGACTCTTGCTCCAGACGGACTTTGTTGTGTTTCTTGCAACATTAGATCAGGCGCTCATCTTCGGCAGGGTTTTATCCTTGAGAATGCTAGGTGGCTTAAACTGAGGTGTGTTCCCTCAGAGAGGTTTCATGTTTGCTTCTGCGGGGCACCCTCAATTTTATGGTAATTTCTCCAATTCAGAGCTTCCAGACCAAGCAGAGAATATAAATCCAAACCCCAAACTTACGTGAGCACAGGCCTGTGATTACAATGTCGCAGCAACGTTTTATTTGTATGCTTTTGTCTTCTCATCAAGGACACAAGTTGAGAGAGTCTCAAGCATTCTCTTTCTCTTCCCTGTACAGGTGGATAATTTTTTTCTCACCTACCCTTTTCATACAGGTCTAGCTCTGTCAAAATCCCATCTTTTTATTGAGGCCTCAAGGTAGCAATTCCTCTCCTATATAGGTATTAATATCCAACATCCCAAGAAGACATCCCCATCTAGTTTGACAGTGATTATAAAGCAAGTACAATGTGGTCACGGAGGAGCGCAGGCTACGCTGATTAAAAAAATACTTTATGACACCATTTTCTTCCCATCTATTTCATTCCAATAAAAAAGTCACTTCTTCCAAAAGCCTTCCTAAATTATGTAGCATCCTACCAAATTGCAGTTCCCAACACATATTACTCTCCGACGTACAAGAACAACGTCCATGAAAGAGCTTTGTAAACCGTAAATGTTTATGTTAATATGAATTATTATGTGCGAAAAAAAGAAAGGAGGCTGTAGATTACTGACACACCAGCCCCATTAGCCACTGCTCCCTGTCCCAACTCAAGAGCCACAAAGTCAGCTCACAAGTTTACTGCTTTTTTCAACTTTTTCACTTTTACCCCCTGAGAATTTCTCTTATTTTTTCATGAGTCAGCTATATGTTCAAAGGGATACTTGCTATTCAGTCTTTCAAGATGGTTTACAGCAGGAAGGTTTCCAGGATTAAGTCTGCATATTGCTGGAGCTAGACTTTTATCATTAATTTTCCCATTGGGCATTGTTTTATGACACGTAATTATTTAAATAATGTTCTACAAATACTAAAAGAAGGTTCTTCCTTACGTGGATTGCATGATAGGGCAAATAAAACGTATTTGCCTGAGAGGGCTAGCCCTGGTGGCCTAGTTGTTAAGTTCAGGACACTCCACTTCAGCGGGCTGGGTTCGGTTCCCTACCTGGGAACCTACTCTGCAGACCTACACCACTTGTCTGTCAGTGGCTGTGCTGTGGAGGTGGCTCACACACAAAAAGAAAAAGAAGAAGATTGGCAAAGGATGTTAGCTCAGGTGAATCTTCCCCAGCTAAAAAAAAAAAAGCATTTGCCTGAGACTGTTTTCTTAGCTCAGTGCTTCTCAAACATGAGTATGCATCAGAATCACCTGGAAAGCTTAATAAACATACAGAATGCTGAGCCTTATTCCCAGAGGTTCTGATTCAGTTTTTCTGGGTGGGGCCTGAGGATGTGCACTTCTAACAAGTTCCCAGGTGATGCCAATGCTGCTGGTCCCAGGACCACACTTTGAGAACCACTGCCTTAGCTTAACAGATCCTGCTAGCAAGCTATTTTACAGAGAAAAATGGATTCCTTTACTAAAATGGAAGCTCATAGTCTAACTCTATTTTGCTTTCTAAAGAGGGGCTTATAATGTTTTCTTTCCACAGCCTGCAATAGCTTCTTAGCTTATATCTCCTGTTCTGTTCCATCCACTCTTCACCCAGCAACTGACATGATCTTAAATTTATTTCCTGCTTGAATCCTTAAAATGGCATCCCATTGCACTCAGAATAAAATCCCAAATCCTGACTCATCTCAAACATTTTCCAGCTATTCTGGATTTTTCCTGTTCCTAGAACTTTCCAAGTTCCACCTCACCCCAGGACCTTTGCACTTGCAGTTCCTCTTCCTGGAACACATTACTTCCTCCCACTCCTACCCTCAGCACTTCGCCTCCCTGGTTCCTTCCCTTTATTCAAGTGTCATTTTAAATGACACTAATTTTGGGGTTCCTTCCCTGACCCCTGTATTACTGAAGTGCCCAAGAAGCTCTCCTAATTGGGCCCTGAGACCCTCCAGACAGAGTTGTGTTGTGATTCTTCCTTCTCAGGGGAAGCAGTGGGATTTCTACACTGTGACTCTTACCAAAAGTTTGGTCTCTGAAAGCGATGCCAATCCAAATAATGAGAACAGAGTCTTGAGTGGAAAGGAAAGGCTTTAGTTTCTTTGCCAGGCAGAGAGAGCAAAGCAATAGCTGGTGCCTTAAAAATTGCTAGCTCCTCATTAGGAAGCAGGTAGGGGTTTTTAAAGGTTGGGAACGTGGCTTGTGGCTTTTTGTAGAGAGGGGAGCATGTATCCTTGTTGGCCAGTGTTTTTGTCAGTCTGCATTTGGCCTTGTGAGGCTACTTGCAGGGAGAGATAAGAGAATCCACAGATGGGTGTCCTTGGCTGTTTGTCTCCGTGGTGGACTCTGGTGCCAGGAAGCCGAGGAGTTGGGCACCGGAAGCTTCAGTTTCTTGACATTCTCTGGACACTAGGTTTCCTATAATAGGCTTCAAGGACTCGTGTTTAGTTACAACTTTCGTGGGAGCCCAGCAGAGGCCATCTGGGCTTTTAACAATTTGTAACTTTTATTTGCTTGTAAAGCTCAGGGAGTCAGAGGTAAAGAAACAAATATCTACATATGAGTGTAACTAAAGAAGCAGGGAACAGGGATGTGTGCTTTTGGTTCTAACCCCGTATATGCTGGGTTCAACATAGGGGAACCGATGTCAGGGCTGGTATTAATCAAGAGCCTATAATATGACTATTGTTTTCAACCCAGATACTTTGGGATCTCTGTATTTATCCCAAGAGAAAGACAGTCCCTCTTCACTGGAGAAGGAGAATATGCAACATCTGCAAATATATTTATTTCTTTAACAATTTAGGAAAAGTTCATTTATCAGTGTGAAAATAAGGTGAAAGAAGGCTGTGATTGGGCAGAATGAACCAATGAAAGGGCCTGAAACCTTCCTCTTGTCTGGGTGGGTTTGTAGGCTACAGCTACAGGCGACCAGCGACCCCCTTCTTCTGGTGGCCCCATGTACAGTGAGCCACCCCTGTGCAGGGCCCACCTGCTTCAAAGGTTGAAGGATCCCACCTTGAAGGAGAGGGCTGAAGCATTAGGGTGAAACCTGATATTGTGAGGAATGAAGTCTCTAACTAGTCAGTGTCTTGGTCTCCTGTGACTTGTGCGTCACAGCCACCTAAAAGAATTCCAAAAAGGGAAGCACTATCTAATTCTGGAATTCCTAAAACAGAAAGCCCCGACCCCTGTTGTCCCTGTTACAATTCCCTGTTTATTCCCTTCACAGTACAAGGTTTACAAGCTTTTTAATTATTATTTACTTTATCACTATTTGGTTTTTTCAATTTTTTTATTGTGGTAAAATTTTACCATCTTAACCTTTTTTTTTTTTGAGGAAGATTAGCCCTGAGCTAACTACTGCCAGTCCTCCTCTTTTTGCTGAGGAAGCCTGGCCCTGAGCTAACATCCATGCCCATCTTCCTCTATTTTATGTGGGATGCCTACCACAGCATGGTGTGCCAGGCGGTGCCATGTCCGTGCCCAGGATCCAGGCCGGCGAGCCCCGGGGCCGCTGAAGCGCAATGTGCAAACTTAACCACTGCACCACCGAGCCGACCCGATCCTAACCACTTTTAAGTGGTATTTATATATATATATAGTTTGCTTACTTCTCTCTACCTCATACTGAAAGTTCCTTGAGGGTAGACATGAAGATCTGTCTTATTCACGATGGTATTCCCATAACCCAGGGGAGACCTGGGAAACAGGAAGAGCTCCATAAATAAGTCTTGAAGGAGTGAAGGAGTGAGTCATTTAGCCTGGAGCCCCACTGAGGAGGGTGGCTTTGGAAGTCAAACATGGATGGGCACCAAATGGGCACAGGCCGGAGGAGAGGACAGTTTCTGCTAACGTTGTCCCTGGGCATCCACCCGAGAATAGGTACCTCTCACACTTGCTAGTGGTAGCTGATGTGTGACCAGTGGAGCTCGGCTCTGGAGCTAGCAAAACCAGGCCTTCAACCCCAGCTTTGCCCCATTAACCACCCGTCTAACCTTGCGCTAAGTCAATTCACCTCTCAGTGTCCTCGTCTAAAAGATGGGGTTTGAAATAGCACCTACCTCCCAGGGTTGTTCTGACAGTAGAATGGCTTACAGCAGTGGGCATATTGTCGGTTTTCAGTTAATACAAGTTAGTCCTTTCTCTCTTTCCCCAGCAAAATGCAGCCTGAGAGCAGAAGGGGGACTCTGGCATTGCTCAGCTTCTCTTGAGTCAGACTGCCACAAGGCACCGGGCTCCAGTGTCCCTCTTCCTCTTCCCGGATGCGTTCCCTCACCTAGCGTGTCAGTCACTTTTTCCTACAGACTCTCCCAGTCTCCTGTGACACCTCTTATCAAAGTTCTGGTCTTCCCTCATTGAAATGATTTGAGCCCTGCACCTCCAGGAGCCATGCTCACCAGAAGCATTGAGAGGCTGTTTGAGTAAAACCAAGCCCAAAGGCCCTGGCTCCCAGAGTACTTTCAAGTGCAGAATAAATAGGTTTGGAATCAGTCCCTGACTTTAATTGGCTGTGATCCAGGACAAGTTACTTAGAGATAAAAGTCACACCTACTTTCTACAGCGGTGATTCCCAAACTGTTACTGCACGGAATTACTTGGGAGTCACTCCTAGAGTCTCTGATGCAGCAGGTCTGTGGCGGGACCCGATAATTTGCATTTCTAACCAGTGCCCAGGGGACAACGAGGCTGCTGATTGGCGACACTTTGACAACCATTGTTCCAGGAAATTCCGGGAGTCTGATGTGAAACTCTCGGTGCAGTTCCAAGCGCAAGGCAAGCGAAGCCTGTTATTACTGTGTCTACCCCGAGGAGCCCTCCTCCGCTCGCCCTGGTTCACACATGACTCCCTAACCGCAGGAGCTCTTCCCCGCTGGCGGCGTCTACACAGCCGGCAACGCCGCGGGCGGGGCGGCGCGAGCGAGAACTCGGGTGAGGGTGGGGCCAGACGCGCGCGCCGACGCGCATGCGTGCGGGAAGAGATGGGGGCGTGGCTCAAGCTCCAGGCCGGAAGCGGTAGGTTGCAGGGGCCGGCCGGTTGCGTCCCCTTTCCGGCTGGTCCCCATGGAGGCTCTGGGGAAGCTGAAGCAGTTCGATGCCTACCCTAAGACTCTGGAGGACTTCCGGGTCAAGACCTGCGGGGGCGCCACCGGTAGGCCGCGGCGGGGCCCGGGTCATGGGGAGAGGGGGGTCCTAGACCTTGGCCGAGGCGCCTGGACCCTGCCGGCCTGCCGGGGGCTGAGGGAGCGGAACCGAGGCCATTCTGACCCTCGCTCCCTGCCCTGCAGTGACTATTGTCAGTGGCCTTCTTATGCTGCTACTGTTCCTGTCCGAGCTGCAGTATTATCTCACCACTGAGGTAAGGGGCGGGGCCTAGTGCGTGGGCGGGGCTTGGCCTTCTACGGGTGGGAGTGGGATAGGAGAGGCATGGGACCAAATCTTACTGAGGTAATGCTGCCCCAGGTGCACCCTGAGCTCTACGTGGACAAGTCACGGGGAGATAAACTGAAGATCAACATCGATGTATTTTTTCCGCACATGCCTTGTGCCTGTGAGTACTTCACCGTGGGTGGGAATTCTAAGTCTCAGGGTTCTCAGGTGGGCTTCCAGATTCACACCTGCAGTCTTAGGTTCCAGACTGGACCCCAGGACAACCTCCTTCCCCTAATCCACTGCTGCCCCAAGACAGGCCGAGTATCCCCTTAACCCTCCAAACGCACAGATTCCTTTGACCCTAGGATCCCAGTACCTCACCCTGACTTCCTGCTTCCAGATCTGAGCATCGATGCCATGGATGTGGCGGGGGAGCAGCAGCTGGATGTGGAACACAACCTGTTCAAGCAGCGACTGGATAAGGATGGCATCCCCGTGAGCTCAGAGGCTGAGCGTCATGGTAACTGAAGGGAGGGGGCCAGATCTCAGATCCCAGAGCTGAACATGTCCAAGCCCTACCTTCTGGCAAGTGGGCTGTGGCCAGCCCAGTGACAAATGAAGCAGCTAGGACCCAGAGAAGTCAAGTAGCTTGCCTAGGGTCCCCAAACTATTATGAATCAGAATGGGCTGAAATCCAGGCTTCTAGCCTCTATATATTGAGTCGAGTACTCTACCTGGCTATCATTCTCAGAGGTCCCTATCCCTGCCTATTTTGATTTGAGTAACAGAAGTTTGACGATGGGTCCTATGTACGGTTCCCTTGGCAGAACTCCTCTAGATGGACTCAAGCATCTCTGGGTGTTTGTTTCCTCATCCCATTGGCTGAATTCAGCCCTTAATGCTCCTCCCCTTTAGAATGCAGAGTGGCTTAAGGTTAAGAGTTTATGTTCTTGAGTTAGATTGCCTGAATTCAGATGTAGCTTTGTCTCTTGCATCTGTGACCTCAGCTCTAAATGATGATAAACACTAGTACTCACTACATGGAATTGTAGGATCAAGTAAAGTAATATGTGTACAATGCCTGGTACAGAGTATCTGTTCACTTTTAGCTTCCTTTCCTCTCTCCAGGCAGCCTCCCATGTCCTCCATTAACTCAGTTTCTCACTGTAACAAAACCCTTCTCAAACTACGATTTTTCACACCTTAGGGATTGCTCTGTTGGTGAGCTTTATCATTCGTTTGTTCAATAAATGTATGTGGAACACCAGGAAAACCAACAGAATTTGCTGTAGGGTTGGATGTAGGGTGGAAGAGAGCAGAGTCAAGGTTGATTCCAAGGCTTTTGGTCCGAGCACATGAATGACTTGTGATGGAGATGACCAGAGAAGAAGAGGATTTTTGTGTGAGAGAGGTGGGGAAATATTATATATCCACTACTATGTAACAAATTACCCCAGAAGTTAATGGCTTAATACATCAGTTTGCTGTTTCAGTTTCTGTGGGTCAGGAGTTCGAGTGGCTTCGTTGGGTGCTTCTGGCTTAGGATGTCTCATGAGGTTGCAGTCAGGCTGTTGGCTGGGGCTGCGGTCGTATGAAGGCTTGCCTGGGGTTGGGAGATCTGCTTCTAAGAGGGCTCACACAGATGGCTGTTGGCAAGATGCCCCAGTGCCTTTGCCACATGGGCCTTTCAGTAGGGCTGCTTGAGTGTCCTCACAGCGTGGCAGCTGGCTTCCCCATGTGCAAGTGATCCAGGAGAGAGCAAAGTGGAAACCACAACTTCTTTTGTGACCTAGCCTTAGAAATTGCACACCATCATTTCTACAATATACTAGTGGTTATACAGATCAATTTTATTCATTATGGGAGGGGGTCTACATAAGGATGTGAATACCAGGAGATGGGGATCATTGGGGACATCTTGGAGACTGGTCCCACAGGGGAGGATCAGGATTTGGGCGCAGATTGCAGATTTGAGACATGTTAAATTTGGGATGCCCATTTTATACCCTAGTAATGTTAAGGAGGCAGATGTACCAGTCTAGGCTTTGGAGAAGGGCTGGAGAAATAAATGTAGGAGTTATCAGCTTAGTGGGATTTAAAGCCACTGGTCTAAATGAGAAAACCTAGGGAGTGAATATAGATAGAAGAGACGTCTAGGGACTATACCCTGGGCCCCTCCAATATTTAGAAGTCAGGAAATGAGGTTCCAGGAAGGAAGATTGAGAGGGATTAGCCATTAAGGTGGAAGAGAACCAAGAGATGTACCAAAAGCCAAGTGGAGGAAGAGTTTCAAGAAGAGAGAGTGAGCAACTGTGTCAGAAGCTACTGATCGTCCAGTAAAATGAGAACTGAGAGTTGACCATTGCAGTTGGCAACACAGAGGTCATTGGAGACTTTCAAAGGAATAGTTTGGATATTGTTGGGGATGAAAATCTGGCCAAAGAGCAGAAGAGCAAGTGGAGATGTCAAGTATTGATGACCGTTCCAGGAGTTTGGCTGTAAGAGAGAGCAGAGAAGTGGGGTGGGCTGGAGGAGAGTGTGGGAGAAGGGGTGGGTTTGGTGCCAAGATTAAGTGAGATTCTTTTGCTTCTCTTAGTGGAAATTGGAAGCAAGATCATTAGTTAAGAGTGAAGAAAGTGGAAGCCTGAGATGAGAGGAAAAGCTGTAACTTAGTCATCTCAAGGAATGGGAGAATGAACCAGTTAGTGAAATGAAGTAGGATTGCCAGGCAGTCTTTAGGCACAGTCAAGAAGTAGGCACAGAGAGCTGAGTTTAACTAGGGTTTGGGTTTTGCTAGGCTGGTACAATGAAGGGAGAGAGGAACAAGTAAGTTGTGGATATGTGCAAGAGAGTAATTACACCAATGGACCATAGAATTTATTTTCCAGTTTTATTGAGATAGAATTAAAATATAGCATTGTGTGAATTTAAGGTGTACAACGTGATGATTTGATCTACATATGCCTTGTAAGATGATTACCACAGTAAGGTTGGCTAACACGTCCATCACCTCACGTGGTTACCTTTTTTGTGTGTATGGTAAGAACAGTTAAGATCTACTCCCTTAGCAACTTTCAGGTTCCCAATACAGTATTGGTAACTATCGTGACCATGCTATACATTAGAACCCCAGAACTTACTGATCTGATAGCTGAAAGTTTGTGCCCTTGACAAACATCTCTCCATTTCCCCTAACCCCTGGCAGCCACCAAAATACCTGTGTTTCTATGAGTTCAGCTTTTGTTTCCGCGTATAAGTGAGGTCATACAGTATATGTCTTTATCTGTCTGACTTATTTCACTTAGCGTAGTGTTCTCAAAGTTTATACATATTGTTTCAAATGGCAGGATTTCCTTTTTTAATAGCTTGATAATATTCCATTATAGAATTTTATATATATATTCCACATTTTCTTTATCTGTTGATAGGCACTTAGGTTGTTTCCATGTCTTGGCTGTTGTAAATAATACTGCAATGAACATGGGACTACAGATATCTCTTTGAGATACTGATTTTTATTTATTTTTTAATATATATCCAGAAGTGGGATTGCTGGAACATATGGTAGTTCTATTTTTAATTTTTTGAGGCACTTCCATGCTGTTTTCCATAGTGGCTGTACCAATTTACATTCCCACCAACAGTACAGAAGATTTCGCTTTTCTTTATATCCTCACCAATATTTATCTCGTTTTTATTTATTTTTTGGATGATAGCCATTCTGACAGGTGTGAAGTGATATCTCATGGTTTTGATTTGCATTTCCCTGATGATTAGTGATGTTGAGCACCTTTTCATGCACCTGTTGGCCATTTGTATGTTTTCTTTTGAAAAATGTCTATTCAGGTCATTTGCCCATTTTTAATTGGATTATTTGTCCTTTTGCTATTGAGTTATATGAGTTCCTTATGTATTTTAGATATTAATCCCTTATCAGATATATTATTTGCATATATATTTTCTCCCATTTTGTAGGTGCCTTTTCATTTTGTTTCCTTTGCTGCGCAGAAGCTTTTTATTTTGGTGTAGTGTCAGGTGTTTATTTTTGCTTTTATTGCCTGTGCTTTTGGTGTCATATCCAAGAAATTATTGCCAAAACCAATGTCAGGGAGCTCTTTCCCTCTGTTTTCTTCTGTATGGTTTTATGGTATCAGATCTTACATTTAAGTCTTTAATCCATTTTGAGTTAATTTTTGTGAGTGGTGTAAGATAGGGGTCCAGTTTCATTCTTTTGCATGTGAATATCCAGTTTTGCCAACACCATTTATTGAAGAGACTGTCATTCCCTGTTTGGACCATGGAATTCTAATAAGAAGGGAATTAAGGACATGAAGGGGTGATAGTGTCAGTGGTTTTAAATAATTGGTGGATCCTGGGTTCCAGAGATAGTGAACTGGAAAAATAAGGCTACATAGTTGAAGACTGGGATAATTGAAATTGAATTATGGAAAGTTTGCCATAATTGGTAATGATAAGGTCTAGGTATGAGCACATAATGGACAGCTGAGGTGTATGACAAAATTAAAAGATTATTGGAGGACAGGAGGTCAGGGTATTGAATATTGTAATCACCAGTTATGATGGAGTAGTTAGAGAGAGTCAGGGAGCCGAGTGCCGAGACAGAGGTCCGAGAAGCACCCTGGTGAAGTGGTCAAGGGCATAAGCTTTAGGATGAGAGCTGAAATCTGCCGCTTACTGTGTTGCATTGAGCAAAGTTACTTCTCATCTCTGAGCCTCAGCTTCTTCTCAAGTGTGGCAGGGATCATAACCTCCTCCTTCCTAGAGTCACTGTGGGGATGAAGAGACGATAGATGTAAAGTACAGCGACCTATACTCAGCTAATACTTAGTATTCACTGTTATTGTTTTATTACTATTACTTTTATTAAAAGAAATATATGTGTAGAAGCATTTGTTGCCCAACACATAGTATGCACTACATAAATATTAACTATTGTTATAACTTTTATTATTCCCAAGCCATAGCCAAAGGGCTTGTGCTTTCACTGTGTCTGCCCCCAGCTGATGGCGCTGCCTCTGCCCTCCCCTTAGAGCTCGGGAAAGTCGAGGTGAAGGTGTTTGACCCTGACTCCCTGGACCCTGATCGCTGTGAGAGCTGCTATGGTGCTGAGACAGAAGACATCAAGTGAGCTGGACCCTGGGGGCGGGAGGGAGCACCAGGGCTCATCCTGACCTCTGTGGGACTCTGACGGGGAGGTCAGACCAAGAATTTAGAGGAGATGGAGTGTGTACCTTGATCACTGATCCTGGTGTAAGCATCTGAGGCTCTGTGCCCAGGCCCTGACCTGGGGATAAGGCTAAAGTGCTCCCTGCTCTGGTTCAGAGGTGGTCTCTGGAGTCCAGCTGCCTGGGTTCCAGCCACGTGACTTTGGGCCAAAGCACGTAATCTCTCTTGTGAAGGAGGGTGGTAATAACACCTTTCTGGTAAGAGTCACGTAAGGATTAAATGTATACCGTGTGTGAAGCTCTGAGGTGGAAGGCCCAGCCAGGTTATTAGGCCCTTGATGTGTGGCAACTGCTGCTGTATTTCCCAGGCCCTGACCCCTGAGAGGCTGATTCCGCAGGACTGGGGTGGGGCCTAGGGATATATATTTTTATATATATACATTTTTTAATATATATATCTTTATATATATGTAAATAAATATGTAAATTTTTAAAATATATATATCATAAATTTTTTTATTGTGGTAAAATATATGTGACATAAAATTTACCATTTTAACCATTTTCAAGTGTATAATTCAGTGGCATTAACTATATTCATAGCATTGTGCAGCCATCACCACTATCTGTTCCAGAACTTGTCATCATCCCAAACAGAACGGGAATATGTATTTTTCACAGTCCCACTCCTGCCGAGGAGACACACTTCGAGGACATTTAGTGGTCAGGGATGAGGCTGACGGAGCCTTCATTAGTGGGCACAACTGCTCATGCTTTATTTCTCAAGGTGCCAGCACTGTTTTCATGCCTCTTTGACCCTCTCACACCGCACCGCCTCTCCTACAGGTGCTGTAACACCTGTGAGGACGTGCGGGAGGCATACCGCCGTCGAGGCTGGGCCTTCAAGAATCCAGACACTATTGAGCAGTGCCGGCGAGAGGGCTTCAGCCAGAAGATGCAGGAACAGAAAAATGAAGGCTGCCAGGTGTATGGCTTCTTGGAAGTCAACAAGGTACAGGAGGGACCTAGGCAGGGCAGGGCCAGCTGGGCTGTGGGTTGGCCCTACGCCACTGTGAATCGAGGGTCCAGTCAGGCCCTCAGGAGGCGAAGGGAGGAAACGGCTGGAGAATTAGAGGGAATATCCCCTACAGGTGGCCGGAAACTTCCACTTTGCCCCCGGGAAGAGCTTCCAGCAGTCCCACGTGCACGGTGAGTGATCCTGCATCAGCCGGGGAGGATTAGACCTTGGACACCTTGGCGAGTTTGAGTGTCCCCTCACCTGCCTGATGTTCCTTTGTCTTGGCCCAGAGCAGACCCTCATTGCAGGGCAGCAGTTAGGTACAAGAGTTGAGAGCACAGGCTGAGGAGCCAAAAAGTTTCTTAACCTTTTTGATCTTTAGTTTCCTACTTTATAAAATAGGGATGGTACTTATCTCCTCGGGTGTTTGTGCAGGTTACAGATTATAGCACAGAGCCCGGCTGCTGGTAGGCACTGTTTAAAAGGTAGCGCCCAATATCAGATGACCTGTGTGGGCAGCTTTGGGGGAAGCAGAGCTGGGGTGGAACACAGGTTCTGCCGCTCCTGGGTTATGTCATATTTGGGAAGTAGTGAGCCCTACTCAGTTTCTTCTGGAAAATGGGGCTGAAGATACTAGTACCTCCTTCACAAGGGTGTTCACAGGGATGAATAAATGAGGTTTATTCTCATTCACTTATTAATTCATGTATTCAGTAGATATTTAGTAATTCCCTGCCATGTGCCACTTGCTAGTCTAGGTGCTAAGGATACAGCAGTGAACAAAACAAAGTCCCTGCCCTCAGAACATTCTAGTAAAGAAGCAGACAATACACAAGTATGTAAAATATATGGTATATCAGATGCTATTAACTAATATGAACCCAAAAAAAGCAAGATAAAGATGACAGAGGCAAGGGCCTAGGGTGAGATGAGATGGTATGTGTGTGCTATTTTATATAAGCGGGTCAGGAAAAGACTCTGATGGGGTGACATTTGAGTAAAGACCTGAAGAATGTCTGGGGTCTGGATGTGGGGGCCGGGGGAGTGTTTCAAGCAGAGTAAATAGTAAATGCAGATCCGTACGCTGAGAATGTGCTTGGTGAGTTCAGGGTACAGTAAGAAAGTTAGGGTGGCCGGAGCAGAGTGAGCAGAGCAGTGGTTAGAAATAAGGTGAGAGAGGTAATGGGGCCGTGTCATGTGGGGCTGGAAGAGCACTGTAGGGTATTGGGCTTTCATTCTGCATGACACGGGCAGTCAGTGTGAGGCTCTGAAGAAGTGGTATATGAGCTGACTTAACTTTGAAAAGGTAAGCAGTGCTCTGCTCTGTGGGGAAGACTTAGGGGGAAAGGACAGAACCAGAGGGGCCAGTTAGGAGGCTATTGCAGTGGTCAGTCCAGGCATGGCATGTTGGGTGCTAGGCCAGACTGGTGGTGGAGGTGGTAGGAAGCGATTGTGTATATTTTGACAGTGGGGCTGAGAAGAGTTGCTGATGGATGTGAGGGGTAAAGGAAAGAGGAGTCAGGAATGACTGCAAAGTTTTGTACCTGAGTAGCAAGAAGAATGAAGTTACCCTTTAGTGAAGGGGCAAGACTCAGAGGAATAGGTTTAGACATTTGGAGTTGGGAGGTGTAGAGCAGGTATGCAGCTTTTGACATGTTCAGACCAGTGGGATTTGGGTATCCTTTTGGACACCCCAGATGTCAAGTGAGCAGTTGGCTATTCAAGTCTGGAGTTCAGGGGAGAGGTCTGGCCTGGAAATAGAAATGTTGGAGTCATCAGCATATTTAAAACCATGGGACTGGATGAAATCGCCCTAGAGGGGAGAGTGGATGGAGAAGAGGAGAGCTCGCAGGACTGAGCGCTGGGCCTCCTACATTAGAGCACAAGGGCATCAGGAGGAAGCTACAGAGGAGACTGGTAAGAAATGCAGTGCAAACCAAGAGAGTAGTGTCCTGAAAGCCAAGGGACGGACGTGTTTCCAGAGCCACATCAGAGCTTCTGGATGTGGAGTAAGAATTGCCCACTGGGTGTATAACATGGCAGTGGTCATTTTGACCTTGACAGCAGTTTGGGTGGAGTGCTGGGAGCACCCATAGAGTGGGTTCAGGAGGGAATGGGAGCGGAATTGGAGCCAGTGAGTGTGGACAGCTGATTTGTGGAGTTTGCCCTAAAGGGAGGAGAGAGTGGGCTGTAGCTGGAGGAAAATGTGGAGTCAAGGGAGGGTTTTGTAAGATGTATGATGTAGCAGAATGTTAATATGCTGTTGGAAATTACCTACTAAAGAGAGCAGAAGTGATGGTCCAGAGATGAGAGCAACAATTACTGGAGTGAAGTCCTTGAGAAGGAAAAAGAAGAATCTGGTGCCTTAGAAGTGTAGAAAGCCCCAACTTGGCAACAGGGGGAAAGGCAGACGGTGTGGGTGCAGGTCAGTTGGCAGCCGGGTGATCTGGAAATCACCAGGAATTGTGACCAGGTTGTATAAGAGAGGGTCATGGCCAGTGGTGGCTAGAATCCTTGAGAAACGGCATGGGCAGATGACCTGTGTGTGGATCTCTAAGTGGTTAAAACAAGTAGGGATAGTTGGTAGTACAGTTTGCTGTGAGCTGCAAAGCTTGGAATTTTTAGGGAAGATCGAGGGACAGTGATCTTGAAGTGGCATTACAGAACAAGGAGGAGGACAGGGGTGGGAGAGAAATACCACACCACTTGGGGGGCTGTAAGGAAAATAGTACCTTCAAGGAAGAGCCAGGCTGTGGGTGGGGCAAGAGGTAAGGAGAATGTTTAGAGGTTGAAGATATAGGGGTTTTGCTGATTAGTAACAGGGCCCCCTAGAAGGATCTGGGAGGGACGGGAGTCGAGATCATATTAGGGGTTGTCCCAAGCCACATTGTGACAAGAGTCCAGGAGATGAGAGATGGCCTTGCAGTCCTGAGCTGCCCAGGGACTAAGGTAAGCAAGAGTAACAGGGCCAGTGGAGAGAGTCCTGCTGGTCTTTAAGGCAGTTTGTAGTGGTGAGGCTGAATGTTGGGGAGGGGCAGGGAGGTGAGTCTGGAGCCCCGTCTTTACTCTGGAGGGGGCTGGTGGTCTCACTGGGATTGTGGCAAAGCAGTTAGTGTCAAGCTGTCAGCATAGGATCTGTAGGCACTTAGTAGGAGGTGGTGCCGGGAGGCGGCTGCAGCATCTCTGCTTCTCCGCCTGGGCTGTTGTCAGAGTCAGGAAGTCAGGAAGCCAGGGCAAAGGTGCTCTGTACCCTGGATGGATGTTCAAAACACAAAGCTACAGTTGCTCGAGTCTAGAGATCTGGCGGAGGTGAAGGCCAGGGAGCAAGTTCTTGACACCCTTGTTGATTTGGTGGGGGAGGAGGGAAGCTTGTAAAGTTTACCAAGTACTTTTCTATCTTTCCATCTTAGATCCTACCTGGTCCTCAGGACAGCCCTTTGCAGAGGAAGTCACTGAGGCCCAGAGAGGACAAGTGATTTGCCCAAGGTCACATAGCTAGGAAAGTGGCTCTTTGGACTCTGCGTCTTTTGTTCTTTCTAGGCCACCATACTTCTGCCTCCAAGACCATTTGCACTCTTCCCTGGCCGGGAAAGGGCTCCCTTGGGGACGGGACCAGGAGGAAGCTTGTTAGTTGAGTGCCCACCCTGCTGCTGAGGCAGGAATATTCCAGTCTTCCCTTCTGCCGTGTATCTTGCTCTGTAGTTCTCATTGTGAAGTTCTGAATCTTTTTTCTCTTCCTTCCCTCTCTCTCCCTCCCTCCCCCATGCTGCAGTACATGCTGTGGAGAGTAAGTGGCCCTGCCCTTAGGGAGGCCAAGCCCCCACTTCTGGGGCAGCCTCCTCTCCCAGGATAGGGGGAGGTTTGGATAGGCCTGGGGTTGGGGCCTTCTCTGGCCTGGCTGCTGGGTGGCTATAAAAAGCACTGGGACGTATCTTTGAGATGCGCTTCCTTGCAGCAGGAGAGATCAGGGTTAGAAGGCTGGAAGAACTTGTTCTGGAACGGATGGTACAGGGCACCCATGGATTTCCTTTGGGGGGCTCTCAGGGTAGGGGCCGAAGAGTCAGGGAAAGCACTTGGACAACATTCTCATGTCCCACCTCACTTTGGGGTTCAGTGGTTGGCCATCACCTCTAGTTAAGGAGAGACCAAAGTCAGTGGGTTTTGTTTCCTGAGATGCAAGCAGGGCCTTGGTGGAAGTGAAGGCCAGAGTGATGCCCTTGAAGGGCTCCCTGTGCACGTCAGGGAAAAAATGGAGTCTGTGTTCTTAAGACCCCTGGGGAGGGCTTGGACTCGCCCACGGGCCCAAGGCAGGCCTTTTCTGGCTGGCCCCCAGCAGGACCAGGCTGGGGTTGGAATGAGGGGTTGAAGAAGAGCCGGGCGGGTCACACTCCAGAGAGAGGAGTGACGAGGCCTGAGCGAGGACTCTGAGGGAGCCAGGAGGCTGGTCCTGCTCCACCTGGTGACACCTTCTCCCTTCTCTCCTAGTCCATGACTTGCAGAGCTTCGGCCTCGACAATGTACGTACCAGGTGGAAACCCTGGAGGGTGGGTGGGGGTGGGAGACTGGTTGCTGCCTTCATTTCTCTGTAGGGACATCCTGGGATCGGGGAGCAGATAAAGAAAAATATACCATATTCTGACAGGGAATCCAGTCTGAGGGCTGAATAACTGGGAGTGACTCTTGGACTGAGATCTGCACAGGCTCGAGACAGGGGGATGGAGTTGGATGAGAGCTTCCCAGGCAGAGGGAGCCTTGGGCAGGGTCAAGAGGGAGGGGGGCACTTCTCAGGGACTACGGGGCTGGTGTAGATGGATGAGGCTGGAGAGATCAGCAAGGACCAGACGACACAGGACCCAGGGGCCGTGCCGAAGAGTCTGGTCTTTCTCTGGAGAACAGTGGGAAACTGTTTGCCTGCTTTAACCAGGGTTGTGACATAATCAGATTGGCATATTTTTAAAGATCCTTCTAGTGGCTGAGTTTGATATAGACTGGAGCAGAACAGGAGCAGGAGCTGGGAGATCTGGGGCTCCTCCAGCCTTTGGCTTCCCTGGCTTGAGACCTCTAGGCAAAGCTAGACCTGCCACACAGGGTCCCTGCCCAGTCTGTGTTTGCCTAATGTATGCATACAGCCAGAACCTCAGACTCCGAAGCCCCAGGAGCCTGCAGACTCTCTGAAGGAGTTCCTAGGTGGGGAGTGCAGGTTCCCGTCTCGGTCAGATTCTCCCAGGCAGGGCCTGTCCCTCCTGCCCGCATCTCCACCCAACCACTTCCCAGACCCCGATGACCCTGTCTGCTACCGTACTCTACAGCTTTGGATGGGGTGGGACCTGTTGGGGCCTTAAATACTCATAGGCCCAGGTGCTGGTGTTGCTTACAGATCAACATGACCCACTACATTCGGCACCTGTCATTCGGGGAGGACTACCCGGGCATTGTGAACCCCCTGGACCGCACCAACGTCACCGCACCCCAAGGTACCAGTCTGGGAGGTAGCCCCCAGCTACCAAAGCGCTGCCCAGCACCCATGCCCAGTGTTCTTTTCTCCCTGCAGCCTCCATGATGTTCCAGTACTTTGTGAAGGTGGTACCCACAGTATACATGAAGGTAGATGGGGAGGTGAGTCTGCAGGAGCTCACATATCAGAGTCCCTTCAACCTGGGAAGTGGAGTGCTGCTCTTATCCCTGTGTGATGGATGATAAGCTGAGGCTCAGAGAGGGTAGGTGACTTGCCCTCACAGCCAGAGTATGGGCCCAGGCTGTTGGATTTCAAAGCACTTGCTTTTTCTACTTGCCCAAACTGCTTCCATCTGTTCTTTTGGTGTCCACTGTCTGTCTGCCTCACTGTGCCCTGTGGTCTGCCCTGGGCTGGGGGCTAGCCAGGCCAACCCTTCCTGGGCCCCCTACTCCCCTCTCTGCTGTGGCCTGTGGAGCAGCATCTCACCAGACTGCTAGAATGCATGGGACTGAGAAGCAGAGGAAGTCAGGCCCAGACTTGCCAGGAGCTCATGGTACAGCCTTGGAGAGTAGCTTCTCATCCCTGGACCCCACTGAGAGTATCCACCAAAAGTAGCCAGGATTGGTGAACTGTAAAGAGCTGGTGACCAGAGCGGAAGCTGGGGTGGTGAGGCTGAGAGTGGACGTCTAGGTGGTCCCCCCCCTTGCAGTGTGCATTACCAGCGTGGGGCCTCATTTTCTCCTCCACACAGTCAAGGCACCACAGACAAGGGGCAGGAGCAGAGGTCAGGCTGAGGAGGGTTGGGACCAGGTCGTAGACCTTGCCCTCCCCCAGACTTCCCTCCCACCCCAGGTGCTGAGGACAAATCAGTTCTCTGTGACCAGACACGAGAAGGTCGCCAATGGGCTGATGGGCGACCAGGGGCTTCCCGGAGTCTTCGTGCTCTATGAACTCTCGCCCATGATGGTGAAGCTGACAGAGAAACACAGGTGAGGGTGGGGAAAGGGGGGCCTGGGCCTGCAGGGAGTGGGGATGCCTGCTGACCCCCCACCCCTCTGCCAGGTCCTTCACGCACTTCCTGACGGGCGTGTGCGCTATCATCGGGGGCATGTTCACAGGTTAGAAGCTCAAGGGTGGCTATCTGGGGTTGGGGGCGCGGTGGGGAGTGTAAAGCCTGGGCGCCCCCCGATTGGGGGAAGAGGGGTACCTCCAGGGCCAAGGGGAGATACTGGCCTGGCCAGTTAGGTGACAGGGTTCTGGAGGTCAAGCCAACGGCCTAACTGGGCCAGTGCCAGCCATTGTCTCTCTCACCAGTGGCTGGACTCATCGATTCGCTCATCTACCACTCAGCTCGAGCCATCCAGAAGAAAATTGATCTAGGGAAGACAACGTAGTTGTCCCCTTCCCCCTCTGTTGTTCCCTCTTTCTCCTGTTTCTCTTTAGGCTTGTGGCCATTTTCCCAGCCTCTTTCCCCACCACCCAACCCCTACTCGGAGAGTCAGTCGCAGCCCCAGGTTGATAAATCTATTGATTGTGATAGTACTCACTGGTCTCCGTGTGGTTCTTGGGATGGGCTGGAGCCTGGGAACAAACCCTCATCACAGCTGCTTAGTGAAGGTAATCAGAACTGACAAATCGGGGCAGGTGCCCTCTGGGAGCCCCACATGGATGTCCCCTGGTTAATAGGGCTTTATTCAAACCAGACTGGTGTCTACCCCACAGCCCTGTCCTTAGTCCTTCCTCTGCTTCAGTCTTCGGGCCTTTTGGGTTCAGGGCTGAGATGGACCTTTCCATGTGAACTTCCTGGAGCCACCGTGGCCCCCAGGCTCATGAGTGTCGGATGCCTGTGGTAGTAGGGCCCTGGGTGCAGTCTGGGGCTTGCCACCTCTTCAGTGATGGCTAAAGCTGGGCCCCCCACCACCACCCTGGGCTCAGTCACCTGATCCCCGTCTGTTCACTCACCCTGCTCCATGCCAAGCCCTGCTGGCTGCTAGTGCTGAGAGGGGTCTAGCCAGGTCCTGTGCAGTCTCCAAGGTGGAGACAGAACTGAAGAAAAGGGAGGGAAGGTAGCAGTGGCCATTCTGGAGCAGGGCCAGCATCAGACTCCAGCTCTGGACCTAGTCAGGGCTTCTCATTATAGCCCTTTATACACGTGGAGAACCAGGCCCTGAGACCTCACACTGCACAACCCAGGGAATCAGGGACGTTAACAGCTGGTTAGTTCATCCAGTCATTTCTCAGGGAGTTTCAGTGTAAGACACTAGTAGGGGGAGAAGCAGAGAGAGGACAGGAAGCAAAGTAGGCCAATGATAGCAAAACCTTGGAGGTAGACAGACCTGAGATCCAGCTCTGATGTGATGATCATTTAGCCATGTGACCTTGGACGTGTTATTTAATCCCGCTATGGGCAGCAGTCTCATCTATAATGTGTAGGTGATACTGCCAGCTGTAGTGAGCCTTCTTTTTTTAGTCACTCAGGAACCATTCCCACTTGTTAATGGCATCCTGAATTTCCTCTGGGAACTCCCTGTCCACCCTGTCAGCTCGTGGTTGGGAGGAGGGTAGGTGTCCCACCCTAAGCTCCAGAGAAGGGCCCCATCCAGCATATCCCACTCCGCTGGCCACAGCGGCCCAGTCAGGCTCTGTCAGGACTAGGAAAGCTTTCTTTCCTTCTGGATGTGAATATGGGAGGACGTGTGGTTGCTGCAGCCATCCTGCACTTCCAAGAGGAGACTATCTGCGAGTGAGCTAGCCCCCAGAGGACAGCAGAGCTGAGCCCAGAGTTAGTGAATCATTGTGACATCATTTGACCCCTGTGACGAGGTGCACCTGAAGCCAGCTAGCCAAACCCTGGGAATTACAGCAAGGAGAGCCAAAAAATTCCCTTTTTGCTTATGCCAATTTGGGTTGGGATTTCTAGCACTTGCAACTAAGTGTCCTAACTGATTTGCCAACTCTCAGGGTTGGTGAAGAATAAACAAGTTAATGAAGTATGGGAAGTGTTTAGCTGTCATGGAATGGCAGAGGCCATAGATTAGGTGAGAGGGACCCAGCCATTGGCAGGAGCAGGAGCAACAGGTGGGCTGCTCAGAGGGCATGGCACCTCGGTGGCCAGGGGTCCTCAGCCCTAGAACCTCTTGCCAGGTCCTGTTCTTCCCAGTGGCAGGGCCTTGTGGGCAGCCTTCCATCCCTGTGTATTCATTCATCCCGTAAATCCCCAGCACCTGAGGTCACCTAAGAACGTCTCTGTTCTCTGCCCCTGGGGTTATTCTGAGCAGCACATATTTAGGCATCAGAGTGGATGCATGATAAGGTTTACTCAAAGCAAGCAGTGAAGTCGGATAGCTCATATTAGTGGGAAGGACGGCCAGGAGTGGGAGTTGAGGGGTTGGCATTATGGGATGAGTGTCCAAGGTCAGTGTCACGGGGTTGGTGGAGGGGGCGGAAGATGACCTGGCTGATCTGGCCAGGCATGGTGTAGAAGACGAGGAGGAGGAAGATGGTGATCAAGGCCAGCAGCAGCAGCAGCACCAGGATGCGCCAGTACCGGCGTAAGATGAAGAAGACAAAGGTCTTCAGTGGGTTCACAAACCAGTTGAACGAGGTTTTGGGGCGGCTGTGTGGGGAAGGTGGCGTCAGAATGATGAGGAAGCCCCTGGGCCGCCCCCAGCTCCCTTTCCTCAGCCCTGGCCTGGACTCCTGTGCCCCCCAACTCACTTGGGCTTCTCTAAGGGCTCAGGCTCCTTCCGCCCCTTCCCCACTGGCCGTTTCTCTGCCTCCTCCACAGTCAGCAGCTCAAATTCTGCCTCCACTTTCCCCTAGAAAAGGGGGAAACAGAAGCGAAGCTCTTGGGCGGGCTCAGGCCTGGCCCTCCGCTGGCCCGTCCCTGCCCTGGCTGCACCCACCGTGAGGATGTACATGTTGCCGCCAGAGTCTGAAAATTCTAAGTCTTCTGGCCGGCCCTTCCTCCTCTTCCTCCGCCTCTTCTTGCCAGCCTGCGCCTCCCGCTGCTCCCGCTCCTCATCCTCCGGCTCCCGCAGCTTCACTACAGGCCACCAGCCCCGCAAGCGCCGGGTGCGAAACAGATTGCACCTCGGCCCGGTCCCGTCCTGGGCCAGCCGCACAGAGCAGAGCTCGGGGCCCTGGGCCCCACGCACCATGTCTGGTAGCTGCAGCTCCAGGGAACCTGCAAGTCCAGAGCTCTCCGGGTTAGGCAGGAGATCAAGGTGTATCTGGGCCAAGGGGGAGGAGGCGGCACAGCAGGACACAGTCAGGGTATCAGACAGCTATGGACCACACACCACAGCCCAAACGTCAGCAGCTGTCAGACCCTGATGAAACAGGGCCAAGGACCGGACCAGATTGCCAAAGCAGGGTCCACGGGCCATGGAGTCAAGAGTCCAGAGTGACCTGGCTCAGGTCAAATCAGAGGATTGAGTCGGGGACTTTGGATGGGAATGGAGGTTATGGTGCTCAGGGCTGAATAAATTCAGTAATTAGGCCAGAACACAAGGGTTAGTGACCTAGGGTCTGAAACCCAGGTTTCAGTGTTGGGTTCGAGAAGAGAACCTCAGGCCAGTGGGGTAGGGCCAGGGGGGCAGGGGCAATGAGGGCAGTAATTGGGGCTAGGGGTTGAGGTAGGAAGAAGGCTAAGCAGTACCAAGGAAGTCGTTGGCGGAGATGCGGTCATAGTCCCAGACCTGCAGGACCAGCACAGCCGGCTGCCGGAACTCAGCCTCCTCCAGGGCGAAGGGTCCGGGCTTGCGCCGGACGCTCACCTCCCGCTCCGTGGGCAGGTAGTCGAAGCGGAATACGAAGCGCCAGTTGAAGTTCCCCTCCCCAGTCAGAGAGTTGAAGTGGACGTCTGTCTCCTGCTTGTCGTGCTCCAGCCCCTTCACCCAGCTGGAGCCAGGGGAAAGGTGCAGGTGGAGGGGGTGGGCAGCAGTGCTGGGACCAAACCCAGAACTCGGCTCCTCACCCAGCTTCCCCTTGGCTCACCCAGCATGCCAGTCCCTTCCCCCAGCTCCAGGCACAAGAGAGGGCCTAGGGGACAGGGCTCTGGCTCAGCGCAAGGGCCTAATAAGCCCCTGTTTGCTATCTCACCTCAGTCTACAGCCATCGGCCCAGCCCCACCTGCAGGCCTACCTTTTCACGTAGATGTCACTTGACATCTCTCCAGTGAGCGGGTTCACATCATCCAGAACCACATCTTCCGTGTTCCAGATAATGACTCTGAGCTCGTAGCTGGGGGATGTATTGGGAGAGGGTTTTTAGACTCATGAGAGGGGTCCTGAGAGGGGCTGCAGGAAGCGGGAAGGACCCCGGCCAGGGCCACTGACATTCACTGAGCACCCGATACCAGCTGGGTGATCAGGACATCTGTGTTCCCTTAAAGGGACAGCCCCAGGTATCACCGACTCCCCTAGCCACAGCGGATGGCACCAGGAATGGTCTGCTGACCCAAGTTGGGCCAACAAGTTTCTCTCCCCCATAAATTTGGAATCAGAACCCTGAAAGGTCGAGTTGTGTATCAACAGAAGCAGAGTTGGAGGCACTGCAAGCCAAAGTGAGGTGCAAGCTGAAGTTTTAGGGTACAAAAGAGAGAAAGCCAGTCTGCAGAGAGAAGTGGGTGAAGGAGCGACAGAGTGGTGATGACAGCACATGCTCCTCAGGGACAGAAGGAGGGGCTGCAACATTCTTGATCCTACCCCAAATAGCCCTGTCCTTGACTGTCATGAGCTTCCTGGATATCTCTGGTTTTCTCTTGCATCAATTTCCCCTCATTTGTTGACAGCACCCTGATTTTCTGTTGGTGACCCCTACCCCCATGCCCACTACTGACAATCTGTGTGATTCTGGTGGGGCAGACCCACCCCTACCTGGCTGCAGAGGTGGGTACATCACCTAGGATATCACCTAGGACTGGCCAATCAGCATATTACAGCCCCCTGACCACAATGTTTGGTTCAGGGATCAGCATTCAACCCAAGCTGGTCCAATGAGAGTCAGCCCTGAGACTTTTGCTCTAACTAGGAAAGAGGTGTTTATTTTTCTACTCAAGTAGTCTAGTTGGTAAGATGTAAGCCCAGCACCATTAAAAGGCACCTTGCCTCCGGACTGCAAAAGCCTGCTTGAGAGTGACACCAAGGAAAGCAGAGCCCAGAGGTAGAAAATGACAGATTGCTGACATCTGAAGTACATACACCCCACATAGAACTCCACTCAGACTAGCTCAGGTAGGAAGGGGGTGTATTGGTATTTGAACCCTTTCAGGTGCAAGTGACAGACACCAAACTCACAATGGCTTATGAAAAAAAGGGAATTTAAGGGCTCTCCTAACTGAAAAGCCTAGTTCAGTAGCCTCTGCCTGCTTTACTGAGGGCTTCGGTTTTCAGAAGGGCCCTCATAGGGCAGTCCAAGATACACCCACCCCATGGGAGGAGAGGGCAGGACTCTCTCTCACCTGACTGGCTGCCGAGGCTTGATGTCAACCGGGGGTGGAGCAGGCACATCCCGAGGGAAGATGTCAATCCACATGTGAAGTGATCCCTGGGGACACAGGAAGAGGCTGAAGGGTCTTGCTGGGGTCCCCACCTCCCACGACAGCCCTGCAGCCAGTGACTATGCCTTGCCCCAGGTAGAGAGAAGAGCTGGGGTCAAGAGTGCACAGTCGGGCAGATCCTAGGAGATGAAGATGAGGGTAGAATCTGAAGTGAGGGTTCCAGGGTTGAGGTTAGGTTAGGGGTTCAGGGATGAGGCCCCAGAAGTGGAAGGTTGAGATCAAAAGTAAGATCTGGTGTTCCCAATGTCCAGATCCTAGGGACCTGGGGTAGAGGTCAGGTTGGGAGCGCTAGGTCTGAGCCTTGGTGGCCCAGAGTGGGTGGGGATCCTGCAGGACCAGAGTTGGGGGTGGGGGGGTGGGGTCCAGGATAGAGGTCCAAGACTGGAGTGGGGATACTGGGGACCAGGATCAGAAGCCAGAATCAGAAGTGGCAGAGTGGTGCCCAGGTGGAGGTCTTGGGGAAAGGGCATCCTGGGGCCCCAGGGTCCAGGACCAAGTGGGAGTCCTGGGGTTCTGGGGTTGATTGCTGAGCCCTCCTTCACCTGCAGCAGCCCCGGGCTGCGGGGATGGTAGAGGGGTCGTGTTTCTACGTGCTCTGGTACCAGCTGGATCCCAAGCTCTGGCATCTCCTGCCAGCGCTGCAGCACCAGCAGAGCCTGGGCCTCCTCAGAGACCTCACTTGCCACCTTGGGGCACCCCCCACCTGCAACAAAAGGTGTGTGAGTGTGGGTTCCACAGAGTCCCCAGGCCTCCTCCCTTCTTCCTCACACCCCTCAACAGAAGCTCTAAGTGGAGGCAGCCGCTGCGTTAGACAAAGCCCGTGGGCAGGATGGCAAGTGCACAATGCACAGAAAGTGGGAGGATGCTGCTGTAACAACTTTTGCCAGCGAAAAGCCAGCAGTGAGGGGGACAGCGGTATTGGAGGGGCTGTGGCCTTTACACAGACCCTGTTTAGAGACAGATCACCAGCCATTTATGAGGCATGAGCTCAATTCTGCAGCCACATCCTGTTGTATGGTATCCCCTATGGGCCAATCTGTGTTCTGGGAATTCAATTAGCTAGGGTTCTGAGGGTCCACTTTGGCTTTTGGGGATTTCACACTCACCAACAAAGACCATTTTCTCCCCACCATCCAAGAAGCTCGTCCTTACTCGGCCAAACTCACTCCCTCTGCTTGCAGAAGGAGGGGGCTCTTTTGGGAGCACACTAGACTGGGCACCAGGGGGCCCCTGTACCTTGTTCTATCACCTTGCTCCCTCTGGACTGTCCAACAGAGAGGGGCTGGTACCTGGCAGCATGGTCTCAGGCGATGTCAGAAAGACTTTGCTGCCCACCTTGACAGCCCCGGCTCGATATTCAGGACTGGGGAGGCCACAGCGTTGGCACAGACCCGCCAGGATCTGCGAAGGCCGGAATGCATCACGCCAGGCATTGTACCCGTCCCTGCGGGCAAAAAAAGGAAGATGCCTCTGCTGGGGCTGGCATATGGACACAACTGGCCACAGGGGTAGGGATGGGGACCCTTGAAGACGTGGGATCCAGATTCATAACTCCAGTGGAAGACAGATTAATCCTTGCTTATGGTACCCATGAAAATCAAAGATGTATGCCAGGTGCTCCTATGAAGGAGATACTGATATTATTACTTTCATTTTGCAGATGAGGAAACTGAGGCTCAGAGGGGTCAAGTGACTTATGAGCTACATAATTCCAACTCCAAAGCCCAGGTCTCGACCACTAAAGCTCTAACGTCTTAGTCACGGGGTCCCCTTCTGTGAAATCAGAGAATCTAGAAACACCAATGGGAATGTGAACTTGAACATCTTTGGTCAGACTCAGAATGGCTCCTGAAGGCCTGTCAGACTCACACGTCATACTGGGAGGCCAGCCCACAGTTTGCCCTGTGGTGGCTGTAGAATCGATTTTCCAGATCAATGTGGGTCTCCCCGATGAGGTCGTCAGAACCCACAAGGTCATGATCAAACACAGCCACTGTCAGCTCCGGTTCAGCAGGGAGAGAGATGCTGAGCTCCAGGACCCTGGCCAGGAGGAAGAATAGCTGAGGCCACCTCTATGCCCTAGGAGGCGGTCTTGTGGGGGTAGGGGTGTCAGGGGTCTCAGCAGCCTCTGACCATTCTCCCACCATCACCACGCCAGCTGCCTGAGTGGCAGCCTGTGGGCCACAGGGTCAGATGATAAAGTCACTCCCCATTCCCAAGCCCGGGGCCCAGCCTCACTCTCCAAAGATGGGGTTCAGCTGCTTAGGGATGTAGCGCTCCTTGGAGTCCTGACGCTCCTGGCCAGCGCTCACCACCACGTAGGGGTCTGCTTTGCCGTTGGGGTCCGCGGGAGCCAGGTTGGTAGCCTAGGGGGACCGTATGGGGTGGAACTGAGAGAAGTGTCATTGTCATGACCCAAGGTTACGCTTGCTGGACCTAATCTCAGATTAAGTGTAAGCAGGAAGTTACCAAGCCAATAAGCATATGGCAAGATGCTCAAAATGCTTAGTCATCAGGGAAATGCAAATTAAAACATGAGCTAATTTCAAATACACTAGAATGACTAAAATAATAAAGACTGACAATACCAAGTGTTAGTAAACGTGTAGAGCAACTGGAACTCTCATATGTTGCAGGAAGGGGTGTAAAAAACACTAAAAGTATATTGCTGTATATAAATTATACTTCAATAATTTATATATGTTATGTATTTACTAAATTATATAGTTATCAAAACAGAAAAAATGTAATATATACAGTTTAAAAAACATGCAAACTGGTGCTGTCTATTGCTGAGGGATGCATATATATGTAGTAAAAGTACTTTTACCTTTTTTGTGAGTGATAACCACAATGAGTTAACTGAGAGACTGGACAAGATGACTTTTATTTTCTTTTAAATGTATTATGAAATACATAAGAAATGCAAATAGGCATAATGAAAAATATAATGAAACACTGAAAATTTGTGGAAAGATGTATAAGAGCTTTACTATCCAATTCATAACTTTCTGTATAGTTTGACTTTTATTTTTTACAATGAGCATCTGTTACTTTTTTAATCAAGAGTATTTTAACTAAATAAAAGAATCACACAATGTGCATATATGCCCAGCTTGTTAAATAAAACACTACCAACAAATGGAAGCCCTCTGAACCCCTTACCTGATTTAATTCCCTTTCCATCCCTGAAGTAGCCAGAAGCTTTACTTGGGGTTTATCACTCACAAAAAAGGTAAAAGTACTTTTACTACATATATATGCATCCCTCAGCAATAGACAGCACCAGTTTGCATGTTTTTTAAACTGTATATATTACATTTTTTCTGTTTTGATAACTATATAATTTAGTAAATACATAACATATATAAATTATTGAAGTATAATTTATATACAGCAATATACTTTTAGTGTTTTTTACACCCCTTCCTGCAACATATGAGAGTTCCAGTTGCTCTACACGTTTACTAACACTTGGTATTGTCAGTCTTTATTATTTTAGTCATTCTAGTGTATTTGAAATTGTAGCTCATGTTTTAATTTGCATTTCCCTGATGACTAAGCATTTTGAGCATCTTGCCATATGCTTATTGGCTTTATGTATATTTTCTTTTGTAAAGTGACTGTTCAAACCTTTTGCTCCACCATTGAGTTTTTAATTTGAAATATTACACTTTTAATTTCTAAAAATTCCATCTGGTTCTTCAAATTTGCTCTTTACTTTTATTATTTTTTATTTATTTTTTTTTATTTTTTCCGAGGAAGATTAGGCCTGAGCTAACTGCTGCCAATCCTCCTCTTTTTGCTGAGGAAGACTGGCCCTGAGCTAACATCCGTGCCCATCTTCCTCTACTTTATATGTGGGACACCTGCCACAGCATGGCTTAATGAGCGGTGCCTTGTCCGCACCCGGGATCCGAACCAGCGAACCCCGGGCCACCAAGCAGAACGTGGACAATTAACCGCTGTGCCACGGGGCCAGGCCTGCTCTTTACTTTTAATAGTCTCTTGTTTCTTGTGCATTTTAAATGTATTCTTTTATCTCTTCAAACATTTCATATATAGTTATTTTATGTTCTCTAGTCATTCCAATATCAACGACCCTGGGGGTGTGAATCTGCTGTTATTTTTGCTATTCTTATTCACAGCGGCTTGTTTCTTTGTAATTGGGTACTTTTTATCTGGACTCACACTAAGTTAATCTCATCCTGAGGGCCCAGCCTGCAGGTGCTCTCCGCCAGGAAGGGCTTGCTTTTGCTTCTGCCCAGCTTCCTGGGCAAAGTACCAACCTGCAACCACTTTAAATGAAATCCTCCAGTTGAGGTTTGGGGCTCACAGAGATGGTAGGAACTCAGGCCCAGAACTGCACTAGAGCTGGCCTGTGGTCATGGATGCTTAGGGGAAATTTGTCCCCTATAACCAGTGCCAAGTTTCAGACAGGCAAGTTTCCTTGGTGTCCCCTTCTGTCTTACAAGTTCCTGTTCTTGTTCATCCTTATGCCGAGGGTTTAGCCTTGTGGGGCTCCGCTTTACGTGAGGTCTTCCAGTCACACTCCTCCCCTGGGCTTTATCTTCTGTCCCCATTGCCTGTCAGCCATCTATGGGAACGCTGAGGTCTCCAGGGTCAGCAGTAACTGTGAAAGCACTCACTTATCTCCCAAGGTTCCTATGTTAACTCTATCTGCTTATTTTCTTTATTCTGGATACTCTGGTATCCAGATTGGGGCTTTACTGATCCTGGAGAGACTGCCCTTCCCAGGGCTAGCTAATCCTAGAGTTAGTGAACAATGCACCTGTTTTATATACAAACAACCAATCCAGAGCCCATGCTCTGAACCTCCTCTATTTGGCTCTTATTCTCCAGGAAGTAATATTCCTCTGCCCTGATCACCCCAGGGCCAGGTACCAGACAACTAGAGACAGGGAATAGTCCCTGTACGCCAGAACCCACAGGAATTATTCAAACTAACCAATCCTAAGCCTGCTTACCCTGCCTTGTCTTTCCTGCAGGAACCACAATAAGGGCTCTGCCCCTCACAGGCCCCTCGCTCCTTCTGCCTCCTGACTGACCCTGGTGCTTCCCTGTGTGGCTCTGCACGGTGCAGCATCCCCCCTCCTCTTGAGAACTGAAACAAACAACAGACTGTCCTTTCAATGACAATGGTCTCCTGATCTGTTAGCCTCACCATACATGGCCACAAAGAAAATCCTGGGTACACTTTAAAATAGCTCCTGCTTTTACTTCGGGTCCTGCCCAAAATCACTTACTTTCTTGGAAGCTCAGCATTGCATTTAAAAGATTTTTTTCCCCAGTTTTATAACATATCTTTATGAAAGATGTTTTAAAAATTTTCCCCAGCATTTTTAGCTTTTGGTGAGCGGTGCAAGCTTTAACCCTCGGGGTGGGCCCTGCCACCTTGAGACACAGACTGGGTTAACCCTGAGCTCTGCTGAGTGATGTCCTCTCCCCGCTCTCTTGTGCACACTACTTCATCTGCACAGCTCTCAGACACTCTTCCAGCCTTCCTGTGGTTTGCAGTTTAAATGCTCTGATTTCATAATTGGAAGCCGGATTTTTGTTTGTTCTCTTTGTTTTGGGATGATTTTCAAGAAGAGGAAGGCGAAATCCTCTGTTGGAGCCATCTTCCACAAACTGAGAATCATCCAACTTGCTTACTTCATCCAAATTTATGTTGGGAGCTTTATCCTTGTGGATACATCTTGCTGCAGTTTTATCCATTTAACTGTAGTATTTGTTATATGACTGACACCCTCTCTCTCTCCTATTTAGGAACACTAACACTTTAGGTTATTTCTAAATTTTTTATTATTACAAATAATACTGGAAAGAGCAATTCTTATCTGTTTGCTTATACATACATGTAAGAATTTCTCGAAGATTATTTCTAGAAGTATACTTACTGGGTATTGGCTATGAGAATCTTTCATCTTTTTAAATATTGCCAAATTGTTCTCTAAAGTTGTTATAGTAATTTACATTCTGTGGCAGGCAGAATATTGTGCACCCTCTCCCCCTCCACCGCCCCCTGCAAGATGTCCAAGGACTCATCCCCTGAGTTTATGGATATGTTACCTTACACGGCAAAAGGGACTTTGCAGATGCGATTAAATCAAGAGATGGAGATGGAGATGAGATGGAGAGATTGTCCTAGATTATCCAGGTGAGCCCAGTGTAATCACAAACGTCCTTATAAGTGAAAGAGGGAGACAGGAGAGTCAGAGATTTGAAGATGCCGCCATGCTGGCTTTGAAGATGAAGGAAGAGGCCATGAGCCAAGACACACAGGCTGCCTCTAGAAGGTCAAAAAGACAAGGAAACAGTTCTCCCCAAGAGCCTCTAGAAGGAATGCAGCCGGCCAACACCTTGATTTTAGCCCAGTAAGACCTGTTTTGGACTTCTGCCCTTCACAACTCTAAGACAATAGATCTGTGCTGTGGAAGTCACTGAGTTTGCGGTCATTTGTTATAGCGGCCACAGAAAACTCACACACCTTCCCACCAGCACTGCGTGGAACTCCACAGCCTCCCCAGACCCCATCCGGTAGCACTGCTAATCTTGCCAGTTGAAAGGAGGAAATTGCTTTCTCACGATTTCAATTATTTGCATGTCCTGATTACTATTAAAGTTTAGGATTTTTTATATGTTTATTGGCCATTGGAGTTTCTTCTTTGGTCAATTGCCTTTTCATATTTTTTCTCAATTTTTCTTTTCTTTTTTGTCTGCTTCTTATAGGTTTGTAGGAGTTATTACGCATATTGCAGACACTAACCGTAAATTGATTAGGCATAGGGCAAACACCTTACTCCTGTCTGTGTCCAGTCTTGTCACTTATTTTAAAGTTTATGGATGCCCAGAAGTTTAATCTCAGTGTAGTCACATGTATCATTTGTTTCCTAATTTATGGTTTGTACTCTTTTGCATATTAAGAAAACTTCCCCCCACCCAAGATCATAAAGATATTTTAATATTAGCTTACAGTTTTGCTCGTTATAATCAAATATTTTATTTTGCTGGATTTTTATGTGAATGCTGTAAATTAGGAGTTTAATTTTATTTTTTTTCCACATGGGTAAGAAATTTTCATGGGACCACTTCTAGAACAGTCCCATTCCCCACCCCCAACTAATCTGCAGTGCGAACTCTGGTATAAATTTCCATCTAAGTCTGGGTCTGGTTTTTTTCTTTTGAGGAAGATTAACCCTTAGCTAACATCTGCTGCCAATCCTCCTCTTTTTGCTGAGGAAGACTGGCCCTGAGCTAACATCTGTACCCATCTTCCTCTACTTTATGTGTGGGATGCCTACCACAGCATGGCTTGATGAGCGGTGCCATGTCCGCACCTGGGATCTGAACCGGCGAACCTGGGGCAGCCGAAGCAGAACGTGTGCACTTAACCGCTGTGCCACCGGGCTGGCCCCTGGGTCTGTTTTTTTTAAAGATTTTATTTTTCCTTCTTCTCCCCAAAGCCTGCTAGTACATAGTTATATATTCTAGTTGTGGGTCCTTCTAGTTGTGGCATGTGGGACACTGCCTCAGCGTGGCCTGATGAGCAGTGCTCTGTCCGCACCCAGGATCCAAACCAGTGAAACCCTGCACCACTGAAGCAGAGCGTGCAAACTTAACCACTTGGCCATGGGCCGGCGCCTGGGTCTGTTTTGTTAAATTTCTACCCTGTTGCCATCTTTCCCCCCACTGCTCTGCAGTGCCAACTCTGGTAAAAATTTCCATCTATGTCTGGGTCTGTTTTAAGTTCCTACCCTGTCCCATTGGCCTATTTATCTATTCCTATGCCCAAACTACACTGTCTTAATTACTATAGCTTTGTAATAATTCTTGTCTCCCTACATCGTTCTTCCAAATTGTCTTGGCTATTGTTGGCGCTTTGCTCTTCCATAGAAATTTTAGAATTAGCTTGTTAATTCCAGGGTAGCAGCTCTCAGCTTCATGCCTGGCTTATGGGAGACACTATTATGTACTATTTGAATGCTACCTTGATCTCATTCTCCCTGTTTCCACCCCTTTACCATTCCTCTCTTTAGGTAACCAGCTTCTTTAGTTTCTAGTTTATCCTTCCGATATTTCTGGGGCACAAAGGAGCAAACATGTATTTTCTTATATCTTCTTCTTTCTCACATGGAAGTAGCATACACACTATAGATACTCTTTTGCACTTTGCTTTTTTCATTTTATTACTATGTCCTGGAAATCACTCCATATCATTTCATAGAGATCTTCCTCATTCTTTTTGACAGTTGCATAGTACTCTGTTATACTGTTCTGCTATGTATGGGCATTTAATAAGATTTTATTTTAATGGTCTTCCATTTTTAGAAATTGTATGTGATTATTTTCAAAACTGCCCAGTCATTTTTGATAGCCTCTTGTTTTCTACTTGTGAAATATTTTAATAGTTGTTTTACATTTCTAATATTTGAAAATTCTAACATCTGAAGCCCTTAGAAGTCTAATTCTCCTTTGTGTTGTTTTTTCTGACAATTTTTCCTGATCAATTGTTTTCTTATATATTTTGTAATTTGGGGTTATCTAAATCTATGGAATCTGTGAAGCCTGATTTGGGACCACTTTAAGACAATCTCTCAGCTTTGAGTTTTCTAGACTAAGCAGATAATATAAATTCAAGTGTTAAATCAATGTGAGGGCAAAATTCTAATAATATATTCTCAAAGAAGACCTTTTTTTCTATTTTCCCGAATTGGAACAGAGGCTGAGACAGACCACTTACTTTACAGGCTCCTTTCCCAGTGGGTGGGCTTCCTCTTGCCCACTTTTCATGAGAACAGAGCCCTTCCTGGGTGCTGCTTCATGCAAGGGTCTTGGTTGTGTCTCCAACCCTGGATAGGCTATTAGAAGCCAAGGCTAGGGGTCCAGGGATGGACAAATCCTCTCAAGATAATCTGAGCTTCAGGACTTGTTCAGGGATTCCTGCTGCCTCCTCATTTTGGCCCTCTGGTAATTCCCTTTCTTATGAGCTTGGCATTTGTTTAAAAGATTGTTTATCTAGCATTTCTAGATGTAATATATCAGGAAGTTATTTCAGATGATCTAGTCTGCAATATTGCCAGAAGCAGAAGGTCAAGATGACTCCTACTATCTAATTTATGCATGAAGATGCTTAAATTATGGTAGAACAGTGCCTCAGAATGCTTCTTTAAATTATATCTTAGTCAGAATCCCTATATTTAAACCAGATAAAAGTACAGCATCTGTTCTGTTTCTGGGAGTAAAGGGGCAGCAACCCACTCATTCCCCTCATTTCCTGAGATGCCTTTAAGGAAACTTCAGGGCCCTGCTGAGCACCATATGAAAACTGCAGCAATGGAAGGACATGTACCAACACGTTTGATGACAAGCCATTGTGAAGCTTGACGTTCAGAGCTGTGCTCTTCCTGGAATTATACTCCCCCTTCTATGGGACTAGAACTATGAACAAGGGGTCAGGAGACCTATGCTCTAAATTCTGGTTCTGCCATGAGCAAGTTTTGTAAGCCTGGGGAGTCACTTAACTTTGTGCCTAAGATTTCCCACCTGAAAAATGAAGAAGCTGGACTCTGATCCCTGAGGTTCCTTCCAAATCTTTCAGCCTATAGGTTTCGTGTACATTACCTTGGCTGGAGTTGAAGGCATGCAGAAGTGACAGATGCTCACCTTTACAACATAAACTCTGACCAGGAGCTTGATGGGCCGGTTCTGTGGGATCCCCCGGGAGATCTGGGGCTCAGAGAACGACATTGCCTCTGATTCAGGGTAGATGAGGAAGGAGCCCTGGAGGTGAGGATGAAGGAGGGCAGTAAAGGCCCCGGTAAGAGAATCTTCCACCTGCATCCTCACCTGTGCTCCCTGGTTCCCTCCTCCTTCCCCAAACACACCTTGAACTTGCCCACAAGGTGTCCAGACCCTTCCTCCTCTCCATCTCCATCATTGCCCGCTTGCCCTCGGTACAGGGGAAACACGTTCAGCCAATCTTCGAAGTGGTTAAACTCTTCCTCCAAGGACCTGTTGTAAATCTGAAAGGCAAGGCCCTCAGTGACAGCCCGATGTCCAGAATCCAAGCAGAATCCCCCCTCCCCAACACCCAGTCACCTTCAGGGTGGCGATTGATTTTTTCTGGGACATGGAGCCTTTGACTTCACCCTCACCCTGGTCTTGGGCTTCCCCATCCACAGAAACGAGGTTGACCCCATCTGGGAACAGTGGAAATGCCTCAGTTAGGAATACTGGTGTGGGGGAGGGAAGGAGACAGAAGGAGGACGAGCAAGAAAGCCAAATCTCTTACCTGAATCCCCAGGATCATCCATTTCATCCTCATCAAAGTTGGTCTGAAATCAAAGGGCAGATCAGAGATTCTTCCCCACCCGTCACCTCCTTAATCCACCTTTTCCAGGATAGGGAGTTGGGAAACTTTAGTTCAAGTTCCAGCTGGGTAAGCCACTTGCATTTTCAAAGCTTCAGTTTATCATCCAGTCCTACACTGTCCAAGACAGTAACCACCAGCTACATGTCACTATTGAGCACTTGAAATGTGGCTAGTCTAAATTGGCATGTGCTGTAAGTGTAAAACACACACCAGATTTTTTAAGACTTTAGTATTAAATAAGAATGTAAAATATACTATTATTAATTTTTATAATAGTTACTTGTTGAAATGATATTTTGACATATTCTGTTAAATAAAACATATTATTAAAATCAATTTCACCTGTTTCCTTTTACTTTTTTTTTAAATGTGGCTACTAAAAAAGTTAGAATTACATACGTAGCTCACATGATATTTCTGTTGAGCAACACAGCTTAGATAATGGAGCTAGTGATCCCCAGCTTCTAGAATTCTTGTGAAGATGAGAAAAGATGACTGTAATGAAGCGCTCTGGAAAACTGTAGAGCTCCATGTTTGATGAGCTCCTTCTTCTTGCCATTTACCCTGTTCTGCCCCCACCTGCCCCTGGAGCTCCTGCAGCGATGCATAGTACTTGGACCACCAGTCGAGCTCCTCGGGATCTGGGATGTCCTCCTCCAGCTCTGTCCCTTGATTCAGGAGGCCTCCCAGGGGTACCTTCTTCAGAGGAGCCTGAGGGAGAGAGAACTTAGCACCCCTAACCCAGCGCCACCCCAAGTCCTGCCAGCCCCTTCTCCACGCATCCCCCACCCCCCATCACCTTCAGAAGCCTTTTGGGTAAACTTGTTTTAGCCAAGAAGGGATCCAGGGACTTCTGTCCTGGGAGGAGGTAAATGACATGATGAGGAGGTCAAACAAGTAGAAGTCAGACTCATGACCCACTAGAGAGTCCCCTGGAACCATCTCAGCCAGGAACCAGAGGGACCTCTGTCTGGTGGCCCCTAAGGGGAAGGCCCCTTACCTTGAGGTCCCTTAGGCACGAAGTCCCCTGCCTCCTCCTCTCCTTCCTCCTCAGGGGGATCCTCATGACCACGGAGTGTGAACCGCAACATGTGAGGAACAATGTGGGAACCCACAAGCACTGTGCGGCCAAAGGCTCGGCGCTCAATCACCAGGATGCTGAGTGGGGGCTGCAGGTAAGGCTGTTCCGGCAAGTCCTGGGGGTGGGGAGAGAGGATCTGTGTCTCTGAGGACTGGGGAGGAGGGAGGAGCAGCAGCAGAGACAGATGGGAAAACAACACAGCCAAATTGCATTCTAAGCCCACAGCCCCCTTGTATTATCTCTGGTAAATCATTGCCTTTTGAGCCTGTTTCCCAGCTAAAAAGGGACACAATCCTGGATTGGAAAGATTGTTGTAAGTATCAAATGACAAAATAGAGACAAAAGTACTTTGGAGCCTATGAAGTACTATCAGAAACATGAATTGGTGGTGGTTATTATTATTATGTAAAGAACCAATGCTCAGTTTGCTAATATAGATTTAGAAACATAAAAATATGTATGCTTTTGAACCTAGGAATTCTATATCTATCAATGGATTCTAAGGGGAAAAAAACAATAATTATACTACTGTATTGTTGGGTTTATTTTACATATCTACAACAATTATAGCTGAACGGAAGAAGGAAGGAATGGAGCTATAATGGAGAAAAGCTTATCTATTTTACTAGAACTAAATTAAGTATTAATCTGAAGTAAATTGTAAAAAATCAATATGCATGTTGTAAACCCTAGAGCAACTCCTAAGTAAAAATCAACAAAGGAATTAAAGTAGTACACTAATAAACATCTACTTGATAAAAAAGAAGGCAATAAAGAAGGAACAAAAAATATATGAGACATAGAGGGGCTAGCCTGGTGGCGTAGCGGTTGGGTTCATGTGCTCTGCTTCCACTGCCCGGGGTTCACTGGTTCAGATCCCGGACACAGACCTATGCAACACTTATCAAGCCATGCTGTGGCACCCACATATAAAGTGGAGGAAGATGGGCATGGATGTTAGCTCAGGGCCAGTCTTCCTCAGCAAAAAGAGGAGGATTGGCAGCAGATGTTAGCTCAGGGCTAATCTTCCTCAAAAAAAAAAACAAATATATGTGAGACATGTAGAAAACAAATAGCAAAATGGCAGATGTAAATCCAACCATATAAAAAATAACATCAAATGTGACTGTATTAAACTTCAAACAAAGGCAGAGATTGTCAACTGGATAAAATTTAAGCAAAGAAGCAACTACATGCTGTCTAAGAGATACTCTTTAGTAAGACACGTGTAGGTTGAAAGTAAAAGGATGGGGAAAAGATATGTCATGCAAACAGTAACGGCAGAGAACTGGAATAGCTATATGATCAGACAAAATAGACTTTAAGGCAAAAAATTTTACTAGAGATAAAGAGGGTCATTTTATAAGGATAAACAGATCAATTCATAGGAAGCTACAACAATTATAAACATATACGCACCTAACAACAGAACCTCAAAATACAAGAAGTAAAAAGTGACAAAAATAAAGGGAGAAGCAAACAATTTAACAATAGTTGGCGACTTCAGTACCATATTCTCAGTAACGGATAGAACAGCTAGATAGAAAATCACCAGTGAGGCTTTTTTTAGGGAAGTTTGAATAATACAAATAATGTTAGTTTATTTTGTTGTTTGTTGTTGTTTTTGTTATTGTTTGTTGCCCCCTTGCAGTCTGGAACCACTGTGCTTTGTCCCAGTCACCCCCTCACACGGGCACAGCATTCTTCAGCTTACAAAGTCCTTTCACCAAGATTCTTTCTCTCATTGCCTCCTCATAGCACTCCTGCAAGGAGCCATTTGATATATTTCCTTCAACCTTTTTTCTTTGGTACCTGTTACTTCCTTCTACAAACAAAACTAAAGCAAACTAAAGCTCAAATAAGACAAGTGATTTGACGAGCTCCTAAGTGGCATTGTCAGAATCTGACTCCAAAGTCCATGCTGTAATAATTATAATTTATGCAAAGAATGTATTTTTCTTCTCAGTCCCTGGTATCTCAGAGACTAGGTAGATCACTTCAGACTCATACTTCATGATACCTGGCTAATTCACTCATTCAGTAGAGCCAAGAGAGCACCACCAGTTTATGGATCCATCCAGGAATCAGCAAGCTTATAGCCTGCAAACCAAATGCGGCCCACTGCAAATAAAGTTTTATTGGAACACAGCATACTCATACATATACTTCTTGTCTATGGATGTTTACATGCCACAATGGCAAAGTCAAGACCGTATGGCCCACCAAGCCTAAAATATTTACTAACTGGCCCTTTAGAGAAAGTTTGCTGACCCCTGGATTAATCTAAGATAACCGGCGGGAATTTGCCATCCCACTGCCCTCTTTCACTTCTCAGCCCAACATTTCTTGCCCCCTAGCCCATGCCCTCACCACTGTCAGGTGCTTGACGAGCTCGGTGAAATTGGGGCTCTCACGGTAACTGGCCAGGACCTCGGACTCCACACGTCGCCCGGCCACCTCCAGCACAACCTGGGGCTGCTCCACCTCGAAGAGATGCACACGACCAAGGCCCCTGAGACCCCAGAACAGCACCTGGGGTCGGGAAGTAGGAGATTCAGGAGGCTGCACCTGACAGAGGGGCACTGAGGTGGGGGAGACGGGGAATGTGAGTGCCCAGGGCTACCTCAACACGGAAGTCCCTGAGCACCGGGCGCACGTGAGGGGGCAGGGACAGGCGTCCAGAGAGGGGCTCAGCCAGGGGCGTCAGGTTCTGGGGCTCCACATCACTGGGCACTGAGGGCTGCAGGTGACAAGAGAACAGAGGCCAAAAAGGAATCAGGCCAAAGGAAGGAAAGCCTGGTCTCAGGGAAGGGATGTGGAGAGCTGCTGGTAAAATATAAATCCAGAGGAATCAGACAAGGCTAGATTGGTGGCAGAGGGGTGTCTCAGGAAACAGCCATGTACAGGAGGGGAGGGTGAGTGTCTGAGGCATGAGGATCAACCCACAGCCTAGACTCTCTGGGATTGGAGGTAAACCCAGGGCATGTCTACTTCTAGTGTTCCCTGGAGTCAGGAGGTCCGATGAGGTGATCCCAGGACAGATCTACAGCCTGCATTCTCTGGGGGTAATAGACTTAGAGGGGTCTACGTGGGACATGCCCATATTCTACATTCCCTGGGGTTGGATGACCTGATAGAATAACAAGAGGGGTCCACAGCCCGTGCCAGCTAGGCCACGGCACTCTGACCTCAAGCCGGCCACTGTAGTCCAGTTCAATGAGTTCAAATGTGGCGATGAGCTCTCCAGCTGCCTGGGGCCCCTTCCTCAGGGGGAAGAACTGCAGCTCAGGGCGTTGGTAAGGGTCCTCTATCAGCTTTACCCTCGGCGCGGCCAGTGCCCTGCCCAGGAACACATGGGGCCCCTGTGGGGAGCCGGGCAATGAAGACAAAAGTAGAAGAGGTTCAGGAACCAAGGGAGGGGACATCAAGACAAGGAGTGGGGGTGCTCGGGGGTGAGAACCCGGGCGGGGCCCAGGCCACACTCACAAACTTATTGTGGTCAAAGACATTGACAACCACCAATGGAGGCTCCTCCTGCAGGTGCTCCCTCCTCCCGTCCACGATCAACTGATCAAACACCAAGAGCTCATCCCACAGGGGGCTCAGAGTCTGCTCCAGGACCTTGGGGGTCGTGCAGGGGAGGAAGCAATGGCAGGTGTCAGAAGAAGGCTCTCAACACACATCCCAGGGAAGTACCCCTGCCCTAAAGTAATACTTCAAATAACTGTCACAAAAGGAGCAGGAATGTGATGAAGATGAAAGCACCCTTCAGATCAGTGTTGGCACCTGCCCTCCTAGCCTTGGTCTGTCCTCACTGTCATCTGCCACTCTCAAAATTAGTCCTAAAGTCAACCCCAGAAAACAACTCCTCAGCTCTAAGACCTTCCAGTTCTACCTCTCCCCCCTCACCCCCAAATCAGGGCAGTCCGATCCAAATAGCCTGTGTTGAAAATCCAGGGCAGAAAGAGAGAGTTAGGGCCTGGGGAAAAGCTCAGCCCCCACCACATCTTGTCTCCCAGTGCCCCTCCACCCACATCTCAACCCAGCCCTCACCCGGGTGGTCTGGCACTGGGTAGAGATGAGGACTCGAGCAAAGGGATCCGAGAGTCCACTGTCATCTGCTGCCAACACACCTCGGGCCTGGTACAAGTGAGCCCGGAGCTGGAAGTAGCTGAAGTCTGGGGTCGGGGGAAGGAAGGTACCATGTTTGCTCAGGGGACAACTGGAGTCCCTCACCCCAGACCCCCCCAAACCCCGAGCTGAGCATCTAGCCCCACCCGTTGGGCAAATAGCAAACTTGGCCCTGGGCCCACCTCCCCATCCGCCACACTCACCGTCCCGGTACAGACTGTGGGGCAGCCCAGCCGAGGGATCAGGCAGCAGGTCCGGGGGGAGCTCTGAGGTGCAGGCCTTGGCTTGCTTGCCCAGCCCCAGCCACAGGAAGAGCTCCAGCTTGGCAGAGACCTCACCAGGGGCTGCCCCAGGTGCCTGTTGTGGAGAGGAGGCATGTTAGGGCCGCCTCTTATTACCCCATCTAGACCAAGAGCCCTACTCCTCCAAGGCATGCCCCAACTCTCTCTGTCGTTAGACTACACCCCAGCTCCCCAGTCCAGAGAGCACTCCTGGCCCTCACTCTTACACCCCACTTCATGCCCAGTACTCCATTCCCTCTGCCTGCTGTCCCAACACTGTCACTTCCTATACCACAAGCCCCATACCCCAAAACTACACTCTGAGCTCTGCACTGCCATACCCCACACTTACCCCCTCTGTGCCCTCATCCCCCACACAGTTAGATTCCCTGTCCCTATGCCAGTGGCCACAGCTTCTCCCCACTAGAGACCCCTGTTGGTGTCTATTTCAGGGACATCTCATTTAGAAATAGTTTGCCTCCAAATCAGCTGTACTTATAAGGAACTAATTAATCACTCTCCCATTTTCATTACCCTGCCCATCTGTCAGAGCCCAGTCAGCAAAAGGGCCAATGTGGGCCCAGGACTGACAAAATTTGGTGTTTATCTCACATCAAAGCTGATCTGGGTAAAGGCATGATCTCCTTTTGGCTTTTTGGATAATTGAAGAGTTTGGGTACACTTTAAAAAATAATAATTTAAAAATAATAAAAAATTGTAAGATTTTAAAAAATTAAAACACATAAATTTTTTTTAAATTGGAAAATTAAAAATAATTTTTATTCAAAATTTTTAAAAATTTTAATTAAAAATTTTTAATTAGGGGCTGGCTTGGTGGCATAGTGGTTAAGTTCACACACTCTGCTTTGGTGACCCAGGGTTCATGGGTTCAGATCCTGGGTGCAGACCTACATACTGCTCATCAAGCCATGCTGTGGAGGCATCCCACATATAAGAGGAAGATGAGCACGGATGTTAGCTCAGGGCCTCTCTTCCTCAAGCAAAAAAAAAAAAGAGGAAGATTGGCAATGGTGTTAGTTCAGGGACAATCTTTCTTACCAAAAAACAAAATAAATTTTTAATTAAAAAAATTTTGAGGGCACTAGCCCAGTGGCATAATGGTCAAGTTCATGCATTCAGCTTCAGCAGCTTGGGGTTTACAGGTTTGGATCCCAGGCACAGACCTATACACTGCTCATTAAGCCATGTGGTGGCGGCATCCAACACACAAAACAGAGGAAGATTGGCATAGATGTTAGCTCAGAGACAATCTCCTTCAAGCAAAAAGAGGAAGATTGGCAATAGATGTTAGCTGAGGGCAACCTCCTCACCAAAAAAAAAAGATTTTGGGGACCCTCTGCTGGGAACTGCAGGCCTCCACCCCAATGCCACCCTATGCCCTATGAACCTCACTCCACTCCAGTCTCCAGCACCCTGACCCCGGGGCCCCCCTCACTGTAAGCAGAAGACTCTGGATCTTCCCACAGTCCCGGCCCCGTTCCTCTTCGACCACAGAGAACAGCACATCCTGGGCAGGGATCCGGGCCCAGGCCACACGGCGCTGCCCACTGAGCATCCAGACCAGCACATCTGGGAGGGGTGACTGGGGCTGCGGGCAGAGAACTGGGTCACAGAGGTGGATCTGCAGCTGAAACCACCTACTCCCACAACTTCCACTGGATAGAAGGATCGAATATCCATCTCTAGCCCTTACCTCCTCCTGAACCCCAGATCCAGGTGGCCACCTGTCTCCTGAACATCTCTCCCCTTGCTTCCCCACAGGCTACCTCAGACTCAAAGTCCAACCTGACTTCTTATTTTTCCTTTTTTTCTGGTTTCTTTTTTTTTTAATTGTGGTAAAACATACATAACATAAAATTTACCATCTCAAACATTTGTAAGTGTACAGTTCAGTAGTGCACTCACATTGTCATACAACCATCACCATCATCCACCTCCAGAACTTCTTTCATCTTACAAAACTGATACTCCGTATCTATTAAACACTAACTTCCCATTTCCACCTCCTCCCAGCTCCTGACAACCACTATTTCACTTTCTGTCTCTATGAATTTGACTACTCTGAGTACCTCCTATCAGTGAAATCATGCAGTATTTGTTCTTTTGTGACTGGTTTTTTTCACTTAGTATAATGTCTTCGAGGTTCACCATGTTGAAGCACGTGCCAACCAGACTTCTTTACCTTTCCCTCCTCCCCAACTGATCCTTCCCTAGTAATCCCCACCATATGCCCATGCCCATCAGCCAAATACCTACACTGGTGTCAGCCTTCTCTGCCAACATCCAAACACCACATCCTGCCAATGTCCCCCCTTCTCTTCCATTCTCACTGCCCTGGTTCAAGACCGTCCACTCTTGTCCAGATAACTGGTACAGTCTCCTAATCAGTCTTCTTGCCTTCAGTCTTCCCTTCCAACCCATTCTCTACCATGAATGGCTGGCTTCCTCCCATCCTCCGGGTCGCAGTTTAAATGTCATCTCTGCAGAGAAGTCTTGCTTGACCACCTTATGTAAGTAAGTTCTTCCCTGCCCCCTTAACTTCTGTAAATCTTTCTTAGCAATTCCAACAGATCATAATTATTTTTCTTAGTCTGCATAGTCTATCTCCCTCACCAGAACATAAGCCCCGAAGGGCAAGAAACATGGCAGGAATTGGGTCCCCAGGGCCTAATATAGAGCCTGGCACATAGTAGGACTTCAAATATCATTGAGTAAGCAAACAAACAATAGCTAGAATCGATCTCTCCAAAGCACAAATCTGACCCTCTCATTCCCGTGTTCAAAATCATCATGCCTGACTTCAAATTCCAATAACAGCATGAGTTGGGAATTTAGACCTACCTCTCACTAAAAACAACCACAAAGGCTGGGCGAAATATTTTTAAATATTTTACTAAAGGCAGTGGTGAGATAACAAGGATAAAGAATTATCAGACCAAGCTCTAAATGAAGATAGGAATCCAGAGAAGTTAGCGGAGCATTTGAGCCACTTTTGCCACAAGGGCATTTGCCCAACCTGGCCAACCTGAGCTTCTCGTGTCCTAACAGCGTGTAAAAATAAAATAAAGAGCTCAGATTCCGCTCAGGACAGGAGTCTAATAGGACATCTCCCTGCCCCCTGAAATCCAGGATTCCAAAGAATTATGCCTTCAGGATAAGGATAAACCATAGCTGAAGCTGCCCCTCTGTCTCCCACTCAGGCTCTACGAGGACAGTCGCCTGGCTGAGTGGAGCGGTGGGAGCTGGAAAATGTCCCTGAAAAGAATAACCACGAGCTGATTTCTTCACAGTGCCCGAGCGCTGCTAAACATCAAAACTTAGTTTAATGTAATCAAGGGCAGAAAGCAAAGACAAATATTGTCTGGAAGAATGTACCTTGATTTCAAGACTCAAAGAACTCCCATAAATAATTTTTAAAGGAAACTATAATAAATGGCTCACAGTTTAAAGCAACTAAGCACAGAAGGAAATAACCATGAGGGAGTACCACCAGAAAGAGAGGCAAAACCAAACCCCTCCAAATCCACTATTAGAATAATCTGACACTATAAAAACAACTCTGCGTACTGTGTTTAACAAAACAAAAGACAAACCTGACAAATACTTACTGGAAATAAGGAATTGTGAAAAATAACATAGTGGATTTGAAAAAAATAGAACTTACAGAAATGAAAATTGCAATGATTGAAATGAAAAATTCAAGAGAAGACTCATACAGTCTTCTGGTTTTCAATTAAAAAGCCAGAAAGCATCAGCAAACATATTACAATATATAAGTGAATCAAAGTAACACTTTGTACACCTTAAACTTACACAGTCTTACATGTCAAATTTATCCAATTTTTTAAAAAAAGTTAAAAAAAAAGCCAAAGCATTTCAATGGGAAAAAAAAAATCTTTTCAACAAATGGTACTGGAATATTTCAATGTCCATATTTTAGAAATAGAACTTTGACTCATATGTCACACCACACACAAAAATTAATCTGAAAGCAATCAAAGACCTAAACGTAAAATCTAAAACCATAAAGCTTTTAGGAGACTAGAGATCTCTTTATTCTCCTATCTTTATTTATAGGAGAATATCTTTGTGACTTGAAGGTGGCTAAGTTTTCTTATACAGATAACAGAGAGCAATAAACAGAAAAGATTAAGATAGATTAAAGATAGATTAAGATAGATTAAAATTAAGGAGAAAAATAAACTAGAGAATAGAAAAACAATAGAGAGAATCAATGGAACCAAAAGTTGGTTCTTAAGAAAAGTCAGCAAAATTGACAAACCTTTAGCTAGACCGACAGAGAACACAAGAGAGAAAACAAATAACTAAAATCAGAAAGGAGAGTGAGGATATTACTACCGACCTTACAAAAACAAAAAGGATTATAAGAGAATACAATGAACAATTGTACAAAACAAATTAGATTATCTAGAAAATGGTCAAATTCCTAGAAACACACAAATCATCTAAACTAACTCAAGAAGAAATAGAAAATAGAAAATCTCAACAGACCTATAAAAAGTAAAGAGATTGAATCAGTAATTGAAAAACCTCCCAATAAAGAAAACTTCATGAGCCAGCCCAGTGGCGCAGTGGTTAAGTTCACACATTCTGCTTCGGTGGCCCAGGGTTTGCCAGTTCGGACCCTGGGCTCAGACATGGCACCACTTGGCAAGCCATGCTGTGGCAGGCATCCCACACAGAAAGTAGAGGAAGATGGGCACAGATGTTAGCTCAGGGCCAGTCTTCCTCAGCGAAAAGAGGAGGATTGGCAGCAGATGTTAGCTCAGGGCTAATCTTCCTCAAAAAAAAAAAAGAAAAGAAAAGAAAAGTCCAGGACCAGATGGCTTCACTACTGAATTCTACCAAATATCTAAAGAAGAATTAACACCAATCCTTCTCAAACTCTTCCAAAAAATAGAAAAGGAAGAAATACTTCCTAACTCATTCTATGAGGCCAGCATTACACTAATAACCAAAGACAGACAAAGACATCACAAGGAAAATATCCTCAACAAAATATTAGCAAATCAAATACAACAATATATTAAAAGGATCATACACCATGATCAAGCTGGATTTATACCAGGGACGTAGAGATGGTTTAACATCCACAAATCAATGTGATACACCACATTAACAAAACAAGGAATAAAAATCATATGATCATCTCAGTTGATGCAGAGAAAGCATTCAGCAAGACCCAACATCCATTTATGATAAAAACTCTTGATAAAATGGATATAGAAGGAAAGTAACTCAACATAATAAAGGCCATATATGACAAACCCACAGCCAATATCATACTTAACAGGGAAAAACCGAAAACCATCCCTCTGAGAACAGGAACAAGACTAGGGTGCCCACCCTCGCCACTCTTATTCAACATACTACTGGAGGTTTTGACCAGAGCAATTAGGCAAGAAAAAGAAATGAAACAGATCCAAATTGGAAAGGAAGAAGTAAAACTCTCACTGTTTGCAGATGACATGATTCTATATATAGAAAACCCTAAAGAATCCACCAGGAAACTGCTAGAAATAATTAACAACTACAGCAAAGTTGAAGGGTACAAAATCAACTTACAAAAATCAGTTGCAATTCTACACATTAAAAATGAACTAGCAGAAAGGGAAGTCAAGAATACAATCCCTTGGGGCTGGCCCCATGTCTGAGTGGTTAAGTTCGCACGCTCCACTTAGATGGCCTGGGGTTTTGCTGGTTCGGATCCTGGGCGCAGACATGGCACCGCTCATCGGGCCACGCTGAGGAGGCGTCCCACATGCCACAACTAGAAGGACCCACAACTAAATACACAACTATGTATTGGGGAGATTTGGGGAGAAAAAGCAAAGAAAACAAAAAAAAAGAATACAATCCCATTTACAATCGCAACAAAAAGAATAAAATATCTAGGAATAAATTTAACCAAGGAGTTGAAAGACCTATACACTGAAACTATAAGACATTATTGAAAGAAATTAAAGAATACATAAAGAAATGGAAAGATATCCCATGCTCATGGATTGGCAGAACAAACATAGTTAAAATGTCCATACTACCAAAAGCAATCTATAGATTCAATGCAATTCCAATCAGAATCCCAATGACTTTCTTCACAGAAATGGAACAAAGAATCCTAACATTTATATGGAATAACAAAAGACCCTGAATAACCAAAGCAGTCCTGAGGAAAAAGAACAAAGCTGGAGACATCATAATCCCTGACTTCAAAATATACTACAAAGCTAGAGTAATCAAAACAGCATGGTGCTGGCACAAAAACAAACACACAAATCAATGGAATAGAATTGAAAGCCAAGAAATAAAACCACACGTCTATGGACAGCTAAGCTTCAACAAAGGAGCCAAGAACATCAATGGAGAAAGGAAAGTCTCTTCAATAAATGATATTAGGGGATAGCCCCAGTGGCCTAGTGATTAAATTTGATGCACTCCACTCTGGCAGCCCAGGTGTGGTTCCCAGGCACAGACTTACACCACTCATCTGTCAGTGGCCATGCTGTGGTGGTGGCTCACATACAAAAAGAGGAAGTTGGCAGTAGATGTTAGCTCATGGCTAATCTTCCTCAGAAAAAATAAATAAATAATTTTAAAAATTTTAAAAACAATGTTGGGAAAACTGGACAGTCACACGTAAAAGAATGAAAGTAGACCATTATCTTACACCACACGGAAAAATTAGCTCAAAATGGATTAAAGACTTGAATGTAACACCTGAAACCATAATACTCCTAGAAGAAAATATAAGCAGTACTCTCTTTGACATTGGTCTTAGCAATATCTTTTTGAACACCATGTCTACTCAGGTAAGGGAAACAAAAGAGAAAAAAACCAAATGGGACTACATAAGACTAAAAAGCTCCTGCACGGCAAAGGAAACTATGAACAAAATGAAAAGATAACCCACTAGCTGGGAGAAAATATTTGCAAGTCATATACCCAACAAGGGGTTAATTTCCCAAATATATAAAGAACTCATATAACTCAACAACAAAAAAACAAACAACGTGGGGCCAGCCCCGTGGCCGAGTGGTTGAGTTTGTGTGCTCTGCCTCAGCGGCCCAGGGTTTCACTGGTTTGGATCCTGGGCACAGACATGGCACCACTCATCAGGCCATGCTGAAGTGGTGTCCCAAATAGCACAACCAGAGGCATTCACAACTAGAATATACAACTATGTACTGGGGGGCTTTGGGTAGAAGAATAAAAAAAAGAAGACTGGCAAGAAATGTTAGCTCAGATGGCAATCTTTAAAAAAATAAAAAATAAAAAAATGAGCAGAGGATATGAACAGACATTTTTCCAAAGAAGATATGCAGATGGTCATCAGGCACATGAAAAGATGTTCAACGTCACTAATTATTAGGGAAATGCAAATCAAAAAAAAAATACAATGACATATCACCTCACACCCATCAGAATGGCTATAATCGATGAGACAAAAAATAAATGTTGGAGAGGATGTGGAGAAAAGGGAACCCTCATATACTGCTGGCGGGAATGCAAACTGGTGCAGCCACTACAGAAAACAGTATGGAGATTTCTCAAAAACTAAAAATAGAAATACCATACAATCCAGCTATCCCATTACTGGATATTTATCTAAAGAACATGAAATCAACAATACAAAGAGATTCACACACCCCTGTGTTCATTATAGCACTATTCACAATAGCCAAAATGTGGAAGCAACCCAAGTGCCTATTGACTGATGAACTGATAAAAAAAGATGTGGGATATGTATATATATATATATACACAGTGGAATACCACTCAGCCGTAAAAAAAGACAAAATCATCCTATTTGCAAAAACATGGTTGGATCTTGAGGGTATTATGTTAGGTGAAATAAGCCAGATGGAGAAAGACAAACGCCATATGATTTCACTCATGTGTGGAAGATAAACAAACACAGATAATGAGAACAGATTAGTGGTTACCAGAGGGGAAGGGAGTGGGGGGAGGGCAAAAGGGGTAAAGGGGCACATATGTATGGTGATGGATAAAAACTAGACTATTGAGGGTGATCAAGATGCAGTGTATACAGAAACTGATATGTAATAATGTACACCTGAAATTACACAATGTCATAAACCAATATGACCTCAGTAAAATAATTTTTTTAAAAGACATCACAAGAAAATTACAGAATAATATCCTTTATGAATATAGATATATCCCTTACGAATAAGTCCTGAACAAAATATTAACAAATCGAATCCAACAGCATAGAAAAAGGAATATATAGGGGCCTGTCCCACAGCTGAGTGGTTAAGTTCACGTGCTCCACTTTGGCAGCCCAGGGTCCACCGGTTCAGATTCTAGGCGCAGACCTACACACCGCTCATCAAGCCATGCTGTGGCGGCAGGCCATATAGAAGAACTAGAATGACCTACAACTAAGATATACAACTATGTACTGCGGCTTTGGGGAGAAGAAAAAAAAAAGAGGAAGGTTGGCAACAGATGTTAGCTCAAGGTCAATCTTCCTCACCGAAAAAAAAAGGGTTATATACTGTGACCAAGTGGGATTTATCTCAGGAATGCCAGGGTGCTTCAACCTAAGAAAATCAATCAATGTAATGACACCTCATTAATAGAACAAATGAAAGAAACCAAATGATCATCACAGCTGATGCAGAAAAGGCATCTGACAAAATCTAACATTATTTCATGATAGAAAACACTCAGAAAACGAGGAGCGGAAGAGAACTTCCTCAACCTGATAAAGGGCATTTATGTACACCCACAGCTAATATCATACTTAACAGTGAAAGAATGACACCTTTCCCTCTAAGATCAGGAACAAAACAAGTGAAAATTACAATTTTGGAAAAATTATATCTCTTGTATCAGCCACGGTGAGCCTGATAGCTTCCCAACACTTAAAGGTTTTTCTAATAAAATTGGTGGTGATATTAATGAATGTGATGTCTTAATACTGTATAACAAAATATGTCAACATACAGAAGATCTGTATAAGTCAGTGAACCAAATGTCCAAGGGACCTATGTATGATGATTCAAAATCATGCAAGGAAAATAGAGCCGTTCAAAGTGCAAGATAGACCAATGGACTTAAATGTAACAGAGTATAAAAATTTCTTTGCCAGACATTTGCAAAAAACGTAAAGCAATGCCATTTTTCTCACTAAATTTTTTGTTTTGGAGAATATAGTTATTTTTCATAAAAATATTTATGTTATCATGCAATGGGTTTACTATAGTTATTTTAAATTAATAAATACTATATCTGTCAGGTTTTAAAATTTTTTCAGTTTTAGTTTGTATAATGGTAAATATCAATAGATACAATCCACATAAACAAAAGTTTTTTGGGGTCTCCAGTAATTATTAGGGTGTTAAGGAGTCCTGAGACCAAAAAAGTTTGAGAACCACTGCCCTAGAGAACCTCTTGCACTTGTTCCCCAGGACTTGTACAAAAATGGTCTTGGAAACTTTGTTGCTAATCATCATCCCTTGGAATCAACACACATATCCATCAATAGTGGACTGAATAAACAAATTATAGCATAGTCATGCAGTGGAATATTACATAGTAATTTAAATGGAAAAATTACAACTACATGCAATGATACAGATAAATCTCACAAATATAATATTGAGGAAAATAATATAAACAGTATAATATAAACTTTGAAAAATAACAAAACTAAACTATATTATTTCCGGATGCATATTTAAGTCAAAAAGTGTTTTTAAACGTCAGCTAACAAAAGGAGGTTCTCATTCCAAATAAACACAGCAATATTGCACTAAAATTCAATACACTAAGGTCTCTATCCTGTCTCCTTCCAGTCTCTGTCTTCCAGCTGCCCAGGGCTTCCTGATTCTGTGCCTTTGCACATGCTCTTCATTCTTTCACACTTGCCAAACTTCAACTTGTCCTTCAAGATCTAAGACCACTTATCCAACTCCTCACTGTTTGACCTTGAGGACATACTGGCCCCAGTGGTCAAAACTTACCGTGCCTTTGCGAAGGACTGAGCTTCAGATTGAGGCAGAACTGGCTTTGAATTCTAGCTCTGCCACTTAACCAGCTACTACATGGTGGACCAGTCACTTTCCCTCTCTAAGCCCCAGTTTCTGCACCTGTGAAATGGGGTAACATCTTCCCCAGGGTTGTTGGAAGGATCACACAAGGTAACACGTGCTTAGCAGAGGAAGCATTCCAAAAATGTGAATTCCTTTCACCCCTCACCCATGCTGTATTCAGAGCTTCAGACCAGGGAAGTCATGCCAGGGAAACATACTCTCAAACCTCCATCCAAAGAGATCCCGTATGTTCCCTGCATCCCTGCTGGGCCTGGAACGCTTATCTTCACCCTTAGCTGCTCCAAATGGAGCCGATTCTATGCCTAGAGCAACAGATCCCATGGCCTGGCATCAATCCACAGAACAGATGTTAGGTCACCCCTGCCCAGAGGTCTCTGGAAACTTAGGAGAAAGGGTATTCAGGGTGGGGAAACGGGTGGGTGAGGCAGCACCTCCTGGGCCAGGAAGTGGAGTTTTGCCAGGAGCTTCTTGGCCAGTGCCACCTTCTTTTGCACATTGCCCTTTCTCAGGCCCCGTAGAAGCCGCAGTCCTTGCTTCGCCAACAGGTTCTGGAAGGGCAGGAAGAGAACGTGAGTGGAGAGCCCCAGTTAAGTGCCCGTGATTCCCCCTTCCCCAGACCGTACCAGGCTATGCACCAACAGTTTCCCTCGGCATCGATCCAGGGTGTTTGGCCGGGTCATTGTCCTGCGCTCAGCACCATGGCAAAACTGTCTGCAGTGAACAGGGGTGGGTGTGGCAAGTGGGAGTCAGAGGAGGGAACACTGACGCTTAGGGGGCCACCTTCCTCAGAACAGGCCTCCCATACCCAGACTCCCTCACACGTTCTCAGAGAGGTGCCCTTTCTCAGTCAAGGATGGCTTCTGTATTTGGACTACATCCAAATTCCTTGAGGCCAGCCTCACTTTTGAGCCCTAGAATGCGCTAGTATTTAACCTTCTACTGCCTTGGCTACTCAAATTGTGGCCCAGGACCAACAGCATTGGTATCACATAGTTAAAAATGCAGAATCTCAGCCCCACACCAGACCTGCCGTATCAGTCTGCATGTCTATACCCTGGGGGATTCATATGTACATTAAAGACTCAGATGGGCTTTGTGCTTGACAGTTCCAACACCGACTAAAGAAAGGTCAAACGTTACATGCCCAAACCAAGTGCATGATTTCCAATGAACCCTCTCCCCCCAAAAACAAGCTTTATTCTTCACTGCTCTTTCTTCCTCTCACATTCCACATCATCGATCAGCACATTATTTAGGCTCTACCTACAAAATATATCCAGAATCTGACCACTTTTCTCCTTTTTTCCTTTTCCCAGATCCCCCTACTCCAAGCCACCAACATTTCTTACCTAGGATTATTGCAGTAGCCTCCTCGTTCCAGCCTTACCTAAAAGGCTGTGCATGATCTGGCTCCCTTTATCTCCCTTTCCTCATCAAATTTTATTCTCCCCCTCATTCACAACCCTAGAGTCACACTGGCCTTTTTGGTCCTCCATGAATACACCAAGCCCATCACTCTAAGGCCTTTGTCTTAGCTGCTCCCTAGAATGCTCTGCCCCTAGAGCTTTGCATGGCTGCGCTCATTCTTCATTCAGGTCTTTTCTCAAATGTTACCTCTTCAAAGGCCTTCCCTGATCACCCCATCTAAACAGCCCCTGTCTCTTTCTCCATCCTCATATTCTACTTTATCTTTCTCTCTAAAAAGATAGTAAGCTAGGGCAGGGACTTTATTCTGGTTACCACTATATCCTCAGGGCCTGGCACCTAACAGATGCTCAAAAAATATTTGTTGGGCAAAGTAAAGTGATTTTTGAGATGTGATATTTTAGGCCCTTTTTGACCCCCAAGAATTTCTGAAGTTGCTATTATGGAAAAATTCAAAAATACATGAAATAAAAATGACTCCAAGGATTTTTCACCTAATACTGCCCCCAGAGCATACACTTCTAGCTTACTAATGCTCTTTGCTCCAAGATTCCTTTTGGCAGAAATAGTCAGCATAAAGTAAAACTGACAAGGGTCAAAACTGCACCTATTAATGTTTGCTATTGATGAAAAATTGACGGGAGAATCAAATCTTCTTGACAAGATTTAGATCCACAAAATTGGATTCAGAGAAATTGGATATGGTTAAAATAATAGCCACAAAAGAAAACCACACTGGTCAAAGATATAAATAGTGAAATATAATACGGGCAAATCTTTCATCTAAATTTCCCTGCCAAAGAATAATTTCAGTAATAAAATAATTTCAGTAAAGTGAAAATGGAAATAGTTCAATTGCACTCTATGGAAAATCAAGCAAGGAATTAAATTGTATTAAAGATGGTCGCTCTTTTGGAGACAGAAAGAATGTAGACATAGAAGAGAGCCTTACAATGAAGTCCTGGGATACACACCCATGAACATTTGGAACATTTAGAGGTCAAGAAAAGAGGGAGTCAGCAAAAAAGATGAGAAGGAATGGCCAAAAGAGATGAGAATGAGAAGAAAGCAGAAGGAAAACCAGGGGCATGGAAGTTAATAGAATTTTTCAAGAAGGAGGGTAGGGTCAACTGTGTCCACCGACACTGACAGGTTGAGTAAAATGAGAACAGAAAAGTGACCACCTGCGACCAGGCCCTTGACAGAGTCCTCTGCTTCCACCCTGCCTCTAAACGCTGGAGCTCTCCAGGTCCTCAGATTTCTCTTTTCTATGCTCCCTAAATAATCTTATCCAGTTCCAGCTATGTATTGACAGCTCCCAATTTTTCATTTCCTGCCTAAAACTCTCCCCAGAACTCAACTCATATAGCTAACTGTCTAGCAGACATGTCCACTTGTAAGTCTAACAGACATCTATCTCAAAGTTCACAGGTCCGAAAATGAACTTGTGATATTCCCTTCACCCCCTTCAGACCTTCTCCTTCTGTTGTTTTCCATAACTCAGTAAACAGCACCATCTACACAGGTGCACCAGCCAAAATCTTGGGAGTCTTTCATGACTCTTCTTAGCACATTTCCTCATCGCCCGTATCTATCCACTAGCAAGTCCTGAGGTGTCACCTCCAAAGTCCAAAATTGCTCTTGAATCCATTCATGTCACTCTATGTCCACTGTAACCACCCCAGATTCAACTCATCATTATCGGTCACCTGGATTATTACAAAAATAGCAATTTCTCTGCTTCCTCTGTTATACCATCCCTCCCCTCCCCCACTGATCCTTCTTTTTTTTTTAACCACTTTTTTTTTTTTTAGGAAGATTAGCCCTGAGCTAACATCTACCACGAATCCTCTTCTTTTTGCTGAGGAAGACTGGCCCTGAGCTAACACCCATGCCCATCTTCCTCTACTTTATTTGTGGGACACCTGCCACAGCATGGCTTGACAAGCTGCACCTGATATCCGGGCCAGCAAGCCCCGGGCCGCCAAAGCAAAACATGCAAACTTAACTGCTGCGCCACCAGGCCGGCCCCAACCACAACCTTTTTAAAGGATAAGTTAGAGCATATCTCTTCTCTTCTCAAAACCTTCAGTGGCTCCACACCTCACTCAGAGAAGAAGCCAAGGCCATTACAATGGCCTACAGGCTCCCACATGCCTCTCCCCACCATCATCCTCTTTTCCTCCCACACGCTTCAGCCTCACCTACTCTGCTCACTCTGCTACAGCCACATTGTTTCCCTTGCTCTTCCTCAAACACAGGCATGCTTTACCTCAGGGCCTTTGCACAAGCTGTGCCTTCTGCCAGGAATACCCTTATAGACATGGCTTGCTCCTTCATCTTCTTCACGTCAACTTCACAGTGGCCTCCCCTAGCTACCCTTTCTAAAATTGCAACACCTCTCTCTAATAGTTCCTTGCTTTATTTTCTCCCTAACACTTATCCTTATCATACTTCTTATATTTCTACCTTGTTGTTTACATGTTTATTATCTGTGTCTCCATCCAGCCTTCACCCCCACCCCCCCACCCCCACCAGAATAGACCTTTCAGGGATTTTTGTGGGCAAGAATGCTTTTTCACTGCTATTCCTATGTCTAAAACAGTGTCCGGCACAGTAAGTGCCATAAATATTTATTGAATAAATGGATAAACAAGTCTTTTAAGAACAGGATCAGAAGAACACTGAAGTACCCGAAGCAGGTTATGGAATTCAGGTCAGTGAATGCCAAAGATGGAAGTGACTAGAACAAATTTATGTGGTTACACTAATGACCTAGGGACTAGTTGATGAAAGTGGACAATTGCAGAGCTAACTCCTCCAGGAGATGAGAGGAGATGAAGTCAAAATCACAGCTGTGGCTATGGGAGGAGGGACATTTCTTCGCTGTAGCAGGAAGGAAGGAAAGCAGATGGATACAGAAGCTGGCAAGGTGATAGACGGAATGAGGAAGGTGAGGCTTCTATTTTCTTCATGAAGTAAGAGAGGAGGATGCTAGCTGGAACAAGTGTGGAGGAAAGGAGTAGGGAAGATTTGAGGAGAGGGGAAAAGGCATAAGCCTCTAGGAAAGGGAGCTTCTTGGAGGGGAGTGGCCTATCCCCCAATAATTTCCATCCAGCGCCCTGCGATAGGGATAATCATTTCCGTCTCATTCTTCTGTAAAGTGCAGAGCAAACGCAGCTTCCAGTCCCCCTGGGGTCCCAACAGCCGGCACGAGTCTCCCTCACCCCGGAGTTGGCGCGGAGACAGGCGCTGTGAGGTGCCGGCTCTCAGCTCACCTGCTCCCAGCCACCAGCTCTTCCAGCGCCTGCTTGAGCCTGGTGCAGGCGCCCCGCCCCGGCCTCCGCTGCAGAGTCTCAACCTCCTGCAGCCCCTGGTCCTGCGCAACCGCGAGAGAGGGTTAGAGTCATTAGGGTCCCAGACTCCGACATCTTGTAGGTCGCACCCCCACCCCAGGGTGAGCGCACTCACGACCTCACCTCTTGGCCCTTCCCTCCTTTGGCTTCATCCTGTTCGTGGTTCAGTTTTTCTAGCCATCTACTGGCTCCACGCCTGTGGGGCCAGGCCTCCAGTAAGCCCCTTCCTGGGTCCAACAGTTCTGAATCTCGGTCCTCCCACAATTCCTGGCCTCCTCAGTTGGCCCAGAAGCTGTGCTTTTTGGCCTTCTGGCCTTGCACCAACAAGGTGCTGGCCCCCTGATGCTCTACCCATTAGCCCTGCTCCAGAGCTCCCTTCAAAGGCCGCAGTCTCCCCGACGTCCCTATCTCCTGGCCTCTCCCTCTGGGCGCCCGCCTCGCTCTCACCAGCCTCTCAGCCACCTTCCGCACGCAGTTACTTCTCTGCAGGCGCCACGTGTGATCCTCCCAGCGGCTCCACACGCGCACGCACGGCTTGTGGTGACGCAGGGGCAAGCAGAGGTATGGCCTGGACGGGGTAGAGAGGAGCAGAGGCTGCAAGGGGCAGTCCTGGGCTGCTGGGGATCTCCCAATGCCCTCTTTCCAGCCACCAGGAGCACTCACCCGCTGCCATCCACGGGCTCAGGCCGCTGAGCCGGGGTCCGCAGCTCCTCCTCCACCAGCCCGGCTCCCACGTCAGACTCCAGCAGAGGCTGCGCCTCCCCCGCTGCGCCCTCTGCTCCCTCCTCGACCCTGGACCCTGGGCCCAGTTGCTCCTCCTGGCGGCCTGCGTGACCTGCCCAGAGCAGCAAGTGTCAGCGGGTGCCAGGCTGAGGGTCTGACCCCTCCCTCAACCTCCTCTGCCTCAATAGAAATCAGAGCCCATCCCTAACTGAAGGTCAACTGTCCTTCCCAGGGGCCTAAGTCCGGAACAAAAATGACCACCCTCAAACCCACAACCCTCAGGGGATCGGCACACACCAATGGAGATCTCAAAGCTGATGGACTGGGAGGCCAGAGCGGGGTCAATCATGGTGGCCTCGAAGAGCACACCGAAGAGCAGGAAATCTTCACAGGGTGCCAGGGCGTTCTGGGGAAGGTGGGTCAGGCTGGAGTCAGCCCCCACCCTCCCAGGTTGCAGGCCAGACTGTGCTTGGCCACAATGCCCACAGATAAGACTTGCAACCAAGGCCTAGAAGATTCACTGCAGGCCTCCTACCTCCCTCTCTGCCCCTGGCAGCCCCAACCCATCGGATGCCCGGCTTAGTCCTCCGGCCCACCTCTGATTGGTCAGCCCCCTCCCCCCACATGTGAATATACGTAAGAACACGTGTGTACGCACACTGCAGTCTTCAAGCAGGCCCCCAAACTGAGACCACCCCCTTCCTGTGTTTAATGCCTGGGGACCGGTTACACACTCCAGAGCTAGGAGCGGCCCCGCCCCTTTGTTAAACCGCAGCCCCCACCTCTGGCAGCGGCAGCAACTCCTCCACCTCCACCTCCATGGCACTAGGAATCTCAGGCCCATCAGCCCCGGAGCTGGCATCCAGGTGCTGCGGAATCCCAGTTGGGATCTGGCCTCGCCTGGCTTTCTTCTTCTTTCCCATGAGCCGGGACAACCTGGATCCTTGCGGGGCCTGGGGAGGCTCAGGTTCAGCTCTCCCTTCCAGCACCTCCATGGACACAGCCACTAGCAGGCGGCCGCGGAACCAAATGCCTTGGCCAAGGCCTTCATTGAGATTTTGAAAACCATCCCGGAGCCCCCCACTGGGGAGCGAGCCATAGAGAGGCACCCAGGCCGGCCCGAAGGTGGGGTTAAACCCCGCTGTGGGGGACAAGAACAGTATTTCGGAGGGGAGCATGGGGCAGGTGGGTACTAGGTCAGTCTATGCACTCATTTACTGCAAGCTCGGGGGCGGGGGGGCGCGTCGGCCGCTCTGGGAGGGAAGTCTGAGAACAGCTGCGGACGGACAGCTCTGGACCACGACCAGGGAGCACTTGTAATCAGCTCAGCTTCTGAAGGCGCTGCGGACAGACCCCGCAGAGACTCTATAGGGGCAGAGCCAGAACCCTGGAGGCCGAGTCAGGATTGGGGCGAAGCTACCGGTGAAACCGTAAGGGACTGGGGTAAACGGATGCGGACTGGGGTTGTTTCTGTACGTGTAAATCTGTAGGGAGAGCAGGGCAGGAGCGGTTACTGGATTTGCAGCTGTAGTTCGGATTCTGTCAACGGAACCAAACCGAGGGTGGGGTTTGCAGTTTGGGAGCGACAGGCGAGGCTCCGAGACGAAAGGAGGAGCCGGCTTGGAGCACAGGTTGCGCTGCGGGGTGGACCTGACTTTCTAAGCGGAGTGGGGTCGCGAGGATGGGGTTTGCTGTCGGGGACGGGACCCAGGGCTGATAGGGCCCGGGCAGGGGCAGCACGCGTCGGCCAGATGCGCTCACCTGCGCGGCCCGGGTGTGAGATCTGCCTCAGGTCCAGCACGTGTGTGGCGAGGGCCACATCCACCAGGGGCGCGTCGTCCCGCAGCTGCAGACGAAGGCCGCGCGTCAGCGGCGGGAAGAGCTCCACGAAGCTCAGCTGCTCGTTCCACTCGGGCGCCGCCGTCTCTCCGCGTACGGACGTCTCGCCCTGAGCGCGGCGAAGACAGGCGGAAAGGGGTCAGCGCGGAACCAGGGCCTGAGCCTCGGCCGAGTCGGGGCGGGAGGGCCTTACCTGCTGCCCCAGGAAAGACACCCGCACATAAGGGTCCAGGAGCACGCGCTGATCTTGCAGGGCGCGGGCCAGGCTGCCCAGCAGGCCGGGGCGCAGCGCGGGAAGCCCCTCCGCGCGGTACACGCGCACGCGCAGCCGCGCCCACGGCCTCTGGGCCGGCACCCGGCGAGGCAGGAGCAAGTTCCTAGGGCGGGAGGCGCTGAGCGGCTGAGAAGCCGGAGTCTCGGCCCCTCTCCCTCTCCGCGTCCCGGAGGCCACGGCCAGTCCTACCCTCCCCTCCTCACCCCACCCCAGCTCACTTCTCGATGTCCGAACTGTGTCCTGGGCCCGGGGGTGGCAGCGGAGGGGGCAGGTCCCTGCGCGCCCTCACGGACAAAGTGACCTTGACAAAGCCTTTGGTCCCCGCGCGGGTGTCCCGGGGGTCATGCAGCGGAGCCCATTTCTGGTAGAAGTGGCCATCTGGGGGTGGAGGGGCAAGCCAGGGGTCAGCGGAGATCGGCGGGGTGCGCGGGGCGGTCGTGGGGCTGTGATCCGAGTGTTGGACAGTGGCCGGGGTTCCTGTCCAGCCCAGCGGGCAGGAGGGGGAGTGCATGAATGTCAGCCTTCGGAAGAGATTGCCGGCTCACAAGTTAGTACACAAGGATCAGTGCCCAGAGGGTCAATTTCCCTTGTCTGCGCAGATGAGTTTCAATGATAGGAGGGTTCAGTACCTGGCTGGTCGAAGATTATGCCCAGGTCCATCCTGAAGGTGCCTATCCGCGTGGCCATAAAGGGGAGGGTCTGCGAATGGAAAGCCTAGGGGAAGGTGGCGTTAGTCCTGAAGCTTGGACGTCCCCGCTTCTCTGACGGAAACCTCTCACCCTACCCCCCTCACCGTGATCTCCAGCAGCAAGTCTTGGAGGCGAAGCCGGGTCTCATGAAATTCGAACAGGAAGTACTGGGTTGAAGCGGGAAAACAAGAGAGGGGAGAGAAGGTTGTATGTGAAGGGCTCATGTCCGCCGGGCCCCGCCTCTCGCAAAGAGAACGCCCTCCTCGCCCCGATGGTGCCTCTTTACACCCTTTCCCTAGACGCCCCTCATCCTCTGCCGGCAGTTGGTTTATTTCCACCTAGGCCATGCCCCCTCTGCGAACAGGTCTTACGCTGGGTCCCACTCATTCTGTCAGGCCCCTCTCTTCTGTGGTCGCACCCACCTCGTTGTAGAAGGGGCAATTGGTCCCGCGCTGCGTGGCGGTCACTCTGCGCTGCTCGCCAACACGCACGGCCACATAGGGGTTAATGTTGACTCCCACTAGCTTCTGGGCCTCGAGCACCGTGACCCCCACCTGAAGGGTGCAGAAGGAGGGAAAAAGGAAGCCAAGGCTGCCAAGGTAGGAGGAGAAACATGTGGAGGGCAGGTAGTATTGCCCAAGGGTTAGGCCCTGGAGGGAGAGCATACCTGGAAGTCCTGCGTTCTGGACACCTGGAAGGGATCCCCACGAGCTGGGCCCCGGGCTCGGCTGTGGAGAGGGTTAAGGTCAGCTCTCACTTTACTTCCTCCCGCCACCTCACACACACTCTTGCTTGGTCCTGGGGATAAGATCTCCTCTCCCTCTAAACTTTTGGATTCTGAGTCCTTCTGGTCTGGTCTTGCCTCCATCTCAACCCCACACCCAGAATTTGGCTCATTCCTGGAGCCCTAAAACCATTCATTCATGCAACAAAGATTTATTGAGCACCTACTGTGTGCCAACACTGTTCTAGGCACTGGGACACTGCAGTGAACAAGAGACAGAAGTCCTTGCCCTCATCAAACTTTCAACACCTACATGGATTCCAGAAGGTATATGTGAGCCAGTGTAACTGTGTGTGGGACTGTGGCATTGTCTATGCCTAGGAGTGAGTGACCCTTGACCCCAGCATGTCTACTCCTCATCCATACCCTGGGACCATGTGTTTATGAGGGTGGATGGGCATGGGCCTGCATGTATGAGCGAGTGAGCTTGACACACTGGTGGGGTGTGGGAGTAAGTGTGCAGTGGATACAAGTTACCTCTTGAGAGGGCTGAACACCACTCCAGAAAGCTCCACATCAGGCTCGTCCTCCAGATCCAGCTCCAGCTCTAGCTCGTTGTCTTCATCGTCCTGCTGACCTAGGCCCTGAGCTAACCTGCGGCCCAGTGCCACTGCCCGCCGCTCCAGTCGGGCCTCCCCAGGCCTGATAAGAAAGACTCTCAAGGGACACGTCTGGGACCTATCACCCATCCCTTAACTTCCCTGACCCTAGGACTGACCCCTGAAGCTTGGACTGACCCCACTGATCCCAGAACTGACCCCTAACCTGGGAACTCTCTAATTTCAGAATTGACCCCTGATTCTAGGACTGACTTCTCACCATGGAATTGATCCAGTACTGATCCCAGACTCAGGGACTGACTCCACATCACTGGCTCCTAATCCCAAGACTAACCTGATGACCTCAGGTCATCCTCACATACTTACTCCAGTTCCTGGAAACCCACATTGGAGATGATCAACTCCGAGCTGGGAGAAGGAGAAGTGAAAGGAGTGTGAGGGCCAGCCCTGATCACAGAGCTGCAACCTGGGCAGCACAAGTCCAACGTGTCTCTACTTCCAGGAGATCCAGAGTAGAATTGGGTACCACTTCTCCCTTTCCAAGGCCTGCCTGGTCTGGGACCACCAGGCCTTGCTTAGGTTGTTGGGAGGTTACCTGTCCTGGATGGGTGCCCCAAAGTCCTCCTCCGCCCAGGCTCCAGTTGCACCCTCTGGGGGCTGGTACCTCAGGTCAAGCTCCACCTGGATCTGAAACCAGATACACAATGTGCCTTAGGGCTCCTCAGAGTGTCCTGAGGCTAAGAAAAGCACAAGGACAATGCCTATTACTCCACCTATAAATAGAGACTGTCCTGGCCTGCACCTGTGGTGACTTGTGGTACCTCTCTAATAATATTAACTACTCGTAACCTGTTAAGAACCTGCCATATGCAAATTATCTCTTGAAAGGGCCATCCGTGACTCCAAAATTCTCTCATTGTTCTTAGAAATCCATCACTGTGGCCTTCACAGCTCCACATGGTCTGGCCCCTGCCAACCTTTCCAGCCCCATCTCATTTGGGGTCGTCTCCTGCCCAGCACCCCAGTTATGCTTTCTCAGGGCATTGGACTTTTGCATATACTGGTTCTTCTGCCTGGAACATTCTCTTCTCCCACTGAGTTAATCCTATCATCCTTCAATCCCAAGCTTAAGCACTATTTCCTTCGGGAAACTTTTCTGATGCCCAAATAGGTCACATCTCTCTGTTATACCCTCTCCCAGCCCGCTATCAGCTCTTTTGTAACACCTGTCAGTGGCAATTTTACACTTATTTGTGTGAATATTTGTTTAATGCTTGCCTCTCTCTTTAGATATGGAGCTCTAAGAGAGTAAATTCTTATCTGGTTTTGCTCACCACTCAATCCTCATTGCTCAGCACAATACTTGGCTTATAATCAAGAACTCAACAAATGACAGACTGAATGAAAAGCACTCATTTTGTATGACTCCACATAATGTAAATGAGGAGACAGCCTAGAGAAACTAAATAACTTGTCCAAGTTCTCAACTAGGAAATGGTAGATCTGAGATTTGAACCCAGGTCCATTTCTACCAGACTATACCGACCCTCCGTGAAGCACCAGGGAAATCCAGCCAGGTTCATCTTTGTCACTGAGGCTAATGCATGGTCAGGGAGTGGCACAGAACTCCTTTTCTTCCCCCATTGCCACACCCCTGGCCCTCAGGGCTCAACCTGGTTCTTGGCATATGTGGGACTTCAGCAGGGGCTGCAATGAAAGGAACCCTAGCTGGGGGGCTTTGTTACCATTCCTGTCTGGGTCTGGGCTTTCCCCTCTGAGAAAAAGAACCCTCTTAGAGGGACTCTCAGGCTTGGGGGTGGTAGGTTGGGGGCTGGTGGGACTCACCCGGGACACTCGCAGATTCTCATCCACTAGGGCCTCCCGCAGCACCAAATGCCCAGCACTCTGTAGCTGCTGCAGGGAGATCACCAGGGTCCCCAGAGACCTGGGAATGTGGCATGGAGCAGAAGAGTGACCCAGGGGAATCACCTCAAGCCCTCCCCAAGCCCTACCTGCATCCTTGGCTCCCCCAGGCCTACTCACCTGGGGCTGAACACACGGCTGCAGTTGACCACTTGCACAGACAGACTCTCCCCTGCCAGTGGAGCCCCGTAGTGTGGCCAACGGAATAGCTGGGGATAGGAGGAACCTTGTGACACCCAGTGCTTGGCCAACCCTGAAAGAGGAGCCAACCCTCCAAACTTGGAGCTAACTCCATGACTGATCTCCCAAACCTGGAACCAACCCCCATAGGGTTGACTCCAAACTAGGGTTGATCTGGGGTTAACTACCAATCAAGAACTAGTCCCCTGTAGTCTTGACTTTGAATTGTCCCAAACTGAGTCTGACCCCTCAAACCTGAGACTGACCCCAACTCCTGAGACTACACCTCCCCAAAACCCAGGAATGAGCTCCCCAACCCCAGGATGGTCCTAGATGAGGCACAGATCAGCTTCTTCCTATCCAGGACCCAACCCCACTGACCTCGCCAATATCTGCTTCTTGATCACAGTGAATTCTCCTTGTTTTCTGGGTAAAGCCTGCTTAGAATTGAAACTAGTCATTTATCAGTCCCTCCCCAGAAAAAAATAATTACCTCCCACCCTTGTCCCAGGGTCCAATCCCCCTGGACTCACCCTTAAAGAAAGGTAGAAAATGGGGAGGGAAAGAGGCAGAGAGTTGGAGATACTGGGCTGGAGGAGAAAGGAGACAGGCTGTAGAGATGCCTAGGGATAGGATTGGGGGCCTACAGAATGGAGGAACTGGAGCCCCCAAGTTCCAAAAATCCTTAGAGCATCCTAGCAAGCCTCACCCCGAAAGCTGAGCCTCACTTGTCGGTCATGGCTTCCCGGCAGCCCTGTCAGTCGCCGCACACACACAGTGAGAGCCATTGTCCCAGGGCCACTGGCTTTCCCTCTGCATGCCTGCCCTCTTGCCCACCTGAATCGCCTCTGACTCACTGGACCTACCCAGCAGGTTCAGCAATCCCTGCCCTTTAGTCAAACACACAGGTGGCAGGCCTGGGGGTCATGGGTGGGGAGGGAGCAGGAGCACTGAGAGATGGGGGTGAGGTTCCTGTGGTCAGCTCAGTTCTCCCTGCCTGCAGCAGCTTCAGGCTCCATCCTGCATCCTTGTTGGGTGGGAGCTGGGACAGGGTGGGGATGGAGGCCAGGGGAGAGGACAGGACCCTAGTCTGCTCCCTGCTAACCTCTGAGCCCTCAAGGGCATGGACCTCATGTTGTTCCTTGTTCACCTCCCAGTCCTCAATTCCCAGTTCAGGGTTTGGTACATGGTAGACCTTCAAAACCTTGGCTGAGGGGCCATCCTAGTGGCTCAGCAGTTAAGTGCACACGTTCCACTTTGGCTGCCCTGGGGTTGGCAGGTTCGGATCCCGGGTGAGGACATGGCACTGCTTGGCATGCCATGCTGTGGTAGGCGTCCCACATATAAAGTAGAGGAAGATTGGCATGGGTGTTAGCTCAAGGCCAGTCTTCCTCAGCAAAAAGAGGAGGATTGGCAGCAGTTAGCTCAGGGCTGATCTTCCTTGGGAAAAAAAACAACAACAAAACCTTGGCTGAATAAATGGGTGGATTAATAAATGAGTCTTCTAGCCCGCAGCATTAGTGCTGTAGGCATTTAACAGATTTGAATTAGTGGTTGGATATGTGTCCCTAGCTTGCACATAGCAGGTATTCAAAACAATTCTTAACCAGAAGCCAGAGGTACTTAACTTGGGATCTTACTAGTGGAACTATAGATGGGCTCCAGGGAGTCTGCAAATCCTTGAAATTGTCTGTAGAATATTGAACACTTTTACATTTTTCTGGGCATAGAACTCCTAGCTTAGGTTAATAACCCTTAAATAGATGTGCATTGCTTTTACTGAATGAAGGGATGAACATATTTCACAGTCTGAACCCAGTAACTATGTGTTGAGTGCATTTCATGGCCATCCACTTAATCATTCTATTTAATGACACCTCCTATGTGCAGGAGTTGTCCTATACCACCCTGGGTGGTGGGTAGGTGGGTGTGCAGCTACAGAGGTGAATCAGACATGTTCTCTGTCCTCTAGTAGCTTCATGGACTCCAACACCAAACAAAGCCTAGAAAGACTGCAGTCCCCATCAGAGCAGGAAAGGGTCAGGGCTGGGGAGCTCAGAGGAGGGAAGCCAGAAAGGGCTCCATGAGAAGAGGGTGTTTAAAATGGGCTTTGATGATGGGGGTTGAGCAGAGATGGACATCCAGGCAGTGGGAAGGGAGGCAGGGTGTGTTCCGGGACCTGTGATTTGTTCAGTTTGGCTTGTGTACCAGGAATGTATCAGGTGGCAGTAGCAGATAAGATTAGACTGTTAGAGGAGCTGAGTCTTGTTGTGTGGCCTTGAGCCAGACATGGTCCTTCCTTGTGCTTCAGCTTCTCCATCTCAATACTGGGATTGGAAAGCCCCATTTTACCTATTTCCCAGGTGTTAGATGCTCAAGTGGATTTTGGGGTCTATAAAACACTAGCTAAGAGGCATAGGTTGTTCTAAGCAAGGTCCAGGTTAGCTCTTAAGGCACACAGACGTTGGGGGAGGGCTTCACTTTCCCCTTTGACAGATGGGGACACTGGGACCCAAAGGGGGGGGGACCAGAATTCTTAGCTTGCAGTGCCTTGGCCTTTCCCTGCTTCTCTCCCTCCATCCCTCCCTTGAGCTCTGTGACATCTAGGCGAGCAAGGAATTGATGCTGCCCCACTGGAACCTAACATGGACGCCTCCCCTCTGGGCTGGAACATAGCCTGGCAGGTTCTCTCAACCCTTCTAAGAACTGCAACTTCCACTTCGTAACATTCCCAAGAAGACGAGATGTGGCAGAAAGAGTACTGGGCTTGAGGGCAGGATTTTGGAATTCTAATCTCTATTACGTGCTACACGGTCTTGAGAAAGTCCTTTCCCCTTTCTGGACCTGTTTGCCTAGCTGTGTAATGTGCACAGGATGCACTGCACTCCTTTTCAAAGTGTGGTCTTTAATCAGGATCACACATGTGGTTGTTAAAAATGAACATTCCTGCCCCCACCACAGAAATACTGAAGTAGAATCTCAAGGTGTGCCTGGGAACCTGCATTTCTATAAACTGCACTGGTATTCTGTTGCACAGCAAGAGTCTGAGAACCGCTGAACTCTTGGCTGTGACTATCTGTGATTCCTCATTCTGTTCTCAGTGACTCAGATGGTTGGTCTGAGTATGGGCATGGTGATTGATGGGTACTGATTTCTCACCCCATAGATCCCTGGTGAATATGAGTCTGGGAGAGGGACCCTCAGATCTGAGGTCAGAATTCTCTGGCTTGATGACTAGGATGAGAGGCTGGGCCTGAAGGGTTTGTAGAGCAAAAGAGACTAAATGTTTACTTAGAAGTGCCCTGGGTGACTCCGTGCCCCTTCCTTTTTTTTTTTTTCCTGCTTTTTTTCCCCCAACCTCCCAGGTACATAGTTGTATATTTTAGTTGCGGGTCCTTCTAGTTGTGGCATGTGGGACACCGCCTCAGCATGGCTTGATGAGCGGTGCCATGTCCGCGCCCAGGATCCCAACCGAGGAAACCCTGGGCCGCGGAAGCTGAGCGCGCGAGCCTGATCACTCTGCCACAGGGGCGGGCCTCTGCTTCTTAACATTTAGTCACTCACAAATATCTGAGCACCTACTATATGCTAGGCCTATCTAGGTGCTGTAGGGCACGGTAGTGAACAAAAAAATACCTCTGCCTTCATAAAGTTTACGTTCTAGTGGGGGGTGACAGGCAACGAAGAAATAAGTAAAATGTATAGCATGTTAGTGGTAAGTGCTGAGAAGAAAAACAAAGCAGGAAGAGGGATAAAAATTCTTTTAGCCGAGTGCAATTTTAGACAGGGTATTCTGGGAAGCGCTTGATATCATTGCTTGCTTTAACATGGGAAAGGAGAGACTGACTGCCATGGCTCCCAGTGACGTCACGACTAGCTCTGTGACGCCCCGTCAGGGCGTTCTGCGGGGACCATGGTCTCCTCTATGACGTCAGCAGCGGGCCCAGATACCGGAGAGAGGGCTGTGTCGGGCCGCTGGGCCCGCGGGCTGCACTCAGGGTGCCGGCGGCGCGCACCGGCAGAGGGAGGGCCGAGGGCCTCGGCGGCTTCGGCGGCAACTTTGGCGTCCGTGAGGGGGCGGCCCGGGGTCAGGATGCGGCGGAGCCCCCGCCCGGGCTCGGCCGCGTCCCCACACAAGAGCACTCCCAACTGTTACAGCGACAACAGCAACAGCTCAGTGAGCGTCACCTCGGGAGAAAGCAGCGGGCACCGGTCAGCTGGGCTGGGGCCCGGCGAGCCTGAGGGCAGAAGAGCCCGGGGCTCGAGCTGCGGTGAGCCTGCCTTGAGCGCAGGAGTGCCCGGAGGAACCGCACGGGCTGGAAGCTCTCGGCAGAAGCCGGCGCCCCGGAGCCACACCGGGCGGACCGCCTGTGGCGCGGCAACCGTGAGGGGCGGGGCCTCGGGTGCGGGCGGGGTCGACCCCGGGTGAGTTGAGGGAGGGGGCGGGGCCTCGGGCGGGGCTTGGCGCGGAACCGCGATAAAACTGGATCTGGGCACCTCCCAAGGGGTGGGGCCTGTAGGCCAAAGAGGAGAAGCACAAAATAAGATGCCTAGAGGGGCGGGGTCTCGGTGTGATGGACAGTCCTGGGAAGGGGCGGGGAAAATCCTGAGAATAGGCACCAGCGAGGACGCGCGGCCTGGGTGATGGCATGAGTGGCTACCAGGGAACTGAGGCCGCCCCAAGACTTATGGCTGGGGGCGGGACCTCCTCTTGGCGGTAGGACCAATGTCATAACTGAGCATCCCTGAGGGGTGGGGCCTCAGAGTGCTGAGGGAGACCTAAGGGCATGGGACCTGGCCAAAGCCTGTGAGAGGCTTCCCTGCTTCTGGGCTGGGAAGCCTGCAGCCAGGTCCGGGGGAAAGAGTGGGCCTGCGACGCGTAAGGCCCCAGTGGAACCCCTGGGCTCCTGCAGAACTGGCTGGCTCTCCCATAGTCTCTGAGGAGCAGCTCGACCTTCTCTCGACCCTGGATCTGAGGCAGGAGATGCCTCCTCCGCGAGTGTCCAGGAGCTTCCTGAGTACGGGCCAGGACAGCCCGGATCCCTTCTGACCCTCCAGCTCCCCTCTCCGAACTCCAGTTCTCATCTTTGAGCCCCTGGCCCATGTTGGAGTCTCCAGCTCCTTCCCTGAACTTGATCCAAGTCCTCTAAACCTCAACTCATTGTCCTTGCCCCCATCCAATTCTCGTAGCCCACCCCTCTCTTCCTGAGCCCTAGGGCCTTCCCTAAGGCTCCTTCCTGAGCCCCTTGTGAACCTCGACCACCACACCTTCTGAGCCCCTCTTCGTCTCTCCCTCTTTCTAAGCCGTAGTCGTTCTCTGAGATCCCTCTCCTCTCCTCAGACCTACTCTTCCAGGTGCTGAGCGTGTTGTTATCCCTGGTAGGAGACATGCTGGTCAGCGTGTACAGGTCAGAGGGAGGGAATGGGGAGTTCCATGGGCTGCTCTTTGGAGGCGGTGGGGCAGGAGGGGGGGTGGTGCTGGACCCGGCTGAAGCTTGAGTGGATTCAGACCTGCCTGAGTCATGTTCACAGGAGCTGGATCTAGGACCCTCAGGTGGGTGGGGGCTGCAGGGTTCACTAGGGTCTCGGGGCCTCAGCCTCCCTCTGGTTCTTCAGAGAAGTCTGTTCCATCCGCTTCCTGCTCACGGCTGTGTCACTACTGAGCCTCTTTCTGGCAGGTGAGGGGGTGGTGAATTCCCTGGGGTCCCAGCCCTGGAAGCTTTGGAGCCAAACCCAGCACATTTCTCCTAAATCCAACTCAGCCTCTTCAGCTCCTCACAGACCCCTTCAGGGCCCTCTAGTCCCCCCTCAGACTCAATCCTCTCAAGCCTCTTCTCTCTTCACTGTCCCTTTATGCCAGGGAAACCTTCTCCCTTCCTTTCCCCTGAAACCACCCCCGTCTTTCTCCAGCACTCTGGTGGGGACTCCTGTACCTGATCCCTCTTGCGGAGAATGTGAGTCTGGGAGACTGTGTTCCTGGGTGATGGTTGGCAGGTTATGAACCTGTGGGGTGCCCCTGGGCTGCTGGGAGGGTGGTAGTGCTGGAGGCTATAATCCTAAGGAAAGGCGGGATATAAACAGAAGATTTCTGAGGGATTGTGCCCAGAGGTGCTTGAGGGTCTCTGAGTGGTCCTGGAAGGTCAGGGAAGGGGGGACACTCCTCAAAAAGAAGACCCTTTGAGTGTGGCTGCTCTGGGTAGGTGAGAGCTGAGCAGTGCTACATTTTGTCCCTCCCTCCAACAGGAACCTAAGGAGATGCTGACTCTAAGGTGAAAGAGGGCACCTGGGTGGGGAATTGGAGGGCTCAATGGTGCTCACAGGAAGTGTCCAGAGGGACGGGGGAGTGGCAGGGGGCGACGGCCAACTACACCGTGCCGAACTCCCACCTGCAGTGAGTACCACGAGCGCGTGCGCTCCCAGGGGCAGCAGCTGCAGCAGCTCCAGGCTGAGCTGGATAAACTCTACAAGGAGGTGTCTAGCGTTCGAGCAGCCAACAGCGAGGTAAGCCGGCAGCCTCAACCTGCTCTCAGATTTGGGCCCCATGGGGGTTCGGAAGCCGAGCCCCAGGAGCCTGACCCTAGTGGCTCCGCCCACTCCACAGTCCCCGGCCACGGTGGAAACACCTTGAGGAGGCCAGCTCCCTGTGTCCTGAGCCTTAAAGCCCTGCCCTAGAGCCCTGACTTAGGGACTTCTCCTGGGTCCCACAACCTGGGGCCCATCGCAGAGAACCTAGTTCCCAGAGAACTTTGCCTCCCTATAAAATCCTCCCGCAAGCCCTGCCCCTCCAAGCCTCGCCCTCTCTCTTTTCAGAGAGTGGCCAAGCTCGTATTCCAGAGGCTAAATGAGGACTTTGTGCGGAAACCTGACTATGCGCTGAGCTCTGTGGGTAAGACCCAGAGACACCAAGAGAGTGAGATTCAGAGACATGGAAAGAGACGGAGACATTGACACAGACAGACCTATGCACATGCCCAGCGCAAGAAGACTGACCTCCAAGAGACCCTTCTCCAGCTGAGGGTCAGGCCCCTGAGTGTTTTTTTCTCCCTGCTCCAGGAGCCTCCATCGACCTAGAGAAGACATCCCATGACTACGGAGACGCGAACACTGCCTACTTCTGGAATCGCTTCAGCTTCTGGAACTACGCGCGGCCGCCCACGGTTATCCTGGAGGTGGGCCTGGAACCCAGATCCCGGAACGGGACTAGGGGCGGACGCTGGGGGAAAGGACCCAACAGCTCCTTGGAGGTGGGGCCTGGCAGAGCTGAGGGCGTGGCGCTAGGTGGGGCCCTGCTACGCCGAGGACCTGCCGGGCTGGAGGCGGGGCCTGGCTTTGCTGGGGTGGGGCTCCAGGTGAGGCCGAGGACGGTGTTAAACTGAGAGACCTAGCAGTGCTAGGGACTGGGGCCCTGGTGGAATCTGGCTGGGCAGGGACCCGGGCTGGGGGTGGAGGACTGAGTGGGACCGATGACTGGGGTGGAGGTGAGGGCGAGACCTACCTGAACCAATGCCCAGGCTGAGAAAGGGCTGCCGCGGCTTGGTCCACCAGTTCTGATGGTCTCTATCTGCCCTGCTCGCCTGCAGCCAGATGTGTTCCCTGGGAATTGCTGGGCCTTTGAGGGCGACCAGGGCCAAGTGGTGATCCGACTGCCCAGTCGTGTGCAACTGAGTGACATCACCCTGCAGCATCCACCGCCCAGCGTGGCCCACACCAGTGGAGCCAACAGTGCTCCCCGTGACTTCGCAGTCTATGTGAGTGGGGCTGAGGCCCAAGGGGGTAGGGGATTTTGCCTATAAGAAGCAGGTAGTCATGAAAACTGGTGCCACTGAGTCTTCACTTGCTCATCTACAAAATGGAGATGCGACCACTTGCCTCTCAGGGCTGCTATAGGTTATAAATAATTGTTAACTGTATCCAAATATTAGTTATGGCTTACTGAGCTCTTACCTGTGCCAAGTACTTTACATGGATTATCTCCTTGCATCCACACAACCTATGAAGTGCTATTAACTCTCCTTTCAAGATGAGGAAAGTAATGCTCACAAAGGGGACGTTACTTGCCCAAGGTCACACAGCTAACAGCCAGATTAAAATTCTCAACCTGGCTTCTTTGAGCCTACATTTCACACTACAATATCCTAACACCAAAAAATAAATGAAAGCATGCATACAGCTATTGAACACATAGTAGGTCCTCAACAAAGTTGCTTTCTCTCCGCTCCACCTGTGCCTCACTGTTCCTGCACTCACTCTTCACCTACCAGGGCCTCCAGGTTGATGATGAGACTGAAGTGTTCTTGGGGAAATTCACCTTTGATGTGGAGAAATCTGAGATTCAGACTTTTCACCTACAGGTGTGTTTGTCTCTGGGGGTGAGGGTGCTAAGGAAGTGGGACAGTGAGGGAAGATTGGGGAGGAAGACAGCCCTTGGGAGAGCAGGCCCTGGCATGATCCATTTGTCTCCCCAGAATGACCCCCCAGCTGCCTTTCCCAAGGTGAAGATCCAGATTCTAAGCAACTGGGGCCACCCCCGTTTCACCTGCTTGTATCGAGTCCGAGCCCATGGCATGAGAACCTCAGAAGGGGCAGGGGAGAGTGCCACAGGAGGGCCTCATTAAACATGCTGATGGTTGGAGTAGAGTGGAGATCTGTGCTAAAATAAGCTGGAACTGTGCTGGGGGTCTGCTGGGGGGCTCTGGTTGCCTTTGGTGTATAAGTGTGGTGGAAGTCTACCTCCCAATGTGCCCTCTTTTCTTGGAGAAGTCCAGATCAATATAGTAGCAGCAGCTCATGTTAATGGAGAGCTTACCATGTGCAAGAAATGGTGCTCTGGAGATTATACACATTACCTAATCAATCCTCACAACACTCAAATCAGGAAACTTGCTCAACATCACACAGCTAATGAAAGCAGCGGCACAGCAGGACCCAAGCAAACCTTCCTCCAGAGGCCACCCTCTTTAACTGTAGAGTTGCCAGTCAGCCTGAAGCCAGGTTTGTGCACCTCAATTCCCACCCCCAACCTCTGGGAAAATCCCCCAACTTGGGCTAGGAGTCCCTTTTTCTTCAAACACTCAAAAACTAAGGAGATTTGAGGACTTCTAGGAACATGTGAGTCAGAGTTGATGCAGGCCTGGTAGCCCCTACTCAGGTTGTCTTTACTGAAACCTGAGTGGCCGACTCTATCCTAGGCACAGTACAGATGGTCTAGTGTTCACCAGTCCCTGCCTTCAAAGAGCCTGATGGGGAGAGAGGATGCTCCAGGAAACAGGACAATTCATTTACTGATCCAAGAATTCTTCGCTCTAAGGGTCAAAAGTAGAATTGGAGAACTAAAAGATGGAAGAAACAGGCATCAAAGGATTAATGAGTTCCACGTGGGCAGAGAGTAGAACGGGGGACAACAGGAGCAGAGACAACATGCAACATCTTGGCTGTGCCAGTGTGTTCATGTTTTGGAAGAATATACAGACTATTAACAGTGGTTACACCTCCAGGAAGTGGAATGCGCGAATATATGTCGAAGTGGAGCATGTATCCATCTGTTTAAATTTTGGGGGTATTACTTTTATAATTTGAAGACAAAGGAAAAAGAGTCTACTGAGTGCTCTCAAAGCCTAAGGTTAGAAATATGAACTAATACAGCTATTCTGGAGGGCAGTTTTACAGTAGGAACCAAAAGTCTTAAAATTCTTTATACTCTTGGGGCTGGCCCCTTAACTGAGTGATTAAGTTCGCGTGCTCCACTGCAGGCGGCCCAGTGTTTCATTGGTTCGAATCCTGGGCGTGGACATGGCACTGCTCATCAAACCACGCTGAGGCACCATCCCACATGCCACAACTAGAAGGACCCACAACGAAAAATATACAACTATGTACCAGGGAGCTTTGGGGATAAAAAGGAAAAAAAAAAAATTCTTTATACTCTTTAATCAGAGCAATTCCATTTCTAAGAATGGATCCAAAGGGTACATAATCAAAAATGTAATCAAAGATAATATTTTAAGGATATTCATCACACTGTTGTTTATAAAGAAAAACTGGAAATAGTATTTAAGAAGATACATTATGCTACAAAAATAATATGCAGCCAATAGAAATGGTAATCTAATATAAGGGAATGTTTAATGTCATAGAAAGTAATAATATATGGATAATTTCTTAAAAAGCAAGCTAGATTAATATACATAAAAATTTTAAACTTCCATATCAAAACAGTTCTATAGACCAAAAGATAACTATAAATGAATAGACAATAGCCTGGGAAGAAATATTTTCAATGTGTATAAGTGACAAAGCGTTAATAACTGAATAACAGAATAAGGGCTATAACAACAACAAAAACTTATAAATAGGCTATTCAGAGGAAACATAATTCACAAATAAACATATGAAATGATACCTAGCCTTCATAATTAAATTCAAACTAAAAATTGATTTTCTTCCCTTTTTTGCCAGTCATTAACAAAAGGAGTAAGAAACTGTTCTTATGGAGGGCAATTTATAATATCTATTAAAATTTTAAACATTCATACTGTTTGATCTAGCGTTTCCACTTGTAGGAACAAATCCTTCAGAAACATTCTGTAAATGCACAGATAAATGTACAAGGATATTTATTACAGCACTGTAATAGAACAAAACTGGAAGGGACCCAAATCTCGTTAAATAAGGGATTGGCTAAATAAGCTATAGTGCACTCATACACAAAATATAAAAGCATTAAAAAGAATTAGGTCAGCAATAAGTTCCAATGGGTAACCCAAAATACAATAAAAAGAAGGTACAAACATTATGTATAATGTTCTATTTAGAAAAAAAAAAAAAAAAGTCAAACCTAGGAAAGACAGGGGTCCTTACTTGCTCCATAACTATTTTATACCACATTTTATTTGAAATAATTTTGTACTAATTAGCATACATTTTAAAAACACTTTAAAGCATGCTAAAAATATTATGTATAATATGATCATATTTTTGTAAAATAAAAAACTATGTATAGACTATAAATATGCATAAAGGACTAAAAAATATGCACCTAATATTTTATTGGGATGTGGGAGTATAGGCACTATTTATTTTTTCTGAATTTTTTTTCTACAGTTAATATACATATTAATTTTCTAGTATGAAAAAAATTAGCTGTTACAAAATTCAGGCTTGCAGCCTATCTTTAGGACTAGAACCACCACTGTTCGCTCCTCCAGGAAGTCTAGCATAGCCCTTGTTCCATCTTAAAACTCATTCCTCCCCGAGCACTTTCCACCTTCTTTGTTCCCAGCTCAGCTCTGCTCTGAAGCATGGCAGGCTGGCTGGGTGTTTGGCTTACACTTAATCTTTGTATTTTCAAAAATAGAGTCAGTGTTTCTAGATATCTGGCCAAGAATACCCCATTTCTTTGAGTGGGGCTATTGTGTCAGAGGCAACCTTTACTCAACAAACCTTAGGGTCAACAAACTGAGGCCCACAGAAGAGAAGGAAACATGGCTAATGGCAGATTCCCACCCAAAAAGAGAGTAGTGGCAAAGCAGTAGTCTTCATTGATCTTTATTGAATGAGGGGCTCCAGGTGCAAGCAGATGGGATCAAGAGCAGAAATAGCAGGAACAAGTATAAAAGTATAAAATATAAAGTGCTGGCAGTGGGGAGTGTGTGCAGGGGGCCCATAGGGACCACTGGGGATACAGGGCTGAGGACTGGCCACAGCTTACCCTCCAAGGGAATCTAGGCCTGAGGGGACTGTGCAGGGCCCTTGGCTGGGGGTGGAAGTGGCTTGAGGGGGGCCCAACCTTGGGCCTTGAAGTAGGAGACCAGTTGTGCAGGTACTTCTGCGAGCACAGTCTGTGCCAATGCCTCCTGAGGGGCCTGCCAGGAAAAGAGAAGCAAGGTCAGTGGTGGCCCATAAAAGGTTCCCAAGGTCTACATTTCATACCAAAGAAAGGATACAAAACTCAACACCAAACTCTGCCCCAGACTTAGACAAAAGAGTGAGTATCACCACTCATATCAGGGAGAGGTGGAAGGGTAAACTCCCAGATCTGGTCTGCCCCCAAGCTTGCCCCAACTCACATTCTGGAAGCGGCGGTAGGGCACAAACTGCACTATGTCACGGGCAGATGCCTTCCCAGAGCGTGTACGCAGGGGTCCACCATCAGCGTCCAGCTGCTCCATGGCCTCAAAGTCAGCACCGCCCACACCCACGATGATCACTGACATGGGCAGGTGGGAGGCACGAACCACAGCCTCACATGTGGCCTCGACATCTGTCACAGCACCGTCGGTCAGCAGCAACAGCACGAAGTATTGCTGGGGGCAAGCCCATTCATATACTGAGGCAGATCCTCTAAACATCCCAGCCACACATTCCCACACTGATAAGAAGTTGCTTGTTACATAGCCCTCAAGGGAGCCCTTGACCAAGACCACCCATCCCACCACCACCACTACCTCCCATGACCCTCACCGAGGCAGTCCTCTGATTTGCAGCCTGGGCTGCAAACCTGGCCACATGGTTGATGATGGGTGCAAAGTTGGTGGGGCCATAGAGGCGAACTTGGGGCAGGGCTTGGCGGTAGGCATCCACAATGCCCTGGATGCCTAGAGAAGGAGGGCAAAAACACTAAAATACTGGGCCTCTCAGGGTTGAACCAGTCCTGACATCACCCTGTCCTGGCTGAGGAGATTTGGCAACCTGGGTGCATTTCATTCAATCACCCCTGTAACCCAAGGTACTTAACCTTATCCTACAAATGAGGAAATTACGGCCAAAGAGAAGAGGGGCACTTGCCCTAAATCACAGCTTGCGTTAAAACCCAGATTAGGGGGAAATCCCTGAACAAATTTAGGAGAGTTGAACATCAGATTATAATACACTTAATAAAATAATAAATTATAACCCATTTAATAAAATAAGAATCCAGAGAATTATTAAGTAATGGGAGAGAAGGGAAAGCTCTTCCTTCATAAATGTAGAAGGAGGAATGACAAAATCATTTGACTATCATAGAGATAACTGATTCAGGCAAGGATTATCAATGGATGGTAAAACCAGAAGGTAAAAGTTAATGAATAATTGGATATTTATACAGCTTCAAAATATCTTCCCCAAAAATATTAATTACAAAGAGAAAAACAGTACTTGCATAGTGGAGAAACCTGACAGACTCGACCTTAACCAACTGACCAAAGTTAATATGACTGATAATAGGATAAATCAACATCACGTGCCTCCTGATACAGTGCACTGAGAAGAATACACAGTATCACTTCTGTGGTATTCCTGCCCAACTGCATAATCTGAATCTAATCACGGGGAAATATCAGGTAAACCCAAACTGAGAAACATTCTACAAATTATCTCACCTGTAATCTTAAAAAAGGTCAATATCATACAAGACATAGAGAAAAGAAAGTCTCTTCAACAAATGGTGCTGGGAAAACTGGACAGCCACATGTAAAAGAATGAAAATTGACCATTCTTTTTCACCGTTCATCAAAATAAACTCAAAATGGATCAAAGAGCTAAAGGTAAGACCTGAAACCATAAGGCTTCTAGAAGAAAATACAGGCAGTACACTCTTTGACATCAGTATTAAAAGGATCTTTTCGGACACCATGTCTTCTCAGACAAGGGAAACAATAGAAAGAATAAACAAAAGGAACTTCATCAGACTAAAGAGCTTCTTCAAGGCAAGGGAAAACAGGATTGAAACAAAAAGCAACCCACCAACTGGGAAAAAATATTTGCAAGTCATATATCCAACAAAGGGTTAATCTCCCTACTATATAAAGAACTCACACAACTCAACAACAAAAAATCAAACAATCCAATGAAAAAATGGGCAGGGGACATGAACAGACATTTCTCCAAAGAAGATATACAGATGGCCAACAGGCACATGAAAAAATGTTCATCATCACTGATCATCAGGGAAATGCAAATCAAAACTACTCTAAGATAGCACCTTATACCCATTAGAATGGCAAAAATAATCAAAACAAAAAGTAACAAATGTTGGAGAGGTTGTGGAGAAAAATGAACCCTTATACACTGCTGGTGGGAATGCAAACTGCTGCAGCCACTATGGAAAACAGCATGGAGATTTCTCAAAAAATTAAAAATAGAAATATCATATAACCCAGCCATCCCACTACTGGGTATCTGTCCAAAGAACTTGAAATCAGCAATTCCAAAAGTCCCATGCACCCTTATGTTCACTGCAGCATTATTTACAATAGCCAAGATGTGGAAGCAACCTAAGGGCCCATCAACTGATGACTGGATAAAGAAGATATGGTATATATATACACAGTAGAATACTACTCAGCCATAGAAAAGGATAAAATCGTCCCATTCACAACAACATGGATGGACCTTGAGGGTATTATGTTAAGTGAAATAAGCCAGATGGAGAAAGACAATCTCTGTATGACTCCACTCATATGTGGAAGTTAAACATGTAGACAAAGAGAACAGATTAGTGGCTACCAGGGGAAAGGGGGGGTGGGGGGTAGGCACAAAGGGTGAAGTGGTGCACCTACAACACGACTGACAAACAACGTACAACTGAAATTTCACAAGGCTGTAAACTATCATAATCTCAATTAAAAAAAGATATGAAGAACTCTGGAAGACAGGACAACTGAAAGCAATATGTGATCGGAGAATTTCTTTTGCTGTAAAAGACAACAATGGACAAAATTTGAATAAATTCTATAGATTGGATATAGTATTGTATTGATGTTAATTTCCTGATTTTGAGAAGTGTACTGTGGTTATGTAACAGAATGTCTTTAATTTTAGGAAACACATTGAAGTATTTAGGGATAAAGTGCCATGTGGATGATGATGAGTGCAAAGTTGGTGGGGCCATAGAGGCAAACTTGGGGCAGGGTTTATTCAATATAATTTTCAAACATTTCAGAAAAAAAAAAATGTGTGTGTGTGTGTATGTACGTGTACACACACACACACACACACACACACACACACACACACAAAGAGAGGAAGAGGAAGAGGGAGGAAGAGAAACAGAGAACTTGAGAGAGAGAGAATGATAAAGCAAATGTGGTAAAATGTTCATGTTTGGGGGGAATCTAGGTGAAGGTAAAAAACAGCCTCTGTGACCCAGGCCCTAACCCTTGAGCTCCAATGATCTGAACCCCTATAACTATTCTTAAAACTTTTCTCTAAGCCTGAACTCATGTCAAATAAAAACCCAGGGGCTGGCCTGGTGGCGCAGCAGTTAAGTTCACATGTTCTGCTTCTCGGTGGCCCAGGGTTCGCCAGTTCGGATCCCAAGTGTGGACATGGCACTGCTTGGTACGCCACGCTGTGGTAGGCATCCCACGTATAAAGTAGAGGAAGATGGGCATGGATGTTAGCTCAGGGCCAGTCTTCCTCAGCAAAAAGAGGAGGATTGGCAGTAGTTAGCTCAGGGCTAATCTTCCTCAAAAAAAATAAAAATAAAATAAAATAAAATAAAATAAAAATAAAAACCCAGATCAGATCAAATTAGGTCAAGATGTCCACTTCAGCTTCTTGCCCAAGTTCGGGCGCTAGGGAGCCACAAGGTTTGGCCCTCTCTGGACAAAAGAGCTAGGGGCAAAAAGCAGCCCCAAAAGAGCTGCAGGAAGGCACCAAGGCTTCCACTGATACCCAAATAAGTACCTGTGAGCTTCTAGCCAAAGATAATAACGATAACATAACAACTACCATTTTTTAGAGAGAGTTTAGTAAGTGCCAGGCTTACTGCTTCAAACTTTACACAGATCCTCACCTAAAATACTCAATATCCTACAATATGTAGCCTTATTATGAACCCAAAGTACACAGAAGCTAAGCAACTGGCCCCAAGTCACAAAGTTAGCAAGTGGCAAGATGAAGATTTGATTCCAGAGGCCTACCTCTAAAATCCACTCCTTTGGACAACAGAGTGAGGTATCTGCTCCCCCACCCCAACCTTCCTTGACTGCACAGGCTTGGCCCTGTAGGTTAGACAGATCTGCCTTTCATTGGAGGATGAGGGGACTTACCTGCACAGTAGGGATTATTGGGGTTGAAGTTCAAGGCAAATTCATGGGAGACCTGAGGACAAGAATGAAAGTGAGGTTCTTCCATGATCACCTTTGTGCTACAAAAAAGGGCACTATGTACCAACGGTATGGGAGCTATTTAGTCCTTAGCACTTGCTCTATACATGCCTGTAGGGAAGCATCCCTGAATCTCCCCATAAAGCTAGTTGCCAGGCAGCAAGTTTACCACATCCCCCTAAATCAGGACCCTGAAACTGAAAACAAGAGTAGGGGAATAGAAGAGAGCACTCACCTGCCAGTCAGGGGGTACCTGGGCCCCAAATCCAAATGCTGGGAACAGCTTGTCCCTGTGAGAAGACAGTGAGTTGGAAAAGAGGCAGTGAGGGAACTGTGAGCCCAGAGGCTGAAGCATCTGCATGGAGTGGGGATGGGCAAGAGAAGAAGTCACTCACGAGTCATAGTCCTGAACCACGCTGCCCACACTCCACAATGCTGTCAGGTACTCATTGACCCCTGTTGGGCTCAGGTAGTGCAAGGAGTTGGGTGAGGAGGGGTCACCATTGGAGCCTGTGAAGTCCACGCCCACCTGGTAGTAGGGGAAGAGAGGAGCTGACGGCCACCTTGAGCCCCAAATTTGTTCTCTAGCCCATGATAAAGCAACTTACAGTGAAGTTGATTTGACAGCCTCCCATCACATAGTCCAGGAATGAATACTCAGTTTCTACCTGCAAATGAAACCAGGTCATGGCTGGGGTGAAGGGGATGGGGCCATGGAGCTCAGGAGTCAGAGCTTGGTACACATGGGCTATTGTCTCACCTGGCACAGCTTGACACAGATAGTTCCAGAGTTCTTGTAGCTTTTCTTTTTCTGCTGTTTCTCAGGGTGGATGCATTCAAACTCAGCCTGGTGAGGAAAGAAAAATTATGGTAGTAAAACTTCCAGAGCATGAGTCAGGACTGGAGCTGCTCTGCCCTCCCTCTCTCCCTAGGGCCACAGCCCTCTAGGCCCACCTCAACACCTCTGAGCAGGGCCAACACTCACTGGGACTGTTTGCAGCTGGGCCAAGCTGGTTTGGAAGGTACCAATGAGATCATGTGAACCATCACTGTCATAGTCTGAGCATCGCACCTGGTGGGGGAAAGTGTGTGTGTATATACATAAAGACCAGGAGGCAGGTGGCAAGTGAGAATAAATCCCTCCCCAGGCTCTCTGACCCTGCTCAGTCCACTCTCCTAGGAAGCAAGCTCCTCACCTGAATGGGTGTGCTGGGGTCTCCTCCACAGAAACGCTGAAGGGGAACAGAGAAGCGCTTCCATGTAGGGTTCAGGTTGTTCTTGATTACCTGGAGGAGGAGGGCAAAGCCTTGAGTGAGCTCTAAGCTGGCAAGTAGGGAGCTGCCATTCCTTCCTACCCGTATGTAGTCTCTTTCTCTGTGTTATAAACCTTGGTAGTCACAAATCTCAGGAGATTCTCTCCTACCCAACGCCACCCCCCAATCACCAGGGTCCCACACCTCAGATCTGTATGCCAGATGCCATTTCCCATCACCCTGGCGGAAGAACTCCAAGAATGGATCCGATTTCCCCAGGAAGTCCTGTCAATGCCACAAAGACACCAGTTATAAGACTTAGGGAGGGACAACCATTATGCTAGACCTCTGTCCCCATCCCTGCCCTCTAATACACCATCCCTTTCCCCTTAATTCTTGAACCCCCAGGGCCTCCTTCCATGCAGCACCTTCTTATCTAGGTTTCTGGCCTCCACCTCCATGGTCACTACACGGCTATCCTTCAACTCCTGAGCTGAGACCTAGGTAGGAGAGGCAGGAGACTGTATCACCTCATGAACTCCTCATTGATGTAAGTCCCTCCCCAACCCTTGCAGAGTTCTTCCTTACCGTGATGGTCCCCTGCCCAGCAGGTTTTCCAGGCTTCAGCATCAAGGGTAGAGTTAGTATCTGGCTGGACACAATCTAGGGCAGAGCAAGGTGAGGTGTCAAGATCTCAGGCAGCGTTAGGTCCTGCTTGCCTCCCACCTCCAAGTTTCAGGCAGGCCGGCTTGTCTGACAGGGCTCTTACTGAACCTGTTTCTGAAGGACTGTAATCCCTGGCCCTACATACCTGTCCTAGGGAACACTCTGCCCCTCCTAGGAAGTCATCATCCCCCAGCTCAGGTGTCTTGTTGTCTATGTCATAGATGCCAAATCGGAGCTTCTGGACTGTTTCAAAGTGGTATTTAAGCTGCAGAGTCTTGGAGAACTCAGGGCTTGAACAATTCCGTACTTGCTCAGTCCGGCCAAGCTGTAGGCAGAGGCCAATAAGCATCACGGTCACACACCCTCTACCCCAAAACAGTCTTAGCCTCCCTCCACAACCTTAACCCCCATGGTCCTTCTCACCTCAGCCCAGTTGCCCCCTCCAACATCCTGTAAAAGGACACAGAGTGGGTCAGACTTGGAGCTGATATCCTTGTCAATGAGGTGATCACAGGAAATGGACAGCTGAACCAAGGTCACGCAGTGGGCCATCTGGAGAAAAATGACCTGAGTCAAAAACCGAGGGCCCTTCTCCACCGTTCCCTGACTCTAGGTCCTAGCTTTGGAAGGCCAGCAGGCTTCATCCAGGCAGGGCTAAGCCTGAGTCCACCCCCATGACACCCAAGGAAGAAAAGGCCCTATAGCCTTCATACTCTTCCAATCCCCTTGGGTGAGCTCAATGGGACCAGGAGATGGTAGTTACAACCAACCCTGATCCAAGAGTATGATGGGAAGATGCAGAAAAAGTGTACTGGCCTCCATCAACAACTTTGACTTGGTCCTAATGCCAATAATGCTCCCTAGACCCAGACTCCAACACTGATCTTCTCAGAGACCAATAAATCTCATTCTGAACCCCTTACTGGCCCCAGATGACAACCTAATATAAGTTCCAATCCCAACACTGCCCCAAATACAACTATGATCCAGGTACTGCTACCCAAAAAGTTTCTTCCTCCAAGATTTCCCACTAACCCTGGGGCCAAGCATCTTGAGGTAGAGTTATGATCCCCCCACTGGTCTCTAATCAGCTGCTCATGTCCAGCTCCTCACTATTCTCACCGCCACTACCAGTCCAAGCCATCATTTCTCACCAGGCTTATCTCATTAGCCTCTTTAACCAGTCTCCCTTAACCTATGTCATCCCCACCTCCACTCTCCCATCCTCACACCAACAGGCTATTCTCAATACAGCAATGAGGGTGCTCCTGTTAAAACATGAGTCAGGTCATGTCACACCTCTGCCCAAACCCTAATGATTTCTCACAGCTTAGAAAAAATCCAGAACCTACTACGGCCTACAAGGTCTTGAAAGATCAGATCTCTCTAACCTGATCTAACACCTTCTCTCTTGCTCACTCCATCCTGGCCACACAGGTCTGCTAGCTTGCCATTCCTCAAATAAGCCTGTTTCTACTTCAAAGGCTGGAATGTTCTTCTCTCATATTATCTGCATTGCTTGCTGTTTCCTGACTCCCTCCACGTCTTTACTCAAAATCATCATCTCCATTATGAAGGAAAAAGCTCTCCTATTCTAGCCACTCTAAAATTTCAACCCTACTACCACTGACACATCACATACCCCTTTCCTGCTTTGTCTATTTAGCATTTATCACTATCTAATATACTACATATATTTACATAATTGGTCTTCCCCACTAGAATGTAAACTCCATGTGAGAAGGGATATTTGTCTGTTCTGTTCATTGCTCTATCCCAAGCTCCGAAACAATAAAATATTTGCTGAATGAAATGCATAAGGCCATCTCCAGCCTCAGCTCCCAGCCCAGCCATCTCCAAACTGACTGGCAATCAAGCAGCACCAAGCTTCTCCAATTCATCTATTTCCTCTGCTGGAAACACTATCTTCTTGCATGGATCACCATGACTCCCACGTAACCCCTCCTCCTACATTCACCATAACAATTATCCTCAGACCCCTCACTGTCCCTGTGCACCCTGACCCATACACCTGCAGACCATCTGCACGAGGAGAGCGGACAAAGTCAGATCTCTCATCCAGCTTCACTCAGCATTTCCAGTTTCTCAGCACTATACCACAGGATGCCTCCAGCCTCAGCCTCCCCTAAACTGACCCTCAGTCAATCTTTCTCCCAACCCAGCCCACAGTTAGTGTTGTTCCCATCTTGGTGCCTCACGGTCTCCATCTGGAATGCTGTTAGCAATCAAAGTTGGAATGATTCTTAGAGTTCAAATTGCTTCACATACTGACCCTCCACCCTCCAATGATGGAACAAACCACCACTGTTATAATACGCTCATTAGAAAGTCCTGCTCCATAAAGTCCTAGCCAAACCAACCCAACCAAGTCTGTCAAATTCTCACGTCTACATGTTTGTCTTATTTCTTCCCCTGTTTAAAATTCCACAGGAAACCCTTATTCCATCTTCCTCCAAGAACCCATCTGATACCTGGAAGTAATGAAACTCCCAGCTAAAATCTGGAGAAACAGACCCAGTTTTGAATGTTGCCTCTAGAATGTGGCTTTTAGAATTCTGACCAGTCTGATCACCCCTTTGGAGGTTCCCCAAGGACAGATCCAGAGGAGAACACATACTCCCAAGGGAGCAGGACCACAACTTCCCGCAAGTCACAATCTCTCTCCATGTTCCTCACCTCACATGTTCTTTGAAGTAGTGTTTGCACAGTATAGAGACAAATGAAGAAGAATGCTCATTTCACTATTGCTGAGAACAGTGGAAAATATGAGACAGCTTACAGGTCTATGTAAAGGTAGTGACCAAGTAAGTTGTGGTACATTCAAACAATGGAATGCTGAGTAGCAGGTAAGAAACAATTAAGGCAGAACTATATTATATTGATATTATATAAGAAAATAAAGTTGCAAAAAATGGTAAGACAAGTATGACTACATTTTAAACTTCAACTGTATGTATATATACAATAGACTTGAATAGGTACACAAAATAAATACACATGGAAAAATGGAAGACACACCAAATAAATGCAACTTTTAGTTACATCTCAGGGTGGAATGAAGGTGAGAATTTTACATACTCTATACACTTCTGTATTGTTTCAATATTTTATACTGTTTATTTTATATTTTTTAAAGGGCCTCATTAGCTTTTTTTCCCCCAATCCACAACTCAAGTCTTCTTGATTATTCATTCTAAGCCCAAAGTCTCTACCTCCATCCAGCTCAAGAACCCCTACATAACTTCAGGCCTCACTGTCTCTTGCTTCTTCCCTGGTTTCTCCTCCTCCTTAGCACTGCCTCACCTAGTCATCCTTGATGTCAGCTTCCAGAGAGTCTCTACTCTAACTAGAAGCCCTAAATGGCTGCCCATGACCCCTAGGTTCAGAGCCAAACTCCCTAGCAGGGCCACCTTGTGGTACAACTCCAGAGGGCACACTTACACAGAATTCAGCAGTTGTGTGATATGGTGACCCTGCACCCCTAATTCAACCTTCTAAGGTCTTCTCAGTCTGCTCTACCTCTTGCCATTCCACCACCTACCCAACTAGTCATCCAAAGCTATTTCTGTTTCCTCAAACACACACACACGCTGATATTCTGACTTGCCTGCCTAGCAAATGTCTTGTCAGCCAAGGTTCTGCTATATTATTCCTTTATGAAGCCTTGCCCACCTTCCCCAGATAGAATTTCTCTCTCCTCTGGATGACTGCAATGGTAACCCCATCGGTCTTTCTGTAACCACACACACACACACACACACACACACGCTCTTCTGTGTTTATTAACCAAACTGACACCAGATCATACCATTTCTCTTCTTAAAACTCTGGAATAGAATAAAAAAACAAAACAAACAAAAACTCTGTAATGGCTCCCCAGAACATTCAAAATAAAATCCAACGTTCTTACCATGGTCTATAAGGCCCTGCCAGACCTGAACCTTGCCTAGCTAATCATCAGCCATGCAAGAATGTTCTGGCCAAGTTTCATTTCTGATCCACATACACACAACATCAATCTCATTCCCCATCTCAGGGACTCTGCGCTGTCTGCCCCAATATACACTCCAGAAAATAAGCTGTATTAGAGTAGGAACCAAGTCTGGTTTGCCTATTTCTATATCTCCAGTACCTACATCAGTACCCATCCTATAGCAGGTACTCAGTAAATATTTAGTGACTTAACATTGAAACTACTACATCAAATTTTTGACTTTTGCCTATCCTCATAATCTATGGGCTCTTCGGAACCAGGGCTGGGTATTACTTCTGTATCCCTAATACTAATGCTTACTACATAGTTGGTACCTCATAAGCATTTGCTCAACTCAAACCTTCAGGCCTTTACCATTTCAACTAATGCCCAGCAGTAAATCTTCCCTGTCCTAAAATTTAAAATTTAAGCGCAGGACTCCTGAAACTCAGTATTAAATGACAGCCATTAAAAAATGGGCAAAAAATTTGATCAGATACTTCATAAAGAAAAATATATGAATTGGAAATAAGCAAAGGAAGAAGTGATCAACAGCACTGGTCATAAGGGAAATGCAAATTAAAATGACAATGAGATACTATTACATACCCACCACAATGGCTAAAAAAGTAAAAACACCGACAATGCCAAATGTTGGCAAGGATGTGGAACTCTCATACGTTGCTAGTGAAAGCATTAAATGTACCACTGTGGAAATGGTCTGGCAGTTTCTCATACATTGTTAGTGAAACTATTAAATGTACTAATTCAGAAACAGTCCGGCAGCTTTTAAGAAAACTAAACATACACCTAGTTCAAGAGCAATTCCACTCCTAGATTTTTACCCAAAAGAAATGAAAACATTATGTCCACAAGAAGGTTTGTATTAAGAATGTTCACAGCAACTTTATTCATAATAGCCAAAAATTTGAAACAGACTGGGTGTCCATCAATGAGAATAAACAAATCATATGTTTATATATGTAATAGAAACTACTTAGCAACAAAAAGAAACAAACTATTAATAGCTGCAACATGGATGAATCTGAAGCAAAATATATACATAGATTACATTTATAAAACTTTAGGACAGGCAAAACCATATGCCAAAAAAATTCAGAATAGTGGTTGTTCTTCTCCTGTCCCCCAAGGAGGGGCAGGTATTAATTAAGAGGCAGGAGAGAACTCTATGGAGAATGGAAAAGTTCTTTATCTTGAAAGGAATGAGTCACAGGTGCACTTGTCATTTTCATCTAATGGTACACTTGAGGTATATACACCTTACTGTATGTAAACTTCACTCCCCCCTCCAAAACACATAAACAGATATTGAACTCAAATTAAAGAATGTTGAAATGTTTATGGGTGAAGTGTGTTGGTGCTTGCAACTTCTTTGAAATGCACCAAAAAATAAAATGGTTTGTTGAACAGATAGATATGAGGCCAAACAAATACAGATTTTAAATTGTAGAATCTAAATGGTGGATATATGGGTATTCACTGTACAATTTTTTCAACTTTTCTGTATGTTTCAAGTTTTCATAATAAAATGTTGAGG